ATGCCGAAGCGCAGGATCAAGAAGCATGGAAGCAGAAAATGTAGAAAAAATGTATATGTAGTTGTGGCGCTCACATCATGGACCTTTCTTTGAGCAGAATATGTATTATTATTATCAATATTATTATATATATATTATGATTTTGTTTTTTTTTTTTAATTAAACGTCTTCTTTTTCTAAAAAAAAGGAAGCGCGTGTGTGTGTCGATAATAATATTTATGTCTAAACAATTTATGTAAAAAAAATTGTTAACAATCTGTATTGAGATTATATAATATTTTGTCCATATAATTCCAAATAATAATTCTATTACATTATAACTATATTAATTAGTAATATAATAATTAGTAAAATGTTGCCGACATCTGAACATGTTAAGCTTGTTTATGAATTATTCCGAACATATGGATGTTTTGTAATTAATATCGGTGTAGATAAAATATTTTCGAATTTCGAATTCATCAAATTAAACAAATTATCAATGTTTATATTAACTCCTGCACACCCTGTCGGTGATATAACAGAACTGTTACATTTAGTTGGAGTCCGAGCCGATAGGTGTCGTCAAAGTAGACTATCACAGATGGGAATAAGTCGAAATCGTCCGCCAGTCACAGTAACAGAATGTGTATGGCTCGAGTTTCGTGGTCGATTGTGATATTAGTAAGTGATTTTGACGTAAAAGTGATTGTAACGAAATGTTTTCAATAATTTAGTGGACAATGTGTGGACAAAATTTCAGTTAATTTTGGACAAATGCATAGGATGTGATGTTTCGATTCCAATAATATAATCCACATTGTGAAAAGTGAAATAATGGCGTTAGTAACAGTGCAGAGAGCTTCTAAAATTACAAACTGCTGCAAGAACGTGGTACATTTCTTTCCAATTACTCAGATCATCCATTTATAATTTTATGTCAATTTTATATACATTTATACATATCCATATTTATATATATTACATTGTGATTACACATATTTATATATATATATATATATATATATATATATATAATGTATGTATGCAATGAATGTGCTATATATGAGCATATGTGTATATTCATATATAATATTATATATATGCATATATATATATATATATATATATATTTAACATTTATAATTACTATATATAAAATTGTATATTTTACTAACCAAAAAATTGTTTTTTGAAAATGTTTCAAAATATTAATAAACAAATTAATATAACTGTAAATAAATATACATGATAAATGTGTATGCATATGCCCATATATATATATATATATATATATATATATATATATATATATATATATATATATAAAATCCACCACAAATCCCTATAAAAAATATACATATAAAATATATATATATATACAAGATTTAAATTTTATTCCAAATTGTCGAAATTTAAATTTTAAATTTTATTTTTAATTTGAAATTTAATTTTTTAAACATTGTAAAAATTCTTTTAGATACTGTATAACAAAAATTTCAAAAAGGGTTGCTGAATGATGACACACAATCCGTGTCGAAACTTATAAATAAATATTTTATTTGTTTTCTTTTATTCCGACGATTGGATGAAAGAAATATTCTATATATATATGTATATATATATATATATATATATATATATGTATATATATATATATATATAAATAAATAAATAGTATTCTACCCATGGCAGGTCCATCGTGTAAGCGCATCACATATTAATGATTCCCTTTCCCTTTATCACTATTCCCGTTTTATACATATATATATATATACATATATGTATATATACATATATGTATATATATATATACATATATGTATATATATGTATATATATATATATATATATATATATATATACATACAAGGTGTACCTAAAGTTCGTTTACTTTTGAATAGGTCATTGAATTGACGTTTCTACCCCTCCTAATCACATATGGTTGATATACTTCTAATATATATATATATATATATGATTTAGTAGTTAATTTTGATGTTGAAATATATGAGTGAGTTCTTGAGGGCGATACATCAAACAAAGAAAAGCCAAAGATTTATAAAATAATCTTTATTTCCAAACGTTTCGACATTCAATTTAATGTCATCATCAGTGGATCTAAAATACATGTACATGTACGTCGTTGTGAATATGCATGCACGTTGCATATATGTATATACGTATATTTATATGTGTATAGTCTTACATGTATATGTGTACATATATAGGTATATATTGTTGTATCTGTATATGTATATGTGTATTATATGTTTGTATGTGTGTGTATATGGATATATGCATGTATATATATATATATATATATATATATATGTATATACATATATGTATATGTGTGTATATGTGTACGTACATATATGTATATATGCGTAAGTTTATATGAGTGTACTTAAATATTTTTGCCTATACTTTTTAATTATTTATTTAATTCTAGTCTCTACTACCTTTCCTATCTTTTATATTTGATTTGTTGTTAAGTGTTGCTATTTGTTAATTTTTCTCTTATTGTATAGTTACTTTACCAATCCACATATATTATAATTACCTAGATATGCTAATTTTCATACTGTTTTTAGATCCACTGATGATGACATTAAATTGAATGTCGAAACGTTTGGAAATAAAGATTATTTTATAAATCTTTGGCTTTTCTTTGTTTGATGTATCGCCCTCAAGAACTCACTCATATATATATATATATATATATATATATATATATATATATATATATATATAACTTTGAAACATTTTACGGCCCATTTTTATTTTTTCAACTTTTCCGAAAACAATCTTAAAAATATGTCGAAGTATATATATGTTTATTAGGGTGGTTCTTAATATGGACATTTTTGAATTTTATTACTCTCAGGGCTTATATACTTCCAAATTAATAAAAAAAAATCTCTAAAATTTTAGCTCATAATATTAACTTTTAGATAGTGCGCAATTCAATCAAAGCTTCATATGGAAATAGCATGGAAAAAAAATCGAAAATTTTATAAAACGTTTTTTAGGTATAAGTGACAATTTGTGTCATCTTTTATTGAAAATTCGACGCTCTGCAAAGCTTTTTTAATTTGTTTTGTAGAGCGTCGAATTTTAAATAAAACTCATTCATTTGTTCGCTAAGTTATATCTAAAAAAAACATTTTTAAAATTTTTGATTTTTTTTTCATTTATTTCCATATAAAACTTTGTCTGAATTGCGCACTACCTAAATGTTAATATTAAGAGCTAAAACTTTTAGAAAATTATTTTTTAATAATTTGAAAGCATTTGAGCCCTTGGGAGCAAAGAAATTCGAAAATGTCCATATTAAGGACCACCCTTAATATATATGATATATATTTTAATAATATATATATTAGGGCGGATCGATTTGAAAGTCGTTTAGGCACATATATTTTTCGGATACTAGGGATCAAAATAAAAAACTTCGCTGAAGAAACCATACCTCTAAAATGAATTCTGATGTCCCGTGCATTGATCCAAAGATAGGGATTGAATTTTGAAAAATTCCGTATTAATCCATTTAGAGTGCTCCAATTGCATCCAAATGTATAACAAACCCCAACTAACTTTGGAAGGCCGATCCACCCTTTAGAGGTCTCCCATACAAATATTGCAAAAAATCATCATTTTTGGTAATTTACTCAGCAAAAAATGTTTTTTTAAACAATATTTTTCAGATATTAATTCAAACACACACAAAAAATTTTTTTACAAAAAAAATATTAAAATTCTTCTTTGTTTAAATTTTTCCAGTGCATTTTGTCTCTGCGCTTCTATGCTAGCTATAGAGGCTGTTATGGCGACGATATTAGAGAGCCGTGCAAAATTTTCCAAACTTGAAACTAAAAAAACCTTCAAACAATAGTTTATGAGTTTTACATAGTTTTGTTTACTTATCTTATGATTAAATAAATTTTATAATAAAAACAAATCGCAGATTTTTGTCATATTGAACTACCCAAAATGATGCAACTTTTGTATGGGGGATCTCTAAAGGAGGTTCCAGGCAGTGAACCATGGGCATGGGTAGATCGGCCTTCCAAAATTACTGGAGAGGTCGGTCATACATTTGGACATTATTGAGGCGCTCTAAATGAGACAAAACAGGATTTTTTAAAATTTGACCCAATCTTTGGGTGAATGCACGGGACATCAGAATTCATTTTAGAGATATGGTTTCTTCGGCAAAGTATCTTATTTTGATGCCTAGTATACGAAAATCATATGTGCCTATGTGACTTTTTTTACCCATACAAATCAACCCGTAAATGAAATATATATATGTGTGTGTGTACGAGGTCTGTTCAAAAAGTACCCGGAATTTTCGTTTTTTCAAAAAAATATTTATTTATTCGTCTACATTAATGTGGTCCCCTTCAAAGTAGTCCCCCCCAGATATAATACACTTATGCCAGCGTTTTTTTCCAATTTTCGAAGCACCCTTGATATTCACTTTTTGATATGTCCTTGAGCACTCTCAGCGATTTTCTTCAATCGAGGAAAACCGCCGTCCTTTCATGGGTCTCTTCAACTTTGGGAATAGGAAAAAGTCACACGGAGCCATATCTGGTGAATTTTTGCACTTTGCAACACTTTATTTCATTTTTTACGCAAAATTTAATACAAATTCTTTGACTTTTCAATTCTTCCATTGTAAAAATCGCCGAGCTCAGAAAAACACGTCGAACCTTAGCGACTACCACAGACAAAGTAAACAGTGAATATAGCTGAAAATTTCATCATACTTTAGGGGCATGTATACCAACACAATAAAAAAAAAAATTTGACAATCAGACACTCCAGACCCGCGAAATTTAATTATTAGTAATTCCGAACACACCTCTTAGTAACTTTTTGAACACACCTCGTATACACACACTTTTTTTAATTCGACGATTTGGCTGCAAAATATTTCAAATATATGTGTATATATATATATATATATATATATATATATATATATATATATATATATATATATATATGTGTGTGTGTGTGTGTATGTATGTATGTATGTCTATATTTTCCACTCCTCTGTATGAGTGCTGCCAGTTTTTTTTTTGAAAAGTGTTTATATTGAAAGGTTAAGTATATTTGTGGGCTCGTTGCCAGAGGCACAAATATGGCCATTCCGTCGTGGTTAAGAATACTTCATGAAATGAGACCAATAACATATATAATAATTTTCAAACTAGTTTATGTACACATTTTTAAGTGGAAAACATTACTGTATCAAAATGCTTTCTGTTTCAAGTTCATAAATTGTTTTTCTATTTCTTTCTCTTTCAACATATCGGTATCACATTATGAAATCAGAATTTAATTGCGCTTTAATATCGATAATAAACACTAATATATATATATATATATATATATATATATATACATATATATATATATATATATATACAAATTATTTCGTCTTCTTTTTTATCTTTTATTTTGCCAATTTGGCCGAAAAAAAATTCAAAAATTTGTCGATTTATTAATTGGGCACTCACTAAATATTAAATATAACATTCACTAAAAACTATAATTGAGAATACTTTGAGTATTATTACCCCGGATAAGTAATGTGTTAGCTATCCAAAAAACTTAAACTATACCTTATATAGAAAATTTCCATGTCACAATGTTTGTTCCCAAACGAACGGCTTTACCGATTTTTACCAAATTTTATATTCGTACTCAGCAGACCAATAGGCTACTGTCTATTTTTCATAACTTTAGGCAATAAGGGTATTTCATCCTTATTATTTTTTTTTATATTGTAGCAATAAAAAATACATACAACCTTCAATTTTTACTTTTTTTGTGACCAACCTGTATTTTTATAGCCATCTTAGTAATTCAATCATTTTTTATTCCGTTTTCAGTCATTGAATATTGTTGACCTAATTTTAGTTCAGATTTTTGAGCTTAAAGAAAAAGCTTAATTCTAAAATGCAATTTATTTTTATTAAGGATTGTCCTACCCTAATACGTTTTTTAATTTTCTTAACTCTTTTACTTCAAAATACTATTTATTTGTATATAGGGTTATCCACCCCTAACTTTTTTTCCACTTTGGTACCAATTTTCTATAAATTGAAAATACATAGAACTCTTTTTACTTCGAAAAACCATTTATAAAATGTGCCAATAGGGTTTGTCGGTTTTCAAAAACAGGTTTTAAAAAAATTATGGGATTCGAAAAGTCGGTTTTTATTGTATAAATGTAAAATGACAAATATAGCCAAAAATGACAATACAAGCGTTTTGATTCTTGGAATCATATCAGTTCAATAGCATTTGGAATCTTATCAGTCTGTTATAGTTTCCAGAAAGGTTTCCTGTAATTTTTTGTCTAATATATATATATATATATATATATATATATATATATATATTGAATGGTAGAGTCTTGGATTTGTGTATATTTTGTAGAGTTTCGAACAAGAATCCAAAAATAATACAAAATAAAAAACAAGAAAAGTTTTTAAAAAAACAATTTCTTTATTTAATTATTTGTTTATTGTCGACGTTTCGGAACTAGGTACGTTCCATCTTCAGGACATCTGTCAAGAAACATGATCTTGATGAGATTTTTGCAAACAATATGTTTAGGAAAAGAAAATAGATTTTTCTTAAATAATGAATTAAATTGTAAAAAATATAATAATATACAGAAATATGATAATATGTTCAAAATAAAAATGATAAAAATAAATGAGTGGATTATCAAAACAGGATATTAAACATAATAGAAAATTTTTTTGAAAGTTATGGAAATTTTTTAAGAAAAGGTTAATGACAAAGTTGAATTAATTACCTGTATGTTTGAATATTTGTTAGCACTTTTTCACTAAACAAGCTTTTTTAACAAAAATGATTTTGCGAGTTAATTTTCCACCGAATAATTAGATTTTGTAAATCAAAATTACTAAAAAACTTTGTCTTTTTTAAAATTATTATTTGAAAACACAAATAATATTGTTCTCTGGATGTTGTTCGATTGGTTTACGAAAATTAACTAAATGAAACTGGTGTGCCCTTTGTAACACGTGTAAACACTTGAACGAGAGATGTGAGATTGTATGTGTGTGTTTCATTTTCAGTTTCATTTAGTTAATTTTCGTAAACCAATCGAACAACATCCAGAGAACAATATTATTTGTGTTTTCAAATAATAATTTTAAAAAAGACAAAGTTTTTTAGTAATTTTGATTTACAAAATCTAATTATTCGGTGGAAAATTAACTCGCAAAATCATTTTTGTTAAAAAAGCTTGTTTAGTGAAAAAGTGCTAACAAATATTCAAACATACAGGTAATTAATTCAACTTTGTCATTAACCTTTTCTTAAAAAATTTCCATAACTTTCAAAAAAATTTTCTATTATGTTTAATATCCTGTTTTGATAATCCACTCATTTATTTTTATCATTTTTATTTTGAACATATTATCATATTTCTGTATATTATTATATTTTTTACAATTTAATTCATTATTTAAGAAAAATCTATTTTCTTTTCCTAAACATATTGTTTGCAAAAATCTCATCAAGATCATGTTTCTTGACAGATGTCCTGAAGATGGAACGTACCTAGTTCCGAAACGTCGACAATAAACAAATAATTAAATAAAGAAATTGTTTTTTTAAAAACTTTTCTTGTTTTTTATTTTGTATTATTTTTGGATTCTTGTTCGAAACTCTACAAAATATATATATATATATATATTAATATATATTAGATATATATATATATATATATATATTAATATATATTATATATATATATATATATATATATATATATTAATTTAGATTTTGATACCTTCATTGTTTTTAGCTCTAGAATCCACAAATAAAAGAACAAAAACATTATTATATGGGGCTATAAAAACAATTAAGCCTAGTTCGGTCGCAAGAGAGTATTTTCTATTTTGGGAAATTTTGTGAGTTAACCAAGGACTCGTCTAAGTAACAAATCGATAGACGTTCTCAGTTTTTTGAAAATATTTTATTAAACAAACTAATTAGAAATTTTAAAATTAGTTAATTAAATTTGCCCGGAATAGAAAATACTCGGGGTTAAGCTTAATTGTTTTTAAAACTAAAATCGATATTAACAAGTATGTATCAACATGTATGTAATATTGTTTTATTTTTTTAATTTGACACATGTTTTTTATTTAAATGTATTGTTTTTATTTATTCGAAAACTTTCCTTTTACTATTATAATTTTTTTTTTCTTATATGTGAAAATGAAGCATGATTAACGAATAATTAATTTCAAAGTTATTTAATTCAGATAAACTATTATTTTTTGTTCTACTAATTAAAATTAAAATAATTTTGTTTACTATCCTTAAAATTGAATAACAAATAAATTCAGTCAAAAACTGCTTTAAATTGCACTAAATTTGCGGATAAATTTTTGTTATTACAGAATATTCGAGCAAAAATTTTTTTTCTGTATAAAATTCGAAAACCGGTCAAAACCGGTTTTCTGGTAAAATTTAATTTGAAAACCGGTTTTCTGAAATGTCGGTTTTTGTATAATTGCATTCATAGTTGCATAAAATTTATTACGCTGGAACTTTCCGTACTGATAATTAAAATTAAAAAAAAATGAAAATTTTAGAAAAAAAACAATTTTTGAAATAATTTGACTTTTTAAAAAATTTTGATTTGTTTCTATATTTCCAAAATTTGTAACTTTTTTTTTTCAAAGTAATTGTACGGCGTAGCTGTTTTAGTGGCAAAATATCGCAGCATGTGAGGCTAACGAATAAACATAGGAACGAAACCCATATAAATGTATATAAAATATCTGATATTTTGATGTGCATATATGTAATGATCACTTTTGACCGCCAAATGTTTCTTTTTCAATTTTTTTATTGGATCACGGAAACCGCTAGACCTGCCACCCACAATTTTAATCAGTTCTTCAATTTGTGAATACATGCATTTTTTTTTAATTATTGAAATTGGACGCTCCGTTTCTCAAAAACTGAATTATCATTTTTAGCATTTTGGTCCGTATCTTCGAATCAGTTGCACCTACTTTGACCAAAAGCACGTCACGTTATCAATAGCAATCGAATGTTTTTTGAATCATTCAAATCGGTTGATCTTTGTTATCGAGATCGACTTGAACATTTAAAAAGTATTAGATTTATATTTTAAAAAATATATTAGATTTGTATTGATGGGGAGACGTGCTGATTAGTTTTTGGCATAGGCAGGTCCAGCCGTTTCGAAAAATGGTAATTGGGTTTCGATATCTCGTCTCTAAAACTGCTACGCAGCGCGATTGCTTTGAAAAAAGTTCATAATTTTCGAAAAATTTCAAAGCAATGATGTTTTTTAAAAGTCTTTTTTTCATTTTTCAAAAAGTTTTGAAGCTGTTTGTAAAATGAAATTTTCAAAGGCAAGGAGACAAGGCAAAATAATGAATTTTAAAATGGGTTATTCGAAACCAAATTTTGAATTGCAATTTTGCAATGGTGTCATGTTTTGTGAATTACATATCTTGAAATAAAAAAAATTATTAAAAAAATGGTTACTTATATTGTATAGAATTTTCATCTCACATTCCAAATTTTGCCGCCCCCGAAAATTTGCCGCCCTGAGCAGTAGACCCGACTGTCGCTACTGTAAATGTACTGTAGTGAATAAATAAATGCCAATAAACTGATAATTTAAGGGGGCTGTTCGTTTTTTTTTACAAAAAATGCAAGATATTTGTTTTGGTTTTTCTCGAAATGTATTTATCATAAGGACATGCGTTTTTTTTTCAAAAACAAAATTTACAAAATCATAGAATATTACGAAATTTTCTTTTTTTTTCGCTGTCATTTTTTAACTAGGGGGCGACAAAGTCGGCCTTGCAAAATCAATCTCTTTTGCGGTGCCACAGATAAATCCGTTGCGCATCGCCTGAAACAAAAAAAAAAAACTACGTTGAAGAAGAAGTTTGAATCCAGTGTCCCTACCAAAATGAAAGAAAAAAATCAAGAAGGAAAAAAATGGCAGCTATTTAAAAAAAAGTGTCAAAAAAGGCCTTTTTTGGGCGAGAAGCTTCGCAAAAAATCAAGTTGTTTGAGGTAGGGGGACTAGGTATTGCAGTGGTGAACAAATTAAAAAAAAATGCGAATCGATCCGACTTGTAATTTTTTTTAATTTGTGGCACCGCATTGAAAAAAGTCAATTTGAGAAAAACGTATTTAAAATTTTTAATATAATGTACTAAATGGTGTTCAAAGATGCTGACACATTAAAAAGGTCATGTGCATGAGGTATTATAATGAAAAAGAGAGCAGCTGGCATACAATAGCTCGCGGAGCGATGAAAAAAACGGTTTCAGGGTATCATACATATAGATATATATATATATATATATATATATATATATCCATAACTTCGTCAAAAAAATATAGTGAGATGATTTTTTTTTTAAATAATTCTAAGGTTTTTAGCTTTCATAATATCAAAAAATCTCAAATTTGAAAAAAAATAAATAAAAACCGAACAACCCCCTTAAACGAATATACCAATAAATGTCGGAGAAGTCAAAATGATATGACAAAATCTTTGATACAACTCTGCTCGGATTCACTCCGAGGGAGGAGTTATATCCTCGAATATAACTCACACCGGAGTTATATAACTCTAGTATTTATGTTTGTATTGACATTATTATTATGATTGCGCGTATTAGATGAGTGTGTGGATATTTAAAATAAATATGATTAAACTACATAATTTTTTTGTTCTAACCGATTAATTTGGTAATGTTTTATTGCAGGAGCCGAATGCCAAAGAAGTGAAGAAAGCGTCCAACAAAAGGTACTTGCCGTTAGAGTTGTTACAAACGTTTCATCATAATTTCGCAATCGTCAATTTCGTACGCGGAAGCTTTTAAGATACATTCGAAAAATTTAAGTATTCGTCCAAGAATTAGTGCGCACAGACGAAATATTAGCAGGACAAAACACGTGCAGTAATATTTTTATCCCGACTCTTGATGTTCAGTCTCGGCAATGCCATTCGACAAAACATTTACAATTTCGATTCTAAATCTATCATTAGCTTTCGGAGAGAAGTGGTTCGCACAGCTGCCATGTACTAATATCAGTGCACCGAATTGCGATCAGGTTTAGGTTATTTATATTTATAATTCGGTGCACGTTTTTAATACAAGCATTATATTTGTGATCGATGGCTGAAGTCACCAAGTAAATTCGAGTTTAATATCGTGACGAATTTTTCATTTGCTTTGAAACATTTGAGGGTTATCGCAATGCAAGTTCGCGGAATACGTTTGAATCATACACAATCACTCATACAGTACAGTTGAGTTTGGTCGAAGTTGGTCATTTTAAAATTACTATGGTAATTATTGTTTATAATTACCTTCCCGAAGGAAAGGTTTATGTTTTCGCCAAAACATCCGATTTGCTCATTTTATGTTCTATCGACGTTTCAAGCCATTCTGTAGCGATTGACACTAAATGTGGGAAAAGTATGTATGTATGCGTGTGTTTCTTTTTTTTATAATTTATTCTTGTTAATCAAGACTTCATTGTCTTATTTTCAAAATTGATAGGTGCAAAAAAGAAATAATACAAAAAATTCAACTAGTGGGGCGCATGGCATCGTGCCTTAAGGCAAATTGCAGGAACTTCCCGTACCAAAAATTATTTTTTTTAAAAAGATTAATATTTTTGAAAAAAATTTACTTTGAAAAAATTAGATTTTTGAGAAACTAACTTTTTTTTAAAAAAAAAGACTTTTTGATAAAAAAATGTGTTCTTTATTTTGAAATATTCTGGAAATTCTGAACTTTTTTTTTCAAAGCAATCGTACTGCTTTAACCGCATAGAGACGAAATATCGAAGCGCGTAAACGCCGCGTCGCCATCTAACGGATAAACATTGGTACGGAACCCATAGGAATGTAAACAAAATTTATACTTATTGTTAAAATCTCTATAAAATATCCGATAATTTGATGTGCATATGTCTAATGATCATTTTTGACCGCCAAATGATTTAATGAATGATTTTTTTTTACTTTTTTCACTAGATCTCCGAATTCTAGATTTGCCTTCATGAAAATTCGATCAATTCTTCATCTTGTCAATACAAGTAAAATGTTTTTTGAATTATTAAAATCAGACGCTCTGTTCTCTTAAGAACTGAGTTACCGATTGTGGCACTTTTTGCCACGTATCTTCGGAACGGCTAGACCTGTCTATGCCAAAAACTAATCAGCACGTCTCCTTATCAACAGCAATCGAATGTTTTTTGAATAATTGAAATCGGTTGAACCGTGTTCCCGAAATCGTCGACGAAAATTCGTATCCAAAGGTATGCCAAAATGTTCAGAAACCTGTGAAACGTTAAGATATATAAATTTTTCGTCGACATATCCGGAAGTTCGTGCAACTTGCACTAATGCCAATTTCACCTAGTTTTACTATTACGATTTTATGAGAAATAGCATTATAATTTTATCTGCTTTAAATTGTTTTGATTTGTTTTATGCATCACACTTTTAGTGTTACTTAATTCTTACAATTGTTTATAGTTTAATATCGTTAAGAGAAAGCTTTGTGATATTATGTATAGGAAGTGTTCCTATTTGACTTAATAAAAAGTGTTAGAGCTAAAGTTTTAGAGTTAATATTAAGAGCTAAAACTTTCAGAGAATTTTTTTAAGCAATGTGAAAGCATTTGAGCCCCTGGGAGCAAGGGAATTCGAAAATATCCATATTAAGGACACCCTAATATATATATTTGAGCGGGTCGATTTGTATGAGACAAAAAAGTATATATATATATATATATATATATATATATAATGAAAAAAAAACATGTGAAATTTTAAGCCTAAATTAAATTTCATATCAATCATTTTATTAAAATTTTTTGTTGTTTTATAATCCTCATTAAAATAAAGTAATAAAAGGAATACAATTGCAATTAGAGCTACCTTTGAACCGATCTTAGCTATTGTTAATCAATGACTTTGCCCTTTAGCATAGATGGAAAAATTTGAAGCAAATGTCATCGAACTCGGTCTTATCTCTTCACCCATTAACTCTCACGTCTTACTGCAATTTTTCGTGAAACTATAAGTTCACAGTTTATACTTATTGACAAAATATTTTCATAATGCGACTGTGTAAAGTTCTTTAAGTTTCGTGTTTTCTAAAAATGTGCTATATGATATGATCGCAATTGAAAGAATTTGGATTCTCGTTTTACATGATTAGTCACAAAATGATCTGTTACACAACTCATAATCATACTTAATGTGTATGCAGGCATATAATAATTTTTATCAATTAATGTTAAATATATTTTTTGCAGCTTAAATGAAAATTACTTTGCTGGAAAAGGTACCGCCGTTGTGCTTCCGACAAGTTCTAGACCAGTTTGTCGATCTTTACACTTAAACGCATATCCGCCTCCTGCACATTTGCAAACGCCATTATTGCACCTGCCAAGTAGTGAAATACAGCACCATTTACAATCTATGTGCTGTCTGCTTGAGCCAGAAGATACACTTAAAATGGTACGTGAGTATTAATATATCGACATAAACGACTTTTTCTAGATTGTATTTTGCCTTCAATCTCTTAATTTGTTAACTTCGCAAAGGTCTTGTTCAGTAGTATTTACGAAAACATCTTGCGTTTCTGCGTTTAATTTAAATATAGAGTTCAAAATTAAAAGTATAAATAAAACTATTTTGTGTATGCGACAAAACATGAAACGACGCTATAGGATTCTTAAAAGTTGGACGATATTAGAAGTGGTCTGCCTTTTATAATTGATTCAGTATGATTTTCATAACAGTAGTGTATGTAGTGCGCGCAATTCGCATTTTAAATCAGTTATTTACTTATTTTTGAACTGAAATTTTATAAAATTTGAACATTTAAAAAGAAGTTTTATAAAATATTTATTCAATTAAAATAACTTTGGCGTTTGAGCACAATTTCTGTAGTTGATATTGCAGATAATTAAAATTAGGCTCGAAGGAGTGAAGAAAATAGTGTCATTTTCAATTAGTTTCTCGGAACAAAATGAATGGTATTCTGGAGTGCATTCATTATAAATTCAAATAATTAATGATCTACTAAATAAGAATTATATAGCAATTAATTTTTTGTAAAGTACGGTTTAACGATTTGTCCGAGTAATAATATATTAACGCCTTTAGTTCATCGTGTTTTAATTGATTGTATTTTCGTATTTATCGTATCTTATCTTCTATCTCTTACTGCACTTAATCTCAATTTAATTTTATCTCGAAACGGATACAAAAATATGGCATTACCACGACATATTTTTTATATTTTAGAAGCGTAAAATATTGCGATTAATTTGCCTTATTATGTTAAATCTGGTTAAATCATTCTCACTGTACATTTTTATACTTTTTGCAAATTTTGATATTTTCGTTTCTGACATTCATTATGTATAGGTGTTTGTGAAACATAATACAACATTGGCTGTTATAATAATTTTATTATGTAATGTTAAAAATGTTATTTTTAAATTCATAACAGGAATCAAAGCATTACCTTTTTTTTTTTTTAATTTGAATTGGGCTTGTTGAACCCACGTTGTGCTTGCTGTACACGTGTGATGATCCAATTTTCATGTCAAATTATCATGTGGCCCAAAAAGGGTTCGTTCATCCAAATTTTTCTGACTTTTTCATGTGGCACGAATCATGAATACTTTCACGCCAATCGTTTCTGTCGAACATTAGTTCAGCCATTTAGGCTTAAATTAGGTAAGAATTTCGGAATTCGAGATACCCAGCTGTAAGTCTGTAAATACTTGTATAATGACACTAAAAATTGCTATACGATTATTGATTGATTGACTAAAATACTTGATTATTGACTAAATGTCAATATACAAGTATTATATTTACAAACTTACAGCTGGGTATCTTGAATTCCGAGGTGAACTTACTATAATGACTGGACGATGATGTCAGAAAGAAATCTTTTTTTTTTTTTTTCAATATTATCTTAACCAGATCGTCGTCTATTTAGGATTCTCGCTCGGAACAGAAAGGTCTAAATCACCTGTTTCAAGTTGTGGTACGAAACCACATTTTGTATATTCTATTAGAAACTTCACCTTCACCAAACACTTTCAATAAATTTCTACATGCTTCTGCAGCATTTCTCCCTTGTTAAAATTCGTATAAAATACAATGGCCTAAATGAACTTGGTCAATCGCCACTGTTATACTGTCCTTTCACACTTAAGACTACTGTGAATCAACTTTATTATACAGTAGAAATCCATTAGTCCGGCACGCTCGGGACAAGGCTAGTTGCCGGAAAATAGCTTGCCGAAAAATAGCTTGATAATTACTCTACAAAAACATGATAAAGTGGCGAAAATTTGTCTTTAAAGAGGGCGGCGGTTATTAGCAAATGGCAAAACGGTTAATCTGTCTTTGTTTTTCTTAAGCGGGAAGCCTGCTTTAGAGGCTTCAAAAAATCGCCTTTTTGAGGAATTTTTAGATAAAAAAATGAATAATTAATGGAAACGAAACTTTCAGGTATCATTGTTATATTTTTCAACATTTTTCTCATTTTTTTTTATTAAATTATATGTCAATAATATGCCGGGTACAAGCATTTTGCACGTGTCGTTTGGCGGGAAAGATGCAGGTCAGAATTCCCATTCGAAATAAAAAAAACAAAATAAATTTATGTTTTCATTAGTATAGATTCTAGTTAAACCTAAAAAATCCAGAAAAAAGTGAGAAATTCACCAATTTTTTGCAACTTGAATAAATCATGTTTTGAAAGCGAGTTAATTATCTTTTTTTTAGGTTTTTTAGGTTCAACTAAAGGAGAATTTAATCCTGAATACAATCAATTTTGCCTCGTTTTGACAGGATAGGTTCAGTTTCTTTTTTTATGTTTCTCGCCATTTGAATAAAATCGAAAAAATGAAAAACCGAGAAATCGCGCGTCGAAGTTTTCGTTTCGGTCGTATGCCTACCTGCTCGACGCTTGCTCGCTATTTCTTGTGTAACTCCGAAAATAATTTGAATTTGGTTCTGAAATTTTAGGGATATATTATTGGCTAGTTTTGGAAGACATTTTTGCAAAAAAAAAATCGTTTTCCTCTAAAGTCGGCTACCCCCGTAAGCTTTGGCTGCTTTAACCTCCCCCCTCTCAACTTTACACTAATTAAGTAAAGGTGTTTTAATGTTATAATTAGTTTTGAGCCAATATTAAACCTATTCATTGAAACATTTTTATTCTCGTCCGAATTACCCCGAAAACTTTTGAATAGCTCTCGAGCGTTTTTATTTGCTATGTAAGCACACTTCTGGAAGAATCATTTTTTCTGAAACGTTGCTGAACTATTGGACAGTCCGGACTGATGGACTTCTACTGTAGTTTATTTTCTACGTCAATATGTATACATTAAGCGAGCAATATTGCAATTAACATTGCAATTTATATAAACATGCAATAAACGTGGCGAAAATGATATCATAATTTCGGACCGAACTTTCCGGTAGACTTAATATATATATATATATATATATATATATATATATATATATATATATATATATATATATATATATATATATATATATATATGTTAAATTTTTATAATTTTTATGTTGAGATATGTGAGATTCAGTCTTCAGGGCAATACATCAATTAAAAACTTGTATGACTTTAAAACATTTTTATTTTTTCCATACGTTTCGACACATTGTTTTGTGTCATCTTCAGTGGACTATGTAATTGTAATAATCCTAATTATTTCATAATTATAATTGTTCACAATGCACAATAAAACCAATTCTTGTCACTTTAAATTGAACGATATATTAATTTTAGAATGAGTTTTTTATGAAATTGTAAAGTACTGTAGGCTCTTGCATCGGAATACTTCACAATTTCATAAAAAACTCATTCTAAAATTTATATATATATATATATATATATATATAATCGCAGTAGATTCATGTATATCATTCTTATAGTAAAAGTAATATATCCAATTCGAATGTTTTGCATGTATTGAAAAATTAAGGCAAATTTTATAGCAAGAACTGATTTATACGGTAGCTTCACACTAGAACACAAGCCTTACATACTCTATGTGCAATTAATGTGATACATACTTCAATATGTACAAATCATGCATGCTTCATGAAAATGAGTTATATATATATATATATATATATATATATATATACTTTTTTTAAGCGGTTTACTAAAGTATATAGTTTTCCAGGCTGTTAAACTCGAAAGTGTGCATTGTGGACGAACGCGTTACTTGGTTGTGGTGTCTAATGGCGATCAAAGTTGTTTGCTGGGTATCGATTATGGTTTGGTGACTGCTATAGGACTTGTACTACCTGTATTAGCTGATACGACAATCACACTTGACGGAGATGGGTAAGTTTTTTTTATATATATTCTGTATGCATGTATGTATATTAGGGTAGTCCTTAATATGGACATTTTCGAATTTCTTGCTCCCAGGGACTCAAATGAAAAAACATTTTTCAAATTTTCGAAAAATTTTGCATGCTATTTCCATGCGAAGCTTTGATTGAATTGCGCACTATCTAAAAATTAATATTAAGAGCTAAAACTTTTAGAGAGTTTTTTTTATCAATTTGAAAGCATTTAAGCCCCTTTGAGCAATATAAATCGAAAATGTCCATATAAAGGACCACCCTAATGTGTATATATATATTGATGAGTTACGTTGGTTCGGACAGAAACCATCCTACCAAGAAAAAATTGCTAGAACTTACCGTACTTAAACTTAAGATTTTAAAAAATTTTGAAAATTTTGAAATTTTCGAAAGAAATTGACTTTTTAAAATTTTCTTATGCTTTGAAATTTTCTTTGATAATTTTGAACTTTTTTCAAAGCACTCTGGCTGTGTAGCAGTTTTATACTATATATATATATATATATATGTCATTTATACTATACATATATATCATTCTGAGTACTATAAACACTGAAAACTTTAACTTAAAATAAGTTAACACTTAAATTCACTACCAATAAGTTTAGAATAATGCGCCGTGTCTATAATTCAAATATATATCGTCACAATTTTTAATGTTGCTAAATCTGATTCTTCTTTTAATTGTAATGAGTACAATTTTTTTCTATCTATATATTATCTGAATCTTGAATTTTTTCGGTTGATTTTGGATTTATTGTAGCACCGTACAAAATTTTGTACATTTTTTATAATTAATTTTAAAATACCTTTTAGTGTGTTTATTTCAATTTGCGTATTTTGTTAAACACAATTTTTCATGAAAATAATTATAGCTCTTACAAAGCTATATCAAAACGCAAAACGAAAATCCGGTACGTATGGTCACCTTATTACACAGGTCCACAAAAAAGTCTGTATTGCATGTACGATATATCTTTTCCAATGTATTTTTTCACCTGCAAAAAACGGAGAACAATCGAAAAAACCAACAGAATTTTCTATCTAGAAATTTTTCTGCATGGTTATTAAAATCACGTAATTTCTGTCATTTCCTGGCCCTTTTTTCCGGCAGTTTCGGCAGTCCATTCCCCCGGAGTGACACCCCTGGCATGTTGCAAACCTATTTTGTTCAAAATGCAATATATATGTATCATCTAGGGGCAATGTCGAGTAAATATGTTCGCAAATTGCACCTGGAAACTGCAAAAAAATACTCAATAGACACGAAAAAATTATGGAGAAAAGGGCCAGTAACGGTCAGAAGTTACAAGATTTTTATTACAATGCAAAAAAAAATTCTAGTTCGAAGATTTTTTCGTTTTCTCCGTTTTTTGCAGTCTGACATGATGCACACCCAATAGAGACAACTTTTTTGTGGACTTGTATAATATATATATATATATATATATATATATATTAAAATATTTTTTTACCTTTTCAGAGGTTTCAAAGTTCGCATATGTAATTGTCAACACATATTTAAACCCGTATCGGTACAGGCAATGTGGTAAGTTGGATTAAATAATTACTGTAATCATTTGTTTCTATATTACATTATTTAAATGATAAATTTTCGGTTTTAGGTCAGCTTTGCAGACTTTGCATCGAGTTAGCGCAATTGCTAGAAAAAATAATTTTTATCCCGGAGGATTATCGCACAAATGGGTGAAAAATTACGAATCCAGAATACACTCGGACCGATCGTGTTTAAACGAATGGCATGCCATGGACGCTTTGGAGTCACGAAGGCCTCTTTCGCCAGATTCATTGCGGGCAAAGTATGATATTCAATTTTATATAAATCGTTAATTCGATTTCTTTATAGTTAGCCCGGTCAATTTGAACCTAAAATCAGGGTAAGGTTACTATCAGTTTTATTGCAAAATTACCTGAGATAATATTGTAGAGCATAAAACTATCTACAAAAAAAAGCATCAATACTTTTTTTGCTCAGAGCCACCGCTTTAAAGATATATCACTTGGAAAAGTACGTTTAAACGCCACCTACGAGGAAGTGTGCTTAGTTCGTTTTTTTATGTGGTTTTCCCAGTAGGCCTATTTCATGGGTCTGTTGTTGCAAAATAATATTTGTGAATTTGGGTTGGTAAAAATGAAGATGGTAATTATAAAAAAGCAACTAATCATGGGAGTCATAATTTTCAAATGTTTCTAAATCTTTTTCGTATCGTAACCTTGAATGCATAAATTGACCAGGCTAAGTGTTAAATATATTATATATGAATATTTATATATATACATATATGAATATATAAAAAGTTTGTTCCAAGAGATAGGATATTCTAATATCTTTGCTAATATAGGGAAATAATAATGTTTTTTTCTTAATAATTTTTTAACTTTGAGTATTGAATATTATTTTGCCCGCCTGCCTGGCTGTTGTTTTTTTTCCGATATTAAAGCTGTTATTTCAAAACCTGATTGAAACATTCATTTTCTTTTTGAAAATGTGATTAAAACTTTAATATGATTCGTAAATAAGTTATATAATTTTAGATTTAAAAGTAGAAATAATGTATAATGTATGAAGTAATGTAATTTCATTCATTGTTTTTCAGACCTAGTGAAAGAACAGAGACTGAATGCATAATAAGATCAAAATTGAAAGAAATTATGATGTCTGTTGACTTAGATGAAGTGACTAGTAAATATATTAGAACTAGATTAGAGGATGATTTAGACACAGATCTTGGCGAATATAAACCGTTCATTGATCAGGAAATGATAGTTATATTAGGACAAATGGATGCACCAACTGAAGTTTTCGAAAATGTTTTTCTAGGATCTGAATGGAATGCAAGCAACTTAGAGGAATTACAAAAAAATGGGTACAGATTCATCCAGATAATTTATTTTGTGTTATGAATAGATTTTAACTTATTTTTTTTATTTTCAGAATAAGACATATTTTAAATGTTACAAGAGAAATTGATAATTTTTTTCCTGGTATGTTTGATTATTTGAATATCCGTGTATATGATGATGACAATACAAATCTCTTGAAATATTGGGATGATACCTATAAATATATTTCTAGAGCTTCCAGGTATATTCTTAATGTGCTAATTTTAGAAATCTTATCATTTTATATTATTGTTTGCATTTTGATTCAGTTATTTACCAATAGCCCTGCACTAAAATTATACTAAAAATAATAAATTTGCATTTTTTTAGGAGTGGTTCCAAAGTTCTTGTTCATTGCAAAATGGGCATAAGTAGATCTGCATCCGTTATAGTAGCATATGCTATGAAGGCATATGATTGGGACTTAACACAAGCATTAAAGCATGTAAAAAATAAAAGAAATTGTATAAAACCGAACACAAATTTTGTTAGCCAATTAGAAACATACCAGGGCATTTTATATGCTATGAAAAATCGTGAAAAACTGCAAAGATCAAAATCGGAAACAAACTTGGAAAAAAAGGTAATTATCATTAGTTATTTATTAATTTATTGTATATCTTTAAACACTCTGGGACTGCGGTTAATTGATTTAATAATGAAAGGGGCTCGAGATTTATAAAATCATATATAATTTCTAATAATAAAATTTATTATCAAGGTGTTGTAATATTTAATTTATTTGTTATCTTTTTATTTTGCTAGATGATTCTCCTGGGTGGAGAACCAACTCCTTTAGTTCAAGCTCTAGAGAAAGAAAAATATGCTTCTGTGAAGACTTTATTTAATTCAAGGCCAAAATCATGGTCCTTGTGCAATGATGCAGAAGAACCCAGTCACTTAAAATCAATTACTTTATCTTTAGATGATGTTACTCAGAAAAAAAACATAATACTGCCCTGTAAAAATGGAAAAGTGTACAGTGTCTCACAAAATAGAATTATGCATTTAGAGCGCAAAAGTGAAACGGAGCCTTCTAAAGTAAAAAATATTGTTTGTGAATTTGAAACCCAAAATAAATCAATGGCTAGAAAGCTTATGTGGGATCCAGGTCCCAATCTTGATTGCAGTGATAGTTCCGAAAGTTGTGTGCAGAATGAAAATAAAAAAAAAGCTAAACAAAAGTTGAAAAGCTATTTAACTCGAAATTCATGGAATGCACTCAATGGTGTTGTAGATGATAGCATATATACAATATTGTATAGACATAATACATTGGATTCTGAAAATAATAAATTACCTAGTGATATGTGTTTTGGTCCCTGTGATACAACTTTATGTAACAAAAATGTAAAATGTAAACGATTTAAATTGGAATTTGGTTACGATGATAAATTAATGTCACCAGTAGATATAAACATTATATGTCCAAAGCCATATCAAAATTCTTTCTGTGATATACAATCCACAAACAAACCTTACAAGCTTAGAAATACGGCATCTGAAATGTTTTATACATCAGTAATTAGAGAGAATGTTTTATTGCGATCTAAAAATTTTTCATCAATTAGTGTATCATTAATAGATAGCATAAAACCATTTAAACCATTTGGTCTTGTAAAAAATTTAAAATTGGAATATGAGTCTAAAACTGTCAAAAATAATTTTTGTAAAAAGTCATTTAGTAAGACTGATAAGAAGGCCAGGGCGGAAGCAAAAACTGAAGATTTATCTGTGAAATATCTAGTTGGAAAATATGAAAATACCAATCAAGAAATCTCATCTCAATACATAATAAATAAGAACAAAGAAAATCTAAGAAAAAATTATGGTGCTCCAGTTTTTACATGCAGTACAAATTTAATTGATTCAAGTTTCTGTTCATTACCCATCATTAAAAAAAATCAGACCAAACACAAAGTACAATTACATCATGGTAAAGTACATTGTTTAAGCAGGTTGACTCTAATCAGGTCCAATAACAACTCCAACACATGCAATACCATGTTACATTTACATTGAAATAACTAAATAGGCTGTGATTTAATTAAATTGTGTATTTATCATAATATAAATTAACATACTGCAATGCAAGTACATATTATTTGAAATGTAATAAAGATAATTGTGAATATGTATACACATCTGAAAATATGTATGTGTGTCAGTGATAGTCAATCTCATCCTTACCGCATGCATTTGGGCGTTTTAGCTTTTATAGTCGCCGGTGTGGGTTTGCTTGATGCTGAAACTACTGGATTACTCAAATATTTTCCATGACGTTAATCGAAAATATTTTTATCACATTTTCATATTTGTAATAAAATATTGTAAGCTTTAATATGAAGTAACGCTACTCTATTAAATTTTATAAAGATTTTTAAACATTGATTCTAATCATTTTTTTGAAATTAGTGAACTGTGAAGAGATTTTTCTACTGACATACTCAAGTGAGTGGTAGATGTAAAAGATTGACAAATCTGGATTTACGTATATATATATATATATATATATATATATATATATATATATATATATATATATGATGTTAATGACCATGTGTGCATGCACATACCAGACGGAATCAGTCATGTTTATTTTGCTACAAATTAGTATTAATTTGATGTTTCATGTGTATGTATAAATATAGAGATAGTGAAAATGATTGGCAGCTCAGATTTTCTTTTAATAAGACTCAATATAGATATATATCAAATTGTCAATAGATATAATATATATAAAATGAAGAACTTTTGTGAAATGGCTTTTTCTTTCACCTTAGCACTTACCTTATTAGAATATATCATCAATGTACTGAATTAATTTCAAATCAAAAAAAGTCGAGATTGTAGTTTTTCAAATGGTTATAACAACCATGAGAAAGGATTTAAATTGAAATTTGAATTGAAATGTGGAATTAAGTAATACAAGACTATAATTAAATTTATATCAATTTCTTTTCTTAGTACAATAATGATATATTAATTACAATTTTGTATTAATTTACTTCTTTCAGAATATTTCAGGCATGTTTACTTATCTATGTCAGAAACATATTGTTTACGGTTGTATAATCTATGTGAAATATGCACTACACTTTTATATCTTTAAACATTCCTTTCAATTTGTTTAATTGTTTTTTTTGTTTTTGCTATTTTTATTTTCGTAAAGTAGGAGTTTTATGTTAATAAATCTGGCCCGCCTTTTTAGAACCTTAATTAAAAAAACTTACATTTTAATTTAATTAATTTCAGTGAAATATTGAGTAAATTTTGAGCAACTGATAAAATTTTCTGACTACTGCTTTCATTTTACTGCAATGTTTTGATTATACATGTAAGCACATCATTACATTAGAAGCCTCAAGAAATACATTAGAAACTTCTTATCTCATTTGATTTTTATGATGTGATCCGGCGAAACTAAGCCGTTTTTTTTGTTTGTTTTTGTTTCTTGTGAGCTTTTCTAACAGCAATTTCTCTCGCTGCAAGTTATTCTGAATCGTTTGCAAGCCAAAATTTGACCTTTTCTCTAACCTTTTTAAAACGGCTACTAAGCTTGGTAAGCAGTAGAGTTGATTAATTTTGTGGAGCGATCGGCCGAGCCGTTTCTTTTAAAATGTGCAGAAAAGTGTAAATGTTTTTGTTAACGTTTTCACCTCCTCCTCAATCAATTTTGAACATTTGGCAATCCTTCGAAAGACATCAGTGAGAATCGTGCTGATTCGTTTTTTTTTTGGTAAAGATAGGCCGAACAGTTTCTTCATAATTAGTGGTTGAAGTTTTTTTTAACTGTTTTGCTAAAACTTGTATGATAGAGTAAATGGCTTGAACTTGCATACTAAAATATTATAGTTCTAAACGACATGTGGATGTATTTTAAAAGTTCATCATAGTTGGAAATAATGAACCGCGTCATTAGAATTCTGCACCGTGTATATTTCGTTCTGTTTCTTGTACCGATGTTATAGTTCGTTAACATTTGGTGCATATATCATTGATTAGATTTAAGTAAAAGTAAAAATTTTATTTCCGAAATGAAAAGTTGAAAGTGTTATTTAAATAGCTAAAACTTAATTCTTATTGATTAACTATACCGGGCTTCTATCATTTAAATGAATGATGAAACATGAATTCATGTTTCTAAAAATTCATCAAAGGTGTTAAAGTTAATATTAGACGATTTATTTGGGTATAACGATAGAGTACATGGTCTTAATTAACATACGAAATCATTAAAGTCATACGAAAACTGGTTCAATTATAAAAATGATTGATTTTTGAAAATTTGCTTTTAGAAAATACTGATCGTTCGTTTTCAATTATTCGTAATCCACTTCGAATACATAAATTAATTTATTTTTTATTGATTAAGTCGATTATTTACACATATCGGGAAGTTTATATAACTTGCCTTAAGGCCAAATACCAATATCAACTAGTTAAAACATTTTAATTTTTGGTACGGAAAGTTCCTGCAATTTACATTAAGGCACGATGCCATGCAACAGTTTATATATATATATATATATATATATATATATTCAATAGATAAGTCCTGGATTTTTTCAATATGTATATATATACATGTATATGTGTTATAATATATGCACATCCATATATGTGCTTATATGTATGTTTTTGTGTGTAGACTATATACATGCACTTGCGTATATGTTCATGTATATAATTGTAGATACATTAATATATAGATATGTGCATATGTATGTATGAGTATGTAGGTGTGCATATGCATGTGCATGTATATATATATATACATAATATTTCTCAACATTTACTAAAGCATTATTTTCTCTTTTTTCGTAAATTACCAATACAAGAGCCATAAAAAATCATTTTTGCCAGGAATTCCGTACGTTGTCCTTTACATCTGGCCGACAGAACTCCATATCAGTGTGTTTAAGTCTTGTGTAGTCGTAACATCTACAAATATCCTCCAAAAAAATCGAGTGTTTTTAACAAAAAAATATTAGTGATATGGATATATAAATTATTACAGGTAAATAATTTTTGCTTCTCAATTTTATATAATAATTTATATTTTTAGTTAATTCTTATTACTCTTTACCCCGGTACATAATCCATTCCTTTATAAAAATTTTTTCTAATTAATCTGTATTGACCATCATTAATTAATGTTAATCAATATTTTTAAAAAAACATTGTATTTGACAGAATAAACCTGATGATGGAACGTACCTAGTTCCGAAACGTCGTATTAAACATCTTCAAAAAACAAATTGTTTTTTATTATTGGATTTACTGTTCGGAAAAGAAACAATCAATATATATATCAATATATAACAATCATATATATATATATATATATATATAGATATATATATATATATATATATATATATATATATATATATATATTGAAGTATGTGAGTTTGGTGTTGATATATATTTTGATTTTTCAAGGGCGCAAATTAATTCTCGGGTGCGTGTTCATATATCCTACACGTACCGAAATTATTTACGCCTGACATGCCCGACGCATTAACGTGTCTTGCCTGGTTAACCGGCGAAATGCCACTAACCTTAGTTTCTACTTGTTTGATTGATTAACTAATTAGTAACTATATATATATTTTGGTATTTACATGTTTTTGTTATAAATGACTAATTATTGGGATGATTTGTTCGCCTGCTCAACAGAATGGATCTAGGATCTGAACATGTAAAATGGCGGCAGTTCCCGCGAGATGATGCTGGACAAGCTGTCACTTGGAGGAGATTCGCCAACGCAATTTAGTCGCGATAAGGCTATAATATGTTGTTGTATTATTATCTATGGAGATTAAAATGTATTGTTTGCATACAAAAGTGAATTAATCATGAATTAGATGTATCATTTGGTCAATTATTTTTTTCATTTTATTTTTACGAAATTATTTTAATTAGTTACTAAGTTTAAATACAAAACGTGAATAAAGTTAAAGTTGTGAGGATGGAGTCTGATAAGAAATATTTGTCAAATTATAGACATTTTTTTGAAAATTTTGTTACTATCGGAGACACTGCAGACCAACTTCCACTAAAAGTTAGTTTATATGATTTGAATGAAAATGAAATTACGGGAGATGTCGTCTACTGGGCAATACAGTATTTGAATCAGAAGTAAGTCAATAAAACTTTTTTAATAATATTGTTAGCTATCCCGTCGTGGCGCGATTGTATGATTTAAAGTAAACAGATGTAATTTTGAGGTTATGTCTGGTTTGAATATTGATTTTGCAGACAAGTTTTTATGAAGATAACTTATCGTGTACTTTGTAATAGCTAAGAATTATTCATTTTTACGTTCATAAATTATATATTAAAATATAAAAAATATAAAAATACCTTGTAAAATCGACGTTCCTCCTTAAATATTTTTGCACATAAATTGCATTTGCAATTACAGGACGTACCAAGGAGTGTGTAGATTGTTTATTGAAAATCAAAACAAAAATCTGCATCTTATAATACTTGATATAAATATTAAATTTCTTAATGACTTAATAATAAATTAAAAAATAATAATAAATTCTTATGACTCTATGTGTAGTACTAATGAGCTTTTCAGGGTTAATTACAACAATTAAAATATTACAATCACAAGCATATACAAATTATAGACTATTGCATAGTCTTGGAATAGAATCATAATATTCATGGCACAATTGTATGCTGATAAACCTAAAGTTTAAGTGACAAATGATTATTTTTGAGAGTTCTATTTCCCAGTCATATTGTACTTATATATGTATTTTTTATATTTATTAACGTCGATTTCAAAAATTTAAAAGCCATTCGATGTATCTCGATAAGGACTAGAGTTTCTCAATTGTGTGCGACGATCGGCCGAGCCGTTTCTTTGTAAATCGCAGAAAAGTGAAAAAATTTTCGTCCACGTTTTAGCCCGCAATTTTGAATCGATTTTGAAAATTCAAAAACCTTTCGAAATATATTGGTTGGGAATCGACCTGATTAGTTTTCGGTAAAGAACGTCCGGGTTGTTTCCTTGTAATAAATTGTTAAAAAAAAAATTTCGACGATTCTTATGATTTTTTTATGGTAGATACCTTATAGAGTTGTCTTATAGATCAGACTAATATATTACGGCTCTATAACAAGTCGTTTAATTTTAAAAATTCGTCAAAGTTTGCAAAAATTACTTTAGTTAAATTTTCTTGATTTCGTATTCTTAACGTTTGTCAAAATTAGATCTTTCATCGACGTTTTCTGAAAAACGGCTGGACCGATTTAAAAAATTTAAAAGCCATTTGATGTATCTCGATCAGGATTATCATTTTTCAGCTTTGTGCAACGATCTGCCAAGCCGGTTCTTTGTAATTTGAAAAAAAGTGTTAAACTTTTCGTCCACATTTAAGCTCATACTACCGAATCGATTTTAAAAATTCAAAAACTGATCCAAAGATATTAGTTGGGAATGATAATGATTAGTTTTAGGTGAAAATCTACCGAGCTGTTTTCTTGCAATTAACTGCTGAAAACAAAATTTAAGCCGATTTTTGTGAAACTTTTTTTGGCAATATATATCATGGTCTTATAGAACTTACTGAAATATTATGGCCTTACAAGTAGTTTAATTTTTAAAAAATTATCAAAGTTTGAGAAAATGAGTAGTTTTTTTTAACGTTTGTTAAAATTAAAATTAGACAATTTACTTTGTATAAACATACTAAACCATCAAAATCCTACGCCCTCCAAGAAATTAATATAATAATAATGTAATAAAATAATAAATACAATATAATATCTAATGTCTTCGAAAAATACTTGGTTTTGCTTTAATTATAATTAATGAATATAAAATATTAAAAGTTGATAGGGTTATCTCTTGATAATAGATTAGTTAGATATAGATTATAGATAATAGTTACAGTTAAAAAGGAATTTTATGAAAACAAGATATTTCTGTTTATTTTTTACTTTTATAATTAAAATTATCTTACAGACAGATACGATAAACTTATAGTTAGGTTCTTGCATTTTCACATTTTAGTGATATATTTGAACAATAAATAATTACATTCAGAGTAGTATTTTTTTTATTTGGATACAATGCTCATAATTTATTAATTCATGGCTTCAATTAGCATAATGATATTATATTTCAATATATATATATATATATATATATATATATATATATAATTCCAGAATTTCAGAAATATGTATAGTAATTATCAACAAGTTTTTCCTTGTGTTTCTTATTAAAATTCTCATAATATTTATGTAACAAAGTTGGGTTCTTTCATTGTTCAGTTGGTACAGCTTTTTTATATTTAAACCTTGTATATAACAAATTGTTAAAATTTGAGATTATGTAATACACATGCTTTTGCAATTTGTTACACTTATGTCAGATATTTAACAAAATATTCAAGTACAATTCAACCTTAGAAGCATGCTGTGCACCTACTCATACTCTCCAGGTGGTTTGGACGCCTGTGATCATGAAAATAGGAAAAAATATAAAACTCTGATCACGAAAATCATCCGACCACTCCCTGTCGAGGGCAGATTTGGTTCGAACGCGCTTATCCGTTCACGCTGTGAGTCACACCAACGCTCCGATTGTTGAGATAGTGACTTTTACCACGGATCTAATGCATTTTTTATTTATTTATTTATTTATTTATTTATTTACATGGCTTCAACCTTATGGTTATATAGCTTATTACAAAAATTTATAATACTAATTATAACTAGTGGTGGATGGCATCGTGCCTTCGAGAAAAAGGCATAAAAATAAACAGTAATCATTAAAAATTAAAGAAAAAACTAGTGGGGTGCATGACATCGTGCCTTAAGGCAAATTGCTGGAACTTCCCGTACCAAAAAAAAATTTTTTTAAAGATTAACATTTTTGAAAAAAATTACTCTGAAAAAAATAGATTTTTGAGAAATTATAAATTTTGAAAAAAAAGACTTTTTGAAGAAAAATTTATTTTGAAATATTTTGGAAATTCTGAACTTTTTTTCAAAGCAATTGTACTGCTTTAACTGCATAGAGACGAAATATCGAAGCGCCGCATCGCCGTCTAACGGATAAACATTGGTACGGAACCCATAGGAATGTAAACAAAATGTATACTTATTGTTAAAATCTCTATAAAATATCTGATAATTTGATGTGCATATGTCTAATGATCATTTTTGACCGCCAGATGGCACTTTTTTAACTTTTTTTTACTAGATCTCCGAAACCGCTAGACCTGCCTTCATGAAAATTTGATCAGTTCTTCATCTTGTTAATACAAGTAAAACATTTTTTAAATTATTCAAATCGAACGCTCCGTTCTCTTAAAAACTGAGTTACCGTTTTTGGCACTTTTTGTCCCATATCTTAGGAACGGCTAGACCTGCCTTTGACAAAAACTAATCAGCCTCCTTATCAATACGAATCGAATGTTTTTTGAATTATTCAAATCGCTTCATCCGTGTTCCCGAAATCGTCGACGAAAATTAGTAGCCGCACACACACACACATCCATTTTTTCTAAGGTAGGCCAAAATGTTCAGAAGGTTTTGAAACGTAAAGATATATAAAAATTTTCATTTTCGATTTTTTTGCGATTATTATAACTTACCCTCCGGTTAACTAGGTATACATATATCTAAACTTAACTATATACATATCGATACATATATATACATACCCACATGCACATACATAATATTTTATATACACATACACATACATACATACAGGGCCGGTCCTGCCTTGCATGCGATGCATGCAAAAAATGCGGGCGCAAGCCTTAGGAGGCGCCAAAACGAGTTTCGGAAATTAAATTTATAAGACAATATTTATATTTTTTTTAATAAAATCTATAATTATTTATTTAAAATCTAGAATACTTAATAAATTATAATAAATAATTTAACTTAACTAGGGATGCGGAGACCCAAAAAGCATGTTTATTTTACAATGTGATATCAGTAGAAACAATTAACCGATTAACAATTCTGCAAATTAGTAAATAACAGTTCTGTTTATTGCTTAATCTACTTATTGAATTTTTTCTTCGTTTGAAGTTACCGTGGAATCGAAAAAGAAATTATCTAGTGTTCAATCCCATAAGCGCAAACCTGCGAAAGATTAAATTAATTGTTGAGCATTATTGACGAAAAATTGCGAGCTGATTTAGTTGAATCGGAACTTGTTAAAAAATATAAACAAATTATAAAAAATGGGGAGTCACTGCTTAGAAAATGACTTGTTTATTCCGAGAAATTGAATTGTAACTTTTGCTTTTGTTGCAAATGTTTTGCATCTGTTGAACTTTGAAGTTGAAGACATGCGTGGAACAAATATGAAAAATGGAAGCAAAATTTACTTTGGAACGAAAATCTTAAGGCTTGTTTTATACATAGTGGTGTCCATACTCTAAATTTAATAATTATTAACTATACAGAAATAATACATATCAAATATAATTAGTTGTTTTTTCAATATTGTTCAAGAAATGTGTAATTTCTTTGCATTTTTACTGTATTCTAAAATACGTTCAAAATTTAACTTTAAAACAACAAGCTGTTACTCTGAATATGACGGCTCTTACGATACCAAAAAGGAGAAGTTTACGACGCAATTTTGGATATTGTAAATGATGAAAAATTAAATTAAATTAAAATTTAAAAAATCCAACATGAAATACGAGTGTTATGTTCGAAAATTAAATGCTAGTTTTTTTTAAATATTAATATTGCACAAACGTTAAAAATAATTGAAAATTTCAAAATACTTGATTATAATCAACCCCCAAATCGCCTCGATTTTCTAAATAAATTTAAAATCAATATATTTTATACGCTTTTAGATTATATCTAATTATTAGTGCACTAAATCCACAATAATTAAAAATTAATTTATTTGTTTCACTTAATATTTTTGTTAAATTAAAGTTATAGAATTTAAGAAATGCATTTCAGAAATAGTATTTATTATTTTGATATCAAGATCTTTGTATCAAAATAAAAAATACTATTTTTGAAATGCATTTCTTAAATTCTATAACTTTAATCTAACAAATATATTAATTCTTTTGCTATGGTAGTCGAACTTACATCCTTAACGAATTTACTGCATATTGAATATTACTAAAATATGAAATTATAACAGGTATTGTTTTATTCATTGATATCGATAATAATAAATAAATTTAAAATTATTATATTTTATACCCTTCTAGATTATATCTAATTTTTGTGTACTAAATCCAGAATAATTAAAAATTAATTTTTAAAAAATACGTAAATATTTATATAATTTTATTGATAAACTGTTAAAACGGTGAAAATTAATAGGGGGGGGGGGGGCGCTAGAAGAAAAGTTGCATGCGGGTGCAAAGGAACCCAGGACCGGCCCTGCATACATATATACACAGATATCAATAAAGTGAAACTTAAATTCTAATGCATTGAAATACATTATTAACTAGTGGGGCGCATGGCATCGTGTCTTAAGACAAATTGCTGGAACTTCCCATACCTTAATTAAACACTCGAGAAATGAAAGTAATCAATAATTGTTTTGAATAATTTCAAATAGAATTCATTATAAATACATACTGTAAACTTATAAGTGCTTTTTAAATCAGGCGACGAGCGTATTCTACAAACAACTTATGTATATGTTTAAAATACATTTCTTTTTTTTTAAATTTGATTTTTTTGTAAATTTAGAATTTTTTTCAAAATTTTGAAATTTCTTTTAGAAGTTTAAATTTTTTTGGATATTTTTTGTTAAAACGTTTTTTGTAAACTTTTTCGTAAATATTCTCAAATTTTTGTAAGAAACTGTTTTTTTAATTTTGATATTTTTTGAAATTTTTCAAAATTACGAAATTATCTGTAAAAGCATTTGTTGCACACCATCTACTCAAGAAAAATGTTTTTGAAATAATTTAATCGGATGATCCGTTCTCCTAAAAACTGAATTACCATTTTTGGCTCTTTTTGCCCCGTATCTTCGAAACGACTAGACCTGCCTATACCTAAAAACTATTCAGCACGTCTCTTTATCAGTACGAATCAAGTGCTTTTTAAATTATTCAAATTGGATATTTCATACTGTCGAAAATGTCGAGGCAATTTGTTTGCACCATATACTTGAATTTTAAAATTGAAAATCTTGGTAGGAAACCCAAAAAAAATTATTATTACAGTGTACACATTATTAAAATCTCTATAAAACATCTAATAATTTGATGTGCATATGTTTCAATTATTGCAAGTTTCAGCAATTTGCCTTTTAAGGCACGATGCCATACACATCACTAGTTTAACTTATTTTTATTGAGAGTCCACAACCGCTGGGCCTACCTTTCCAAAAATTGGAACAGTTCTTCGCTTGGTCAATATAAACAAAATATTTTTTGAATTTCTTAAATCGAACGCTTCGTTCTCTCAAAAATGAACTTTTGGTTCTTATTGCCCCTATCTTCGAAACGGTTAGACCTGCCTATGCCAAAAACTAATCAGCACGTCTCCTTATCAATACGAATCGAATGTTTTTTGAATTATTCAAATCGGTTGATCCGTGTTCTCGAAATCGTTGACAAAAATTTGTATCCGCACACACACATACATCCATTTATTCTGAGGTATGCCAAAATGTTCAGAAATCTTTGAAACGTAAAAATATATAAAAAATTTCATTTTCGATTTTTTTGCGATTGCTATAACTTGCCCTACGAGATGTTAATAATAGTTATAACTATTATACAGTATAGTTATAACTATAGTGATTATATGCATAAATATGTATAATAAAATCTGTTTTTACAGGAAATGTCCCGAGCCATTACAGTCTTTGCTTACAAATAGAATATTAGAAGAAGTACGACAAACATGTGATAAGCATCCGGCAGAATGTGGTTTTCGAACAAATGAAAATGGTAAACATTCTATATTCTTATTTTTACTATATATCATTATAAATTCAACTTGGTATTTCATATTCATCAGTTTCATAACACTCTTTCGATATACATTCAATAATATGTAGTTAAATTGATCCAGGTAAGTGGTGATATTATGAATTCTAGTAATTATTTTAGTTAACTCCAATCTGTATATTATATGCCTCTGAAGATGAAATGAAATGATGTATATGTTTTGGTTTCATATAAACTACACTTTTTAATTAATTTAAAATAAAATTAATTTAAAATATAATTTAAATTTAAATGATACACAGTATCATTACACTACACTGTTTACTCCGGAACTAGGTTATACCTATGTTTGTTTTTACTATCGTTATTTTAATATAAATCAATAAATTTTATTTCTTTAGCGCTATTTTAATAAAAGTTCTTTTAATTGTACTAAACTAGCGTATGATAGTTATGTAATGTTATGTAATTATGTAATGACTTGCATAGTGTACCAGGCGTTGAAATTAATGCAACTCGTCACTACGACAACAAATGGTATATGTAATCAGTACTTGGATAATACTCTACTGGACTCATTACCTGCACCAGATGCCAATTGTTTTAGAAAGTACTCCTGTACATCAACAAAAAATCTTAGACGAAAGATGGAGGACCGCTATACTGCTGTACTTGATTTAAATACAACATTTGGCGTACCATCTGAGAATGATCAATTATGCAGGTAAAGTGACAGAATTGTCATAGGTTGTAGGGTTCAAAGCATTTTAAATGAAACTTGATAATAGTATTATTTTTTCTACTTTGCATTTTATAAATTTGGTGTTCTTGTGTTTGTTTTCGTAACAACCTTGTCATTACAATAGTTTTAAGGGATTCAACAATCAGTCATTTATATGAATTAAAATTAGAGACCATTTAAATATATCTATGTTAAAATAAATACACAATATTTTTCTTGATAATCTAGTTTTAGATGCAATGTTTTTATTCACATAGGTAGATATATGCAACATACATAAAATTTTAACATTATTATTTTAACAATTTTGATCAATATGTTTTTGTTGCAATACTGAACTACGTAGCAGGAAGTATATCAGGTCATAATCGATTTTTTGTTGCTATGTTGGCAACACTGTTTTATTTTGTATTATATTTATACTGTTTTTTATTTCTAATTCTTATCTAATGTTACTAATGCCTAACATATGATCATTGTTCGAAGTATATAGCATATTTCCGTTTGTTTTCGAAAGTAACTCACGCAATTCTTATTGTTTTACCTTATTTCTAACTAATCTTCTAACTAATGTATGTTTGTGTGAGTATTTAGAGTAGCAATAACAAAATCATATCTATTATTTTCATAGTATTTTGTACTTCATTAGTAATCGTATTACCACTGTTTTTGATAATTGACATCGAACTTTTAAACGTTATGTCCAACAAGTTTATCATTGCATTGGACATGTCAATACAACAAAAAGAAAAACCAATAAACCGTTTTCAGTTTTTACGGTGTATTTGATGGGCATGCTGGTCACGAAGCTGCTGCGTATGCTGCTGCACATCTACCTCAATACTTAACAGAATCTCCTTCGTACAAATCAAATATGGAACTTGCACTAAAAGAGGCATTTCTCAAAACGGATAAGAGTTTTGTCGAAAAATCACGGGCGGAAAATTTACGTAGCGGAACAACAGTTGTATCTGCAGTATTGCAACCCCGATTGTTAACTGTGGCATGGGTTGGCGACTCGCAAGCTCTACTGGTCAAAGAAGGGCGTGTTATGCAGATTGTAGTACCACATAAACCTGCACGAGAGGTTGGTAACAATGCCTAAACTAAGTATTTCTAACGTGTAGCTATTATATTTTTAATTATTTAAGGATGAGAGAAAACGTATCGAAGACCTTGGAGGATTTATTGTTCAGTATGGCATACCGCGTGTGAATGGACAACTAGCTGTATCTCGTGCGATAGGTACGCAAATTTATTTTTATATTGCATGACTGAAAAGTAGAGATAATAAAGGCAATTATTCCTTATTAAAACGCCGACGTTGGTGCTCTATCCGAAAGTAATTAGGTGGCGTGAGATTGCCACACTTTTTTCACCCTTTTTATCTCATTTGTAGTTGAATTTTCTACACTCTACCTTTTATAGTACTTTTTTATTTTTCATTCAAGTCCGTTCATATATATATATATATATATATATATATATATATATCAGACACGTCAAACATAAGGCCCGCGGACCGCATCCTGCCCCTGGCCTGAATCATAACGGCTCCGCGATCGTAATGTGTCACAGAAAAAAGAATCATATTCTTCAGAGTTTTTAGACTTGTTTTAAATAATCCTTCTCTTAACTCTTCCACTAAACACATTTATGTACAGAAAAATATTCATATTTATATTAGGTATACGAATTTAGTCATTTAAGGGGATATTCTAGTTGATTCTAGTCTAGCTAGACTAAAAGGCCTGAGTTTCATGTGATTTTTCGTCCACGTTTTCGCAAAAAATCCTGAACCGATTTTGAATATTGAAAAATCGTTCAAAATATTTCTTTTGGGGATTTAGTTACTTAAGAATGTATTCTAGTTTGGATACATAAGTTTCATGTGATTTTTCAAAAACTGTAAAAAAAGCAAACGAAATTTTTACTATAATTTTTTTCGTTGTAGTTCATACTGAAGAGAAAAGTCTATAAATAAGTAAAAGTAAATCGGCCGAGTAGAAACTGAAATGTCTTGGGTATCGTCGAGCCGTTTCTTTGTGAACAATTTAACAATTTTGTGAGTTTGAAGACGGTAATAGAGTTTTGGATCAAACAAACATCCTAAAATATTTGTGAGCCTAGGGAAATGTGTTTAATTATAAAAAATCATTACAATGTTTGTGTACTATAATTAACATAATTACATATACGTATTAAAGGTCTGTTTGAAAGATGTCAATTAGAAATCGCATTTTGAAAAGAGAGAAAATTTTATATTCGAAATAAAAAATAGTTGATGTACCGATAAGTCCATGTAAGTTGCCTTAAGACAAAATACCACTGACGCCAGTTTATTTTCAACCCAATTTCTATGAATTTAAAATTTAATAAATGGCTCGCTGCAAAATTGAGTGATATATATATATATATATATATATATATATATATATATATATATATATATATATATTGTCAAATGTTTAGGGTCCTGATTTGATCCAACTTCAGTGGATACATATAATTTTAAAAAAAAACATAAAAAATATGATACACCAATTAATATAACAACTTTTTCAATAAATATTAAATTAATAAAAATAAAATTAAAATAAACAAAAAGATTTACAATGCTATATATATATACATACATATAATGTGTGTGTGTGTTTATAGTCTTTTTTTTCATATGTTATCAACCAAATTTTAATTATCTTTCTACATTGATCAAATTATATTCATCACGTCATTTTTTTTCTAAAGTACAAAAAATTTATTTATTATTTTGGATTATGTGTTTCTAATGATTAGCATCACATACTTTACAATTTTTAATTACATACAATAAAATATATTTCTGAATTAAATTATATTACTTTTAGGCAATGTAGATCATAAACCTTATGTGACTGGAGAACCAGATGTGAAAACGGTTTGTTTAGATGGGCATGAAGATTTTCTTATTCTTGCAAGTGATGGTTTATGGGATTTTTTAACAGAAGATCATGCGGCAACTTTTGTTTATGATTCTGTATGTAGTGATCCAGGTTAGTTGTATTTTACAACAATATATTTTTCTCAATGTAAAATGAATTTAATACGAATTAGTCTATTAATACCATAGTTTTAAATATTAAAATAAACATTTATATTATTTTACTATTTACTTTTATGTATTTTATCTTTTACATAAGTATTTATAAAAATTACGTATTGCAGTTTCTATTTCATCTAAAATCGAATTGATTATCATCATATGTTCTAGTCATAGCTAAGCAATATAGTGATCATGTACTTAATATTTAATTAATATATAAATTACAGATAATCCAGACCTTTGCAATAAAATAACTCAAGGATTGGTGTGCCTTGCTAAGCAGCATGGCAGTACTGATAATATTACTGTAATATTAATATTTTTGAAAGTGCCCAAGTTTTTGGCATCTCAGCAGTCAAATATGAAAATAAAGGTTAATGATGACCTATTAAAGGATTGCCATGAGCATTACGAACAATATGAAAATACAAATACAAACAACAATAAAGATCAGCAGAATAACATTACACAGCCAGCAAGTGGCGACTACCAGAAGGAATTAAAAGATAACATAATTTATATCGAATCTTTTAATTCATCAAATTCGGAAAATCGCGAGAATACCAGTAAGTAATTATATATGCATGCATGTATGTATTATGTGTATGAAGGTGTGTTTGTACATATATCTATTATATATCTTATCTTGAAACAAATTTTTATTGAATGTTTAATTAATTTTTTAAGGTTTAAAATTTGGCAGGAAAGATTTATTCTCATGATAAATTGTCCTCTTTTTTAGTTAATTATCTTCAAATAAAAAGTATTTTATATGTGAAAATTTTAGTTAGAATTGTTTCCGTTAAGAATTATCATGTATCAGTGCACTGATATATACCATGGTATCTGACCCTGCACCTGGTAAGAGGGGGTCTATCAAGCTTGCTGACTGCAGTAATAATAAAGTTCTTATTTACTATTTTTATTGTTTATCATATAATTAATATGATTTACAATAGTCATATTAAGTAGTTTGATAAAATTGTAGTTATGCACGATAATTTTCATTTATATTTTGCAATTCTTTGCATTAAAAGATCAATAAAAAAGCATGATAAAGAATTTGCTTATGTTATTTCTGAGTAGTAATCTAATTAATTTTATTCTTGTTTGCATTTTGTTTGCTATGTATGGTTTTAACTAAAATTGTATATATTTGAATATATAATTCTATCTCAATATATTTGTTAGATTTTTATCTTTATATTGGTATTTTAATATTTTGGCTCATTTTCAGATCTTTTCATCATTTTACTCATATTATTTTTTAATGCTAACATTTTATTTTTATCTTCATATAATAGTTTAATTTTATTGTATTTATATTTCATATTTTTGTTTCTGCATTTGTATTTATTTTATTTATGATTTAATTTTATAATGATTATTATATATCGACACTAGGAATATTACTGCATATATATATATCAATATGGTTAAATATTATAAAATGTTTCTAATGTGAAATTGAAAATATTCCGAAATGGGCAATATATTTTTTGGTGTTTTATAGTCACATTTATACATAAAAGCGCAAATAACGTAATATGTAACTTTGCAATATAAAGTATATTTTAAACATTTTTTAAACCGACTGAGTTTCGTGGAATAACTTGGCTGAATAACAAACACTTCAAAGATGCCTGAGAAATATCTCTTTGTAGGAAAAATTACTATTAAAGAACAACAATAAGAAATTCGAGCTTCTGTGTTTGCCCTCTTGTTTTTCCAGTTTTCAAAATATTTATTAAACTAGTGGTTTATGGCATCGTGCCTTAAGGCAAATTGCTGGAAATTTCTGTATCAAAAATTAAATTTTTAAAAAAACATTAAATATGTTTTAAAATTTGAAAAAATTTGATTTTTGAGAAATTTTAAATTTTTGAACAAAATTACTTTTTTGGAAACAAATGTTTTTTTTTAGTTTGAAATATTTTGGATATTTTGAAATTTTTTTTAAAGTTATCGCACTGCTTTAGCTGCATAGAGACGCAATATCGAAGCGCGTAAGCGCCGCATCGACGTAAACGGACGAACGATGTTACGAAACCCATAGAAATATATATCTCTACGTTTCAGAGGTTTCAAAAAAATCGAAAATAAAAATCTTTATAAAGATTTTCATTTTCTATTTTTTGCGATTATTGTAGCTTGCCCTACGGGAAGTTAATTAGTGTAAGAAGTTTATTAGATTGTTATAAGAGCAAGTACCGATTTTTATTGATAAAAAATTTAGGTTGAAATATAAAAAAATAATAGAAAAGAATATATATTTAAATGTAATATTGTTAATCTGGGAAACAAACCATTTAATATTTAGACACACCACACCAATTTCCTAACAGAGTGCAGCACGAGCGCTGTACAACATTGTTCACTAGAGAATTTTTATTGGCGTTTGATGTAACCGTTTTTTCTGTTTTTGCTCATAAATTAACGATTGTTTTTCCATAAATTACTAGAGAATGTAAATAAAAAATATGATTATCTTGAATACTTAAAACATGATTAAATGTGCAACGAACTTGCCAAACATTACAAAAGAATGCGCTGGTTTCCTTCTCGTTATAAATAAATATCTCAATTAACAATCAGAATTTGAGCTATCAATATTTGACTAGTTTTATATTTAATAGCCTGTTAGGCCATCTTGTATAGAGATTTATCTTCCGTATTGATTAGTTTAAGACTAAATTCAAATGATTTTTTTCCAATATCAATCGCCTAGTTCGCGTCTGTGCTGCAACGATTTCTGCTTGCGCTTTTTTGATTCTTTGCCCATTATTGCAGTAAGTTCGTAGTTCTTATTACAGAGGTCAATAATAGGCGTGATATCACTGTGTGGAATTCTGTCTTGTAAGTGTTCACATTGTGAACTATATTCGGCGCAAATTTTCGCTAGTGTGAACTTACATCTTTATTAGTCAACGGCACTGTCCATCCATCGATCATCACTACATTTTATTCTCGTTTCTCCCGTTGTTGAGTTGTTTTTGTTTAGTTATTTTTAGAATTAAGTTTGTGCAACTTTTATTTCAAGTGAAGAAGCAGTATTATATTATGGTTATAAATGGCATTGCATGTATGACTCACAAAAATTAAAGGTGGAGTATTTTTGCACACGCACAACGAAATTATATATATATATATATATATATATATATATATATATATATTATCACATGCATGTTGAAATTTAATGGTTGAGAAAATAACAGTTATTTTCCACGTACAGTTTTACTTCGAGGTTTGCCATTTCGAATTTTATTTACATTGACAGTCCCATGTGTTTAAAATGTTGTGCTTCGGTTGAAATTTATTGTTATCACATAATTCTTGCGTTGTGACCGTATTTGGAATGACATACCGGTGTTGTTACAAATATTTGAGAGTATTACTTTAGCCGTCTTGTTAACAGTGTTTTCGTTTATAAATGAGTATTGGTTAAAAGGCGGTAGTCTATTTGTTTACAATATATGACGTAAATTTCGGTTATTTGAAATAATTAGACGCAGTTTGTGTATGACTATTTTGGTATTTATGGTCAGTGTTATATTTGTCATCGTCTTATAAGAATATAATTTTTACAGAAGTGAGTGTAGCGATTGATGATGAATTAGAAAACGGGTGGAAGTATTCTGAAGGTGCACAAGATTTGAGTGATTCAGTAAATAAAGTGAGTTTAACATTTATTAATTATTGTCTATTTATTTAGTTAGGATATGTCAATATACTGAAAGAAATTAATTTCTTGTACCTCTGGTGTGATCTTCTCTTTCCAGTATTGTTTGTGTTATACATTGTCTATTCATAAAATGGAAAAATTTTATACAGTTTCTTGTTAATTTCAAGAAAATGTCCGTCTTGGAATTTCGACCACTTCTTTCTTCCTGTATTTAGTGGTATGGCCAGATTTAAGTGAAATTTATCAAACTAAATTGAAAAACGTGAATTTCTAAATAAATATTATAGATACAATGTTATTCAAAACAAAACTGAAAATCATAAATATTTTCTGTTCTAAATGTAGAATTGGATAAACATTTCTTTTCGAAGTTCCAAAGTAACTGTTTGATTTGACATAAAATATTGTTTGGTATACTTAAAAAAAAAACTAATACTTTCAATTTATTGAAATTAATTTTATATTCAAATTAAACGTGCTATATATGAAATATGAAATAGGAATGTGTGTTTAATATTCGAAACATATCTAAAGTCTGAATTGGTAATAAATATTATTATTATGTTATTTACATACAACTACGGCTTACAGATAACTAGATGCTGATTTAATAAACTCAATTACTATGATAAACTAATTACAAAATTATCATAATCTTACTATTCCCAATAACTGATGTAAAATTATTCTAATCAGTTCTATTTTGTTTTATAAATTTTTTTATTCTGTTAAAACTATCTTCTACTTTTCTTTTCGTTTCTTCACTTTTCAAATAATGTTTTGTATATAATTCTAAGAGACAAATCTTAAATAACTATGGAATTAACATATTGTATGAAAAGTATTAAGAAATTAATAACTTCATAATCAAATTTATTTCAAATTGATACAAAATAACTAATTACATTTTTATTCAACAGTCATCCAAAAATAAGTTGAATGACTACATGATGGCGTCCCAATTGAATCCAGAAGCTGCCGAGTTTGTACCGGTTGAAGCGGGTAGTCCTGCACGATCAGTATTATTTTTGAGAGAAGGCTTGCTTGGTATTGCAATTTTTGCTCACTAATATATAACTTATTTTAATTACATTATCCATGACTTACATTATCTGAATAATATATTATGTGATTAATCATTTATTTTATAAATTTTCTAGATGATGTAATGGCTCGAAGTCCAAGACAATTTAGTGCTGCTGAACAAGTTCTTAATGTACCATCGGATACTGAATTTGCATCAGAAATTAAATCAAGACCAGGAGAACTAAGTGCAAATGTAACATAAATTGCTTACTATTCATGGATTGTTACAGTACATTTACTATATAAATATTTGTATACATATCTATGTGCATCGTATATGACCACTCTTTTATATACCTCTCATTTTATACAATAAATTATGAATTGTGAAGACTCAGCCATTGATCCGCTTCAAAATATTTCGGAGCATGCACTTTGAGTTATCGTTTCTAATTTTAATGTGAATCATCATACTAATCTTCACAGTATTGATTACTATTTATGAAGTGAGGATTTGTTTTTATGGCTATTCATTCAGTTTTTGAGCATGTTTTCCTTCCATGTTTTTTTATGATGCATGAAATTAAATGTGACTTTTGTTTTTACAGGGTTCTTTTGAAAGCGATAAGAAAGAATTAATTTCTACTATAGGAGATGGAATTGACTACATCAGCAATGAGAATATAGGATTCTTGCCCATGTCACAAAATTCCAATAAATTCTTTGAACCTGCATGTGAAAACAATGACTTTTTGGTAATAAGTAATAAAATACAAGATGAGCTAAATACAGTGCAGAAATTGCCTTTATCTGATAGTGATGAAGAAAGTGATAGCATGAAAACTAATTCACAATTTAATAATGAGAATGAAAGTTACGAAAGAAAATTGAATGAAAATGATCATTCTTTACCGTCCGAGCTACAAGATTTTTCAAATTCAGCTGATCAGAACAATGTGCCCTATGTTGCGGAGCAGAATAATATTATTGAAGAGTCTTTAGATTCTATCAATAAACGATCCTCATTTGATAATGATGAATATGTGCAAACTAGCAAGGAAATTATACAGGCATCTTTCATAAATGAGAAGGAAAGCATGTCACCAGATAATGAGCAAAAACTTTTAGAACAAATAAATACGGTTGGGTTAATGGACAATGTTTTTGACACAAGTAATGAAATTGGGAAAGATCATTCTGGCCAGCAATCAGTATTTGACAGTATTGTAGAAAGTGTAAGTGAAAATACTCAATTTTTTTCTAAAATTATAGAAGATGTTAAAGCAAATGATAAAAACGAAACATTAGAAATAGATCTCTGTGATAAAAATGTACTACTTGATTCCACTTTGTCAAACAAAGATGTGTTATCTGAGAATAAGAATTTAGGTTTTTCATGGAGCGCCAGTGATTCTGCGGAACTCCAAATTGGAACAGTAATTTGTGAAGAAGATCCCATTCATATCACTAATCAAAATAACATAACAAATACAAAATTAACCACAAGTGAAAATAATTATCAAGAGCAAAATGCATTAACAAAACAAAATGATAATAAATGTTTTGAGCAGAAAATACCTGTACCTGTGCCATTAGAACCTAATATACACCTGCTTGATTTTCCTTTAATAGAAAGTAAAGAACATGATTCAAACAAATCAAATGAAATGGCAATAAAAAAAGATGATGAGCAAGATATCTCAACTTCTACTTCGATTAATTCACTAATATCAAATAAAGAAATTCAAAGTAATCTAATTGATGATCAAAATATGGAATTAACACATTCGAATGTCTTAGAAAGTGAATTGCTCATAAAACCTTTAGAAATATCAAATGGTGTTCAGGAAGAACAAATAAAACTATCAAATAAAACTTTGCCCAAACCTATAGAACCATCAAATGAAATGTTGGTGCAATTAGATCAAGGTTTAAATGAAAATATGAAAGAAATAAGAGTGACCAATAATTCTTCTGATGAAATAATACCTTCACCATATGAAAATTTAGTAAAATCAGCAGAACTAATAAATGAAAGTCTTGAATCAATGAAAGTATCAAATGAAATTCAGAATGAACCAGCGGAACAATCTAACATACTCTTCTCAGAAACTAATGTTTTATGTTCTAATACAGAGGCAGATCTTACACATATTTCTAAGGAACCGGACAATGAAATTTTGCCAGCAGATTGTATAATTGTAGATAATTCTGCAACAGTTTTAACAGAAAATGTGAAATTGCCTTCAAATGATCCATCAACAAGGAAAGATGCATCTGCTAATGATGATGAAGTTCATACAGCATTAGTTGATAATAATGCGTCATCAGTACAATCTGGAATAAAAACAGTAGTTGATAAAATAGAAAAATCGCCAGTTTGTAATTTAGGAAAACAAACATCACCTAATAAAACTTCTCAAAATGCAATTTCTTCAAAATCCTCAACTGCTGGTGTTGCTTCTAGGACTTCAAAATCTTCAGCAATTTCTAAAACAAATGCGACATCAGCCAGAGATGCTGTAAAATCTACTGCTACAAAACATACATCTATTGCTCCAACAAAACCTTCTTTGGTCGCGAAAAAGCCTGGCTTGGCCGCAACAAAGCCGGCTACTACGGCCTCAACTAAGCTTGCTTCGGCCGCAACAAAGCCGGCTACTACGGCCTCAACTAAGCTTGCTTCGGCCGCAACAAGGCCGGCTACTACGGCCTCAACTAAGCTTGCTTCGGCCGCAACAAGGCCGGCTACTACGGCCTCAACTAAGCTTGCTTCGGCCGCAACAAGGCCGGCTACTATGTCTTCAACAAAGTCGGCAACAACGGCCACAACAAAGCTTGCTTCGGCAGCAACAAAGCCGGCTACAACGTCTTCAACAAAGCTTGCTTCGGCAGCAACAAAGCCGGCTACTACGGCCTCAACAAAGCGTACTTCGGCAACAACAAAGCCAGCTATAACGGTCTCAACAAAGCCGGCTACTACGGCTTCAACAAAGCTTGCTGCAGTCTCAACAAAGCCGGCTGCCACGACTTCAACAAAGCTTGCTTCGGCCTCATCAAAGCCGGCTTCGGCCGTCCCAAAGCCTGCTATTGGTGTTGTGAAACAATCGGGATCTACTACGAAATATCCTACTGCCAGTACAACTAGAGCCAAGCCAGCTGCCACTTCTACAAGGCCCACAACTGCTGATTCAGCGAAGTCAGCTACAGCAGGTAATGGAAGACCAGCTGTCAGTGGTACAAAATCGGCCACTGGTACTGCAAAATCTGCTAAACCTACTGCAAATTCTGCTGGCAATTCTGTTAAGTCTACTACTACTTCTACTGCAAAGTCTGTCACCAGAACTGCAAAGTCCAATTCTGGTCTGCAAAAACTACTGCCAGCACTGTGAAGAAGCCTGATGCTAGTCCTAGGTCTTCAGTTGATATTCCAAAATCTTTTGATGCCTTGGGAACTAACTCTGGCAAGTCGGACCAAGACTTTGATGCATCTAAATGTATTACTAACATTGTAAATCCTCAAATTACAAAGATTGCTTCATGTACAGTGAATACTGCTATTGAATCTTCAAATGCTTCAGAATCAACAACGCATAACAAGTGAGCATCTTATTTGTCTATTTTATATATATAATGTTCTAAGGTCTAGCATTGTTACTTACTGGTATCAAGTTTAATTAAAAATAGTCTGCTCATAATGAGCTAATTGATAAATAGCAATATTTGTTATTATCATAAAAAGCCAATTTTAATTGCTGGATTTTAATTATGGTTATTTATTTCAGTCAATGCACAAACACAAATCAAAATGAAGATAACATTGAGAATTTTCTGAAAAATGAAAACGCTGTTTCTTGTGTGGAAGGAACAAGTGGTTGTACAAACATATCACATGAGGTATAGATTTAGTATTTTTTTTTATTAAATACTTTTAATAGCTTTGTTACATAATTTTAATTTCATTTTTACAGGATGTACAACAGTGAAGATATTTTTATATACAAAGTTTATATAATAAAAAGTTGCTTCTTTATCTGCGAATGAACTATCGCCACATATACCAAAATGGAGGTGGTTTTAAATTTATATGGCAAATATATTTTACTTTTATAATTAATTCTATATGAGATTTTACTTGTCTTTTTTAAGCATCATGAAATTACATTAAACATCATTATACTATTTCTATTTTTTTTATTTTTTTTTATGAGTAATATGATTATATCAATATTCTATATATTCTATATTCTATAGAATATATAAATATATATATATATATATATATATATATATATTTAATTTCTTGGAGGGCTTAACATCAAGTAAATAATAATTGAAGATTTTTCAAACATCTTTATTCGACTTACAATTCTACATGGTCATTAGTGGTTTTAAAATTCTTAGATTAACACATACATATTGAGAACATAATAATTGAAAACAAGCACTAAACATTTCAACATCAAATTTAAGTCAAACAACATATATATTATATATATATATATATATATATATATGTATGTATGTATGTATGTATATGTATATATATGTATGTATGTATATATATGATGTTTTATTGGCATCGCTAGCATTGAAATAGGATTTACAAAGGTCTGGTAATTGCTGCGAAAGCCTTGCCTACTGTGGGCAAAATCTATATAAAGCTGTTATACATAAAGTGTGAATTTTTGTTAGTTGTAAAGTGTAATTTGATATAGTGTTTTGATATCAGTAATTAGTTTAGTATTAGTGAGGAAATCTAGACTAGTGACTATAAGGAAATTATAAGTAGGCTTGAAAAACCAGTTCCTGAAAACCTCAATAATTGAGAATAAACTAATTGACAATGGATAATAAAGGATAAAGGTAATATTATTCAACAACTTGATCAAATAGTTGCTGGAAATGAGATTTTTGCTTGGAAACAAAGAGCAGGTTAAACCAGTTGCACCCAGCATTACTGTCGATCCTGAGAGAGCATTAATAAGAAGAAAATTGAGGAACAGGACTAAAAATATGAAGCATGGTCAAAGGTTCTTGTGAAATTTCAAATAAACAGTCAACAGTGGAAGCGGCATTAAGGAAACTGGAATAGAAGCCTGATATATTGCATGAAACAGCTGATCTGTGAATTATTGATTTACTTTGTCAGCAAACTATGGCGTGGTTAACTAGCAAACAAATAAGTTTATTCAATATTTATTTCTATTAAATACTCCCGACTTTCGGCTAACCATCGGTTTCGAAGTCACGTAGTGGTGGATTTACAGCACCAGCAGTCGGGTTTAGTGCCGAGGGCGGCAAATGTTCTTGTGCGGTGAAATTTACAAAGCGAAAAAATATACTACACAATTTAATTAACTAATTCTTCTTAATAACATTTTTTATTTAAAAAAATTATGCATTATGTTCCAAATTGAACCTTTGTATATTATAATTTTGAAAATGTAAGTGAAAGCCAACTATCAAAATAGTTGATATATTTTCATGAAGATTTGAAAATATTTGATTATTTTTGAGAATTAATAAATTTTTGCAGTTTTTCTGAGAAATCAAAAATATTATCAAATTATTTATGTCTTTTGCGGCAAAATTTCAGTGATGGGGCGATATTTTTGTCAGTTGCATCGGGCGGCATAAATTAAAATGCAGACGTGCGTACGCGCCAGCGGTGTGATGCTTTTCGAGATCACCTGGCATTTGCTACAAAACAAATAAAAACAATTATTATCGCTCAATTTATCATTAAACCTATTCACATAGGAATAGGAAAAACTATCGAGAATACTTGACACGTGTTCTAAAAAATATTTCAAGTATTATAAAAATCTTTATATCCCCAAAATGAAAGTCTTCTCAGTAACACGAGGCCGTCAATTTGACCAGGGACTTGCTCGATGCGTCGACGCCCTTACGACTGAATCATGAACATTGCGATGTAGTAAATCCTCTGTGTTCTTGCCAAGGCGTCAAATATTCCTGGGAAAATTGTAATTTTATGGATTAGGAGGATTTCCACATGCGAAATCATACTTTTCAAAACGCTAGCAATTTGAATATACCAAAACAGTAGTATATATTTAGATTGGAAGGGAGGACTTCTCATACAGCGCTGGCAGTTGCGGGTAAAAATATTAAACATTTGTTCAAAGAATGGTAAAATGTTTACAAATAAGCCGAAGATCAACATAAAAAAATGTGTTAAATAAAAATAAAACCACATACACTACTTCCAACAGAAGATATGTTGACCTGCAATGATCAATTAAAATTTATTAGACGTAATAATAGGACAAACGATTCAGAATAACTTGAGACATCGAGAGAACATAAAATGAGCAAATGGAATATTCTGGAGAAAAAATAAACTTCTCGCTCGGGAATTTAATAAATTTAACTATTTGTGCGTATTATACTAGTTTGCAATTGCTATTTATATTGTTTAACATAAATGGTTCAATAATTTAAATTGTAAGGTGTAAAAATATTTTATTTGGAATCGGTCAAAGTAGTAAGTATAAGCTCATGACTTCTATTAATTTTCAATTTATTATTTATAATAATCAATTAATTTCATTGTTTTGTTGAACATCAATACAAATATTCAGTATTCTAGAATACTATAAAATTATAGCTTTAATTGAATACATATATTTATCAGATGTTTATCAAATAATAATTGAGTTCTACAACCGCAGATAAAAAAGTCTACAACCGTCTACAGTCCAATCTAATAACGTCAATTGGATTAGTTAAGAGTATAATGATAGTTTATTGGGCATATATATCGAAATGAAATTTTCAAATGCAATAATAGCGTGAAAGAGTTTTTCAAAAATGAAATTAAATATAACTAGTGGCGTATGGCATCATCGTGCCTTAAGGCAAATTGCTGAAACTTCCCGTACCTTAATGAAATATTCGAGAAATGTAACTTCAAGTAAATAAACAAAACTTAATCAATCGGAATTAAAATGAATAACATTGACTAATATTTCTAAGTGTTATACAAACTGATGAATTGCAAGGTTTAAAATGATTTATTCGAAGTAATGTATATAAGTGGTGTTTAGAACTTTATCTTAAATTAGAATTAAAATTCGAATTATTTTTCGATATTCAAAAAAATTTTTTTTCAATTAAAAAAAATTTCTTTCCCCAAAAGCAATTGTTTCGTCTACACAAGCAAAAAGGTTTTTGAATCATTCAAATCGGATGCTTAGTTCTCTCAAAAACTGACATTTTTTAGCACTTTTGCTCTATAGCTCCGAAGCCGCTAGACCCGGCCGTCTTCGTCAAAAACTAATCAGCACGTCTCCTCATCAATAGGAATCGAATGTTTTTTTCAAACATTCAAATAGGATAATCCGTACGCTAGAAATCGTCGACGAAAAATTGTCTCCACACATGCACTAACACATCCATTTTTTCTGGGGTATGCCAAAATGTTCACAAACTTCTGAAACGTAAAGATATGCAAAAAATTATATTGCATAAATAAAAACATGAATTACTTTAAAGATTTATTACAAAATCCATACGTTTCAATCAATTACATCGCAAGATCGTAGAAGTCTCGCAGAATCGCGATCAAAAATTCGAAATTATTTTAACCGAAACGCACAGGCGCTACGAGTCTACGAGCCATAGAAAACTAAACATAAGCTACGACCGTAGAGCTCTGGGCTCTACGGTCGAAAGTTTTAGGAACATGTGTCGTGAAGTTGGTAGTGTTGAATTGTTTAGTTATTTTCGTATTGTATAATTTGACGTTTGGTGCTGTATAATATTATCTCTTTTGTCTGTGGTTGTATGATATTAGACACTAGAGCTAGTGTCTTCTCGGATTGTTTACTTCTCGTCTAGTTGTTGTTTACTATTATCTACGATAATGATTTTCATCGCAGTAATTGATTAAGTCCTTCGATTCAGCAACGGTGCTCGTGTTGCAATAATATACCATCTAACTTTTAAACAATTTAATAAAATATGGCAAAGCGCAAAACTGATAATTCTTACCAATGTGATTCAAAACGATTCTCAGTACCTTTGCCTGATTTTTCTGTGCCACCGCCCGGTTTCAATTCAGCACCTTTTACTTCACAAAATTTTCAATCGAATTGGTTCAGTGGTCCAGCACAGCAGCAGCAGCAGGTTGTAGCATGAATGATTACCTTTAGATAGTCCTATATTTGTATCATTTCAACATTTGATTTTAGGCCTCGTATGGATTTTACAATTACAATGCCGCCGAAACATCTAATTTTGCTAATGCTTCCGCATTTTTTTGGACCCCGAACAAACCTAGAAATTTTCAAAATGCTCAACAAACTCGACCATCAGTGATACCGAATCTTAAGCTTAGAGGTCGCGGAAGAGGCCGCGCACCAGGACGAGGAAATGATTCTTATATGTAATGTTAACATACGTCTAATATTTGCATTTTTTTTGCATAGAATGTGTAAACTAATACAATATCTTAACACAGATTTCATGTTAATTTGTTTATTAAAAGACTAGAATGAGTTCGACTAAATATTGATTATATATAAACTCATTCGGACTATCTTCAATAACAATAGCTATTTGATATTATAATTTAGAAAAAAATATAATACACTTTATCTTATATATCTTTGTGCTGCATTATTTCTAAATTCATAAAACAGAAAATATATGGTTATTTCGATTTAAATACATATCATTGCTTTTATTATATTACGTTCAATGTTTGGAGTTGTGCATATACTTTCAAATAATAAATTCAAATATTCTATGTATTGAAACTATTTTTTGGTGTTGGTACATTTTTCTTGTTATTTAATGACACTAATCATTGCAGTAATAAGTCACCAAGAAGTTCAAATTCAAGTGGTGGAGCACCGCAATGGTTTCCAAATAGCATGAACAATTCAAATTCTCGTTTCTCCAATACTTACTCTAATGATAATGATAGAATTTCTGAATCTGGCAGTATAAATGGTAAATGAATATTTTGCAGTGTCAAGTATTATAGACTGTATTGAGTTAAACTGTTTTCTTCAAAATATTTTAAATGTTAATGCTCAAATGATTTAAATATGCAGAATTATAGCATTACCGTTTTCTTTAGATTACTTGTAACATTAGTTTCAGATGAAAAAAATGAAAGTAAGAAGACTATTGTTAACAAGAAAGGTAAACGCAAGTCAATGTCTCAAAAATATTCATCGAAGCCTTGGGATTTAGAATCTGCTGAAAAAGCAGTTGCTGTAGAATTAGAATATAATAGACTACAGAATACACAATCCTTAATTCTAAAATTTCCTGATGCCGAGTTAAATAAAGAAATAGTTAAGAATTTCAATAGCAACATTGAACATGTGCATTTTCAACAACCATCAACACCCAGGTTGGTAGATTGCTGTTTATATTAACAATTTTAATATTTTTTTTATTGCTAATTACATGCAAAGTTTGGTTGTTTTATCATATTAAATATTTTTAGATATTGTTTTGTACAACTTTGTGAAGGTGCTGATGTTGATTCTGTTCAAAATCAATTGCGAGAAGTAACCTTTGGTGGTGGGAAAATAACAGTAGAAAAAAAAATTAATCAGAAATCAAAAGAGGTAAATTTTATTTTTATTTGTTATTTTTTACCTCATTTATTTAATTGCGAGTTTTCTGATTTATATGAAGATTGGGTTCAATTGTATGATATTTTAAATATCAACAATTATATTTTTTGTAGTTCAAGACTACTCACAAATATTAAATAAAAATATGAATTTATCGTTTTAATTATAGTGGTTTGACATCAAAGTAACTATATAAAATGCAATCTTGAATTAGCATTATCTGCTGATTACTACATTACATTTATTGAGATGGTATATATGTATATTAGGGTGGTCCTTAAAATGGTTATTTTCGAATTTCCTTGCTCCCAGGGGCTAAAATGGTTCCAAATTGATAAAAAACAATTCTCTGAAAGTTTTAGCTCTTAATATTAACGTTTAGATAGAGCGCAATTCAATCAAAGTTTTATATGGAAATAGCATGGAAAAATTTTCAAAAATTTTAAAAATGTTCTTTAGATGTAATTTAGCGAACAAATGAATGAATAAAACTCTTTCATTTGTTGCTAAGTTATACCTAAAACATTTTTTTTAAATTTTCAAAATTTTTTCCATGCTCTCTCCATACAAACTTTGATTGAATTGCACTCTATCTAAACATTAATATTAAGAGCTAGAACTTTTAGAGAATTGTTTTTTATCTATTTGGAACCATTTGAGCCCCTGGGAGCAAGGAAATTCAAAAATTACCATTTTAAGGACCACCCTAATGTATATATATATATATATATATATATATATATATATATATATATATCTTATGTATAAAAATGCTACTCAGTATTATGCTACTTATTATTATGGTAAAACTTTAAAATGGTTGTACGGATTTGGCCAGTCTTTGTCTTGAAAAATTCCTGCTAATCCAGAGATTTTGCAAAAGGTGAGATATTATTTCGAAACCGCATAGAAACTTTACATTTTTAATTTGAAAATTTTTGTAGAAGGGTAATTCAAATGAAGCAATAGATGGCGGCTCATACATTAAATGTTAAATGTTTTTGCAGATGATGTTCAATAACATTTAATAGGATGTTTTAGATGAATATTATTTGATTGTAGTATGAAGTTTTGTTTATACACACAAACATTATTGAACGGGTTGCAAGTGTTATTAGAAACTCAAAGTATCAACTTTTTTGCAATGTTAATATGAAAATACACTTTATGGCTTTATAGCACTCATTTTTTTCTAATCATTTTTTTCAAAGCTTGTACTCTAAGAAACGCATATGTATAATTTTATACTCATTTGTTTTTATAGATCATTTTTAGATTATTATTTTATTTAAATTAAGATCCTAAATTTGGAACCAAGTAGAATGGGACATTCATATTTCGAGTTATAACAGGCAACAATTCAAATAAGAAGATTTGAAGGGTTTTTTATAATAATAAATTGGTTATAAAGCTCGCATTATATCAAATGTATTAATACTTCCAGCATTAGAAAGAGTTTATTTAGCACTAAAATAATAGGGTAGAGCGGGGTTTGAAGGTCCGCGAGTACAAAGGTCCACTTAAAATTACATTATTTAATTGTCATTGATAAGCATTACTAGTTTTATCTTTTATTCAATAGTTTTTTTACATAACCTCTATGAAAGATTACATGTGGTTGGGGTAAAAAGGACCGACTGAGCCTTCACCATGGCAAAGGTGTAAAAAATAAGATAATTCTAAATAAAAAAGTATATTAAGTTAAGAAAGGAATTTTATAAGAGATAAACTAAATTAATAGTTTTTCCAACTCTGCTGATGAATATTCAGGTATAATCTTATGTAAAAAAATGTAATGGTAAATAGAGTACAGTAGAACCTTGATTATCCGGACTAATTGTTGTTGATAGGCATCGGGATAATCGAAAATCTGGATAATCCAAATTATGAAGAATAATGTTTTGTTTATCAAAAATAACAAATGCATACATAGATATCAACAAAAATCGAAGTTTATTAGAAAATTAACACTTACATATTTTCTTAGATTACATTATACATATTATATTGATCATGAGGTAAAATAATCAGGTGGTACGTAAAGTATCAATGAAGAAGAAAAGTTGCTTACAAATAATTTGTTAATCGTTTTTGTAAAAACCAACAATATAGAGCTTCTTCTAAGAGTTAATTTTTCGGTCTCTTCATCATGTTCCGATTTTCACTCTCCTCTTCACTATCTAACTTGCAAGTGTACGACAAAATTGAATCGGCATTTTTGTTAATATCGCTTATAGTGGATGTATCTACACCATACCTATCAGCTAATTTACGGCCGGTTTCGCCTTTTTTAATGATTCTATAATATTTATTTTATCTTTAAGGGATAACACCACCCTTTAAAATGCATATATGCACGTCAAAACAGAGAATGTATTAATGTATATATGCACATCAGAATATGCAAGTTCCGACGCGATTATGTCCGGATAATCGCGAATCCGTATAACCGAGGTCCGGATAATCGAGGTTCTACTGTACCTCTCATTATTGAAAATCCCCCATAATTTAAAATGTGACATTGGTTGTGTTTGTTGCCCTATATGTGGTAAAAGGGGATAGATGAAAATTTTCTGATCATATTTTCATAGTTGTTTCATTGATATGTGTTAAGTGCTATGCAATTGTGAAGGTTGTTTAGTTTTTGCAGCAAAATTACTACTGATATTATTATAAACTTATTGTGGTGCTGAATGGGTTATTTCACTCGAAGATACATCTAATACAGCTCAGCAATTAATTACTAATGATACGAGCGCGTAACAGAATCGCATTTTTGTTAAGATTTTTAACTTCCCAGAGGGTAGTTATAAGAATGGGCCGAAAATCGAAAATGAAAATTTTTGCATATCTTCATGTTCTGAAGGTTTCTGAACATTTTGGCATACCCCAGAAAAAATGGATGTGTATGTGCGTGTTTTGTATGTCCGCATTTTTTCGTTTACCTTTTCGGGCACACGGATAAACGGATTTGAATGGTTCAAAAAACATTCGATCCCTATTGATAGGGAGATGTGCTGATTAGTTTTTGGCAAAGGCAAGTCTAGCCGTTACGAAGGTACAGAGAGAAGAGTGGCGATAATAGAAATCGATTTAGAGAGAACGGAGCATCCGATTTGAATAATCTAAAAAACATTCAGTTTGTAATGATGGGGAGAAATGGTGATTAGTTTTTGGCAAAGGCAGGTTCAGCCGTTTCAAAGATATGGAGCTAAATGTACAAAAAATGGCAGTTTTTGAGATAACTAAGCATCCGATTTGAATGATTTAAAAAACTTCTGCTTGTGTCGACGAAACAATTGCTTTTGGATTTTTTTTTTTCGAAAATGTTTTGTTTGTTTATCGAAAATGATTAAGATTTTAATTTTAATTCTTGCTAAAGTTCTAAAGTTCACTTATATACTTTAAATAAATAATTTTAACTTTGCAATTCAGTTAATATAATTCTTATAAATATTAGACAATGTTACAGTATTTATTTATAATAATCTATTTGAAAACATTTAATATTTCTCAAATATTTTGTTACGGTACGGGCAGTTCCAGTCATTTGTCTTAAGGCACGATGCCATACACCACTAGTTATTAATATGCATAACACAGCAATTCGTGATCGGGCACCGACAGTAGTATTTAGAAACCTTGAATATCAAAAGGAGCCAATTTAAATGACATCAGTTTTAGATTAAGCTGGCAGTGGCAATGCTTATTAATAAGCCCAAGAAGCATTTATATGAGGCATGGGTAAACCATTCAATACCAATGAGTATAAAATTATACAAATGAGTTCTTTCAGAGCACCGAGTTTGAGTAACATATGATTTACAAAAAAAGAATGCTATAACGCCAAAATGTGCATTTATATTTTAACATTTTAAAAAAGTTGATATTGTGAGTTTCTAATAACACTTGCGGCACGTTTAATAACATGTTTGTCTATGAATAAAACTACAAACAAAACTACTTACTACAATTAAATAATATTTATCTAAAACATCCTATTAAATGTAATTGAACATCTGCCAAAACCATTTGACATTTGGCGCATGAGTTGCCGTCTATTGTTTCAATTTAAGGGAGTATTATTCTACCGTAGAAATTCAAAATATCGATTTTTTTTTATTTCATATTTTCAAAGTTTAACTATCTAAAAATATGGGTACGAAAAGGTTTTTGAAAATTTGAATTATTTTCGGAGATATAGGCATTTTGCTGACTCGGTCTCCATACTGGTTTGGCTTCACGCAAAACTTTTAATGCGTTTGTCTCAGAACATACTTTTTCAGTACATTTGACACGATTTCTCGAGTTCTACTCGACCGATTCACTTGAAGTGTTTAGAAGGTCTTGTTTATAGGCCTATCTATAGCCCGAATTAGGATTATCCCCAAATTCCAATTTTTACTATTTTTAAAAAAAATCGAGAAACTCAAAAAACAGTAAGTTCGCCAATTTGTAAAAAAAAAATTTTACTCATCGCTAATTCGGGCGATTGCGACATCATTGTAGATTAATAATCGTTTTATTTCTTTTATTTCGGATGGCTAGGAGAGCTGAAATCATGTCAAGACTGAGGTTCCAATTTTTGAGACCCCACACTTTTTTAATTTTTGTATTGCATTTTAATAATACTAATAAACAAGTGGTAAAAAAATGGATAGTAAAAACATTCATTGCTTTCTTTTACGGCACTTTAAAAATTACACTAGAATACCCCCTTGAATTCTACACTAGAATACCCCCTTAAATTACGCTACAACAAAAATTTTCAAATTAAAAATGTAAATTTTTTACGCGGTTTTGAAATAATATCTCACCTTATCCACAACTTAAGGATTAGCACGAATTTTTCAAGACTAAGACTGGCCAAATCCGTACAGTCATTTTAACGTTTTACCATACCTAACAAAATACCGAGCTCCATTTATATATAATATAATATATATATATATATATATATATATATATATATATATTTAGTTTAAAAGTCGGGCGTTACATCAATAAAAATTGTATGAGTTTTTAGAAATTTATTTAAAATCCATACGGCTAGCGTCTTAGCTTTCATTCAGTGGCAATCAATATAACTATAAAAATTAAAACTAAATAAACAATATGTAAGAAATTTCATAGAAAAACAAAAATAATAAAAAAAACACTTAATGCACACTATTTTGTATCCAATGAAAACATTATTACTCCTTGGTATGAGTATGTGCATAGTGGTAAAATATATATTTTTTAACATCACAAATGGTAAAAGACACAAATAAATATTGTCGTCTGGGCACTTCCCCGACTGCCCCTACTGTAAATCCAACACTGTATTATATATATATATATATATATATATATATATATATATATATGTATGTATGTATGTATATTAGATTTTTTTTTATTTCAATGCATTTAATATATTTTATATTATCTGCATCCTAGCTTGCTCCTGAAAAAATTGATCCATATACATTGTATGTTGGAAATCTACCTACAAATATTACTGCAGAAACTGTAAAAGCAATATATCCCACAGCATTTCGAGTAGACATAGGTTATGCTCAAAAGATGAAATACACAAGGTGATTGCTTTAATCCAAAATATTTATAAAATTTAATAATATTTAACAACACATAGAGTTTAAATATTTATAAAGTATTTAATTATAGATATGCTTTCATAAGTTACCAATCTGCAGAAGCAGCTATTAAAGCATTTAAGGATACTCATAGTCTTAGCTTGGAATCTCGATCCATAATAGTAAGATTTAGAAGACACAAGGGAGCTGTTGGATTACCAGGCCAAAGCAAGACACCTGGGGTTTGTATTACAATTATTAACAAATGTTGATATTATTTACATATATCCAACAATTGCTATCTTTTACTTGAATTTTAATTTTTTACACATTCAGAGTAACAGTCTATTAAATAGTATTAACATAGATAAGGATTATAACATATATAAGTGTTAAATATATATTTGAAGTATTTTGCAGCTAAATTGTCGAATTAAAAGTAAGTTGATATAAAAAAATTCTTCATTCTATTTAACGTTTGAAGAAGTATTAAGGGATATAAGTAATGACTCAACTATCATTCTAAGGTCACAATTCTTTTCAGTATATAAGGTGGTAGCTTTGGACATATTGATGATATGGTTCAGGTTAATCATATGTTCTGATAACATAGTTTTAAATTGATTTGGGTTTCTAGAGTTATGTATATTTTGATTAACCCTCCTGTGTATATATTGGGAACTTTCCCCAATGTAGCAACTGTTGCAATCATTGCAGTCCAACTCATATACAGCGTCAGTAACTCTATCCGCAGGAGTTTTTGATTTAAGGGCAGAAAAAAACAACTGAACGTATTATCGAAACTGAAACTGAAAGAAAACCTTCAGAGGCAAATAACTTTCTTAAGAATTAAGAAAAATTGCTTAAAAAAGGTAAACAAATAACACCTTTATATTTATTTAAAGAGAAAGAATTTAATTTTGAAGAAGAATTATTTAGGGATGAAGAATGACTGTTTAAAGTGATAGGAAAAATAATTTAAATATAACCTTGACTAAGTTGGCTTTTGGAACCAGTCAGCGAGGATGACATTTTTGTTTCTAATAATTTTTAAGTCTAGGAAACTAATAGAGTTACTAACATCAAGTTCACAAGTGAACTGCGAGTGCTTGTTGAACGAATTAAAGAAATTTAAGTGTGTGATGCATAATCCTTATCTAAACATAAGAGAATGTCATTAACATATCTATAGTAAAAATAAGGTTGAATGGTAAGATTAGTCAAAATGAAGTTTTCTAAAATTTGTAATGTTAAATCAGCCACAACAGGGGGGCTAATACTAGACCCCATGGGCGAACCAAAAAACTGTGAAAAAATTTATTGTCAAGACAAAAATAAGTATTTTCAAAATTGAAATTTAAAATAATTTTAAACCAAATCAAGTCAATAGATGTATGCGGGTGGATATCATTCCAACAATCAGAAACAGCTTGTAAAGCAAGATTCCAAGGAATATTGGAAACAGGAAAATTGCGTCAAAACTGGCAAAAAATGTTAGGAGGAATTTCAGAATTGTTTAAAATTTCAGCTAAATTAAAAGAATTGGAAACATTAAATTTAGAAGAAATGGTAACTTTTGAAAAGATAGAGCTAATATGTTTTGAGACTTTGCTTGAAGGAGAATTTATGTCAGAAACAATAGTATATTTATGTCTGAAAGGTAAATTTGGTTTGTGAACCTTAATAAGAGTAAAGTTTTGGAAATCTAGGAATGAAAACTTCAAGAGAAAAACCTAAGGGTTTGGAGATTTGTTTGTTTGAGATTAAATTACATGTACATTTTATATTTTTTTATATTTAATATCAAATGTTGTTATTTATGTAATGTTTTTTTTAGATTACTGAATGATGACACACATTAAGTGTCGAAATGTCTAATAGTATAAAGAATTTTTATATATTAACCTTCTTTTAATTTGATGGTTGGGCTGCAAAATATTTCAAATATGTATCAACGTCGACATATATATCTTAGTCATATATATATATATATATATATATATATATATATATATATATATATATATTATCATATTATGTAAACTAAAGTCTTCCAAATAAAGATTCATCACAAGCTTTGGTATTCGGCCGAATATCAAAAAAGGTCCGAATATACCAAATAGTGACCGAATATATAATTTGGTGCAAGCCTAATATATATGTGATAAATTTAAGAGTTTGCTCAAGGTTCTGTTTTGATTGGATTTATTTTTGGAAAGAAGCTGAAAGAATTCATCAAACTGGCACTCATTTTTAGTTTTATTTCTGTAGAGGAAATCAAATATACAATATTAAAATATATTATTTAAATTAAATAATATGCTGATGGTTTTACCCAACTTCTGTATTAAAATTTGTGTATGACTTCAGTTACATTTGTACCACTATTAATCACTTATATTACATGATACTCAGTAATTGCATTATAAAGTCAAAATGTTTATTACATATATCAATCAGCACTTAAGTGAAGAAGCTGTGTCTAAAAGTGCAGGAAACACCAAACAACAATCTAAGAAGTCTTCGCTTAGTATGACAGATGATGGAGACATTGGTGGTAGTGATTTACATGATGGACCAATGGAGGTATTAATTATTACTGCTTTTATTATTTGCTTTAATTGAGTTAATATATGCAATTTTAGCAAATCCTAATATAAGCACTTCCTAATTTGATACTCATTTTCTTTTGCGTGGAATATATTTATATTTACTCAAAAGTAAATATAAATAGTGTAATAATTTCTTATTTTTTTACCCTAATATATATATATATATATATATATATATATATATATTTATATATATATATATATTTATATATATTTATATATGGGTGGGTCCTTAATATGGATGCTTACGAATTTCCTGGCTCCTAGAGACTCAAAAGCTTCCACATTGATCAAAAAAAATTCTCTGAAAGTTTTAGCTCTTAATATTAACTCTGAGATAGTCCGCACTACAATCAAAGTTTCTTATAGAAATAACATGGGAAAAATTCCATTTGTTTTTTAGAATTCCATAACTTAGCGACCAGTGAATCAAAATTGAATAATATTATATTTGCTTATTTTGATTATGAATAAAAAAATTCAAAACAAAAATTTAATATATTTTATAAATTACGTATTTACTTAAAAAGAAGAGCCAAGAAACTTTGTTTGGAGTGCGAACTACGTTAGAGTTAATATTAAGAGCTAAAACTTCCAGAAATTTTTTATTTTATCAATTTTTGGAAGCATTTACTCCATGGTAGCAAGGAGATTTGAAAACATCCATATTAAGGGCCACTCTTATACATATATATATATATATATATATATATATATATATATATATATATATATATATATATATATATATATATATATATCTATGTTCATAATTATTTTATAATGTTTTTTATTATTAGTAAAACTTTTCAAATTTATTGTAGTTGCTGAATGATGACACGCATCTTGTGTCGAAACGTATAAATAAAAGTTCTTAAATACTTTATTACCTTTTTCATTTCGACGAATGGGCTGCTAGTTACTTTGAAATATGTCGAAAAAACTATCAAGATATATACATATATCTTATATATATATATATATATATATATATATATATATTAGCTTAACTGTCATTATTAAGCTAACAGTAAAGTAGTTTTTATGCCCATATTCTAAACAAGCATACTTTTATATATTATTGTACAATTATTTGTTTTAGATTGATGAAGACGATTATGACATTCCTTATCATGATGATTTAGATGGTAAATATTTTTATATTAGTTAATTATCATATTTGACATTTTTTAACATTTTAATATTCATCTTTTAATTTTAGAGCATTACAATTCTGACTTTGATGATTCCTTATTTGATAATTTAAGATCAAGTAGCAAAGAATGCAAACGTTCTAATAAGGATGAGGTATTAATAATTTATAATGTAATATTATAGTGAAATTATCATCTGCAAATTTATATCTATTTTCTGCACAGATTTCAACTAGCAGAAATTCAAGTACATATAGAGAAAGCTTGTCAAAAACGAATAAATCCCAACAACTCAGAGAAAATACATCAAGCATGAGTGCTTCCGATATTTTGAAGTCAAAAGAGAATGAGGAAATTTCAGCAAATGATGCAGCAAAAAAAAATGTTGAGCAACAAATTGAAGAACTTATTCCAAATGTTATCACGCAGCTATTAAAATCTAGCGAAATAAAACAAGAACCACTAGAGGTAACTTATTTATAGTTTGTAATAAGTATAATTCTTATTATTATAATTTTTGTTTGAACTTCATTTTCAGAAGGATAACATGGAACAATTGCTTCAAAATCAATGTGAGTTAGTTTTTGTGAATATATTCAAATTATATATTTACTTTTGATATGTTCTGCCACAAATTAAAGTTCATATATAAATACGCATGTTGTGTTTTTATAACAATCATATTATTTTTTTCTTTTATTTAATAGTTCCAGATTTGCAAATCACATAACTGCATTAGCTGTGGATGCTATTAAAAAGAACCACTATTTGCTGAATATCTTCTTCGCAAAAAGCAAGTACCGATGCCTATGTTGTGTGCAGATGAAATTAAAACTGAACCAGCTGAGGTATTTTATTATCAATATTATTACTCAAAAATAAATTCTTTTATTAATAGCATATTATTATCCTTCATAAATGTTTTCAAGATTTTTAATTTTTTTTTCTTTTAGCTAAATGAAGATGGTGATGGTGAAAATGATGTCACTCTTGCAAACATTGTACCTAAAATTGAAGCACCTGAAAGTGATGACCAGGATGATGGTGACTTAAATAGTCTTAAAACATCAAAGAGGACTCGAGAAGCAATGTATAAAAGACCACAAAAATTTAAAAGATACAAACCTGGATTTGATAATGCACCTGCTAATTGTAAGTTTTTGAAGTTGCATTTTGATTTCTGTTTAGGAATAGTGTATAGAGAGAAAACTTTACTTTCAGTTGCACTACCAGAACAACCAGTGGAAGATTTTGACATGTCGTATTTGTTAGACTACATTTCTGAAGAACAGGCACAATTTGAAGAGTTAAATAGAGAAACTATGGAAGCTGCAAGATATATATCAGCAAATTTACATAATATGAATGAAACAAATGTTTTCCCATCAAGTACGGGAACGAATGACAACTGTAACAACTCATCATCAGATGTCACAACATCACGTCCTGATTTTTCTGATACATTTTCAAGCAAATCTTTAACTTCATCTACATTTGAATCGTGTTCACCAGTTCCGATTCGCCTACCTATGTCCAGACCTGCTAATACTGAAACAAATATGTCCAAAAATTTGTCTTCCGATAGTTCTAATTTTGTCAGTTCATCTATTGGAATATCATCGGATAGTAGGAATCAATTTAATACGGGAACACCACCACCAACAAGAACACCTCCAATGCTAGGAATGGCTGAATCTGTTTCTGTAAATGCGAAACCTACAGCTACCATTTTACCTGTAGTTACAGTATCTCCACTTGTCACTGATATTCAAACTTCTTCTTCAAATGTTTCTTCATCTGGAAAATATACAACAAGCTCATCACAGTTATCAACAATATCTTCATCAACTTCAAGACCTTCATCACAAACAGGACGACAAACAATATCAATAACATCACAGTTTTTATCTCCGCCTACTTCTCATTGTACAACAGTTAATTCACCGGTAACAGCAGTTGCACCTTTGACTTTTTCCAGTTCTGATCAAAAAAGCTCCAATTTATCATCATTATCTACAAAATCTGCTTCTGGTATCAGTCCAAAATCTGCAGATTCGTTATTACAGTCTAAGGAAGCATGCACAAGTAGTTTTGATCATGTTAATAAGTCAACCAGTAGCACTCCCAAGATATCACGAAAATCGTATATTGGAAGTTTGGACAGAGATCCTAGTATTCAGTTGACACCTAGTAATGCTAAAAACATTAAAATAACAAATATTATAAGGCCAGGTTCTAAAGCAAAAACTGGTTCCAAACCACTGGTTCGATCTACACCAGTATTAACCAAGCAACGTAATTTTTTGAAAACTAGCTCAGATTTTCAAGAGAAGCAGTCAAACTTAAATCTCTCATTTGATGAATTTTCAGAGGATGAAGAGGTATATTGTACATGTTTTTTTTTTATTTTCTACATAACCATCACTGAACAAATCAATCACGCGTTTCTATTAACTATCTGGGGCTTATGTGCATTGGCGGGGGTATCAAAATTTGTCGCAAAAAGCAAAACTTTCTCACAAAATGAAAAAAACATTGCATACAATTTATTCATCATCAATATTTATCTTTCAAAATTCCTACAAACAATTTGAAATTCATTTTTACTTCACGAAGTAGATGTTTGTTTTCGCCAGAAAATCCGACTTACTAATATTATGTTTTGGAATAATGGCATCAAAATTTCAAAATTATATTATGAAAATTATAAAAGTTGTTAAATCTGAATTCTTATTCATTAAGTAGTTTATTTACATCTATCGGAAACTTGCACTACAATTAAGGTGACCATACGTCCCGGATTGGCCCGGACAGTCCCGATTTTTAGCCTTGCGTCCCGGATTTTTCTAAAAGCAGTATTTGTCTCGGTGTTAGGTGTTTTGTTCCGATTGTCCCGAATTTTTAAAAATGTTTTCATTGCCAATATATTTTTAAACATATTTCAACTAGAAAATTTGAAATGAAAAAATGTGCCTCCGATCGCACACACATTCTAATCCGTCCTGGATTTTATGCAAAAAAATATGGTCACTTTAATTATAATTTTTTTTTTTTTTTTTTTTTTTTTTACAATTTATTTTTGTTAATCAAAACTTTAATGTCTTATTTACAAAATTGATATGAGCAAAAAAAAAAAAAAATACAAAAAAACAAAAAATGCAATACATTGAATATAAAATGAAAAAAGTTGAAATAAAAATTAAATTAAAACAGTAATACAAAAATAATAACATAAATGAACGATGACGTGATGATGTATGCCGCGTACTACGTCAGGACGCGTGCAGACATTGGGCTAGGTGTTTGGTAGATCGGAAGGCCATTTCTTGACTTTAATTATAATGAGCCAATTTACCAGTTAAGTAATTTTTAGGTTAGATAATCAGTTTTATTTTTGAAAAAATTCTCTCAACATGTGCAGTTGTAACGATTACTTGTGCAAATTCATGAAAATCGTGAACGTGTGTATGTGTAGTAAGAAGTTTGAGCAAACTTGCGATCGAATTTCGTACGTTACGTATGTTTGAGAGTATTTGCGCAAACACATATTTGCACAAATAATCGTATAGTATGGAGCGCCCATGAGGCATACTGTTATTACCTCGGGAAAAGTGGATGCAAAACGATTGAATTTAATCAGCAATATAAATAAATTTTGAATTTCAGATTTTAAGCTTATTTAAAGAGCGTTCGTTCAATTGGTTATAAAAACTAATGAGATTATCTTACCTTACTGTATTTCGGCAACACAGTTTTCTCTATCACTTTGTTTGTTTATCGAGTTATTATAATGTACAACTTTTGAACATATTAATCAATTCAAGCTCCGAAATCTTTGAGAAAATTAATACATTTAATCAGCATAAGGACACGTTTACTGAAATTCTCTCATATTTCGATAACTCGTCAAAAAACTTGTTTGTAAAAACGGTCGTTTTCCTCCATTCTTTTGCTAAATCTTTGCACTCATTCAGCATCTATTGAATTATTTTTTTCTTAATTTGCCCAAGCTATTTAAGAAACGACTCAATAAAATAATAGTTTTCTACTAGTCATTATTTGCATTTTGTAAAGCTTTAATGATTTCAGATAGTAGAGAAAAAAATATGACAAACATTAAAAAATCATAATACTCTAAAATTATATTTTTATATACTCATCTTTTTGTCGTAATTAAATTTAGTTGGTACAAATAGTTTTCATGATCATTTGACTTTTGTTGTTTGTAAATTAGAAAAGAAACTAAAAAATTGTTTTTTTATATCTTCACGTGCATTCTTTTCTTCGAAATTGAACTTAGTTGGTACAAAGTTTTCATTAATAATTAGACTTTTGTATTCCGTGAAAAACAGTTTTTTTAACGTTTGCTCACGCTTCGTATCCCGGGGGCGATGATACGGCGGCAGTTACTAGGCCCCTGTATCTGGAACATATTTATATACTTATGTTTAATACAAAACTTATTAATATCTTCATTGTAACTAATCATTATGATTAATCGTGCGTATATTTTTAGGATAATACGGACTATGTTGCACTTCTTGGAGCCCCACCCGCAAATTTGGATGATTTTATAAACAAGACTTAAAAATTTAGTATTAAATTTTAATTATTTTAATTATACTTTTAATATACAAAATATTTACACATTTGTGAAGGAATGTATATATAAAATATTTATATAATAAATCTCTATGTATATGTGGATATGCATATAAAGGATTGTGTGAATTAGTGTATAAAAGACATCCATTATGAAGTATTTGTATTTTTTGTTGTCAATAATATACATATTTTTATCAATAAATTAATTTAAATTTTAAACATTCATGCTGTTTTAAGTATATTGAATTGCAATTCCCCAATTGATTATATACAAATATATTAAAAGAATGGTATATCCACAATGTTTTTAATGTAGCATCCTAAATCTGATACCATGTGATTTTCAGAATTTACAATATTGATGTATAAGGAAATAAATTATAACGCATTTGTATAAATATTACTCATGTTTTATATTTTTAACTCCCGTTTTATATTTTTAACTCATGTTGTCAACAGAAAATCTGATTTGATAGTTTCATTTTCCTAATTTGGAGCAATGCGTATGTGTGCCAATTTTTAAACTTTCGCTTACAAAAGGTTTTTGTTACCTGAAATGAATACTTGTTTATCTATGCTCGATATAGTCTGCACTTAAATAAAATGCATTTTTAGAACACGAAGTAGAATGGAATATTTTAAACGATTTAAATTATACTTAAGTTAAATTAATATGATTACATATATAATATGTCTGTTTAAAAGGTTTCTATTGAAATTCGAATTAATTTAGAGCAAGGCTTCTTAAACGTTTGTTCTTCGCGACCCCATTTATTAGTTTCTTGACGATCCATAAAAAAAGATATATATTTTCAGATAATTTATTTATTTGGTAATAATGCATGTATATATGAAAATATATAGGTAATTTTAGAATTGGTTGTAAAACATACAAAAATCTAGACGTGATGTTGTAAAATGATATAAATATTTGGCATTAAAATCTTTTGCGATCCCATTTTGAGTACATATTATATTCTCAATTGTTTTATGGACGTTGATCGAAGTTTGAACCGATTGAACGGCGGCTTAGGGGGGGTCCATTAAACACGTGATCGATGGGGATGGTGATTGCATATAAAGGTGCGCCACACCTAACGAACGAACATAAAAGAACGTACCAGAACGAACGGCAACAGCATAGTGTGGACGCCACAACGATCACGAACGAACATAAACAAACATGGCGAGCAATGTTCCGCAACTTGTCGGTACATCAAAGGGAATTGTTCGTTCATGTTTGAACTCGTATGTGCAGTGTGGACGCTACCACGAATGTAGACAAACATTTTTCTTTTTTGATGTTAAAATGTGCAGTCCTGCATTAGTTTATGTTGTGTTTATTATAAGATATTGCTGTTATTGACAAATTTTGTAAATTTGATGACTTTAAATAATTTTGCTCTTTCCCGCCACTTTAAATAATAAATCTGACGTTTCACGGTACATCCTCGAACAAAAAGATTCAAGCCCTCACTGCTTTGAGGCGTTTGTTTGGAATTTTTCGCGTTCGTTCGTGTTCCTGTTCGTTCTTCTTTGTATTTTCTTGTTCGACATGTTCGTTCGTGTTCGTTCGTTAGGTGTGGACGCACCTTTATGTTGTGTTGTTGTTAACCTTAAAATCGTCAATCATAGTGTCTAATTTCCTTTTCTATCCATTATTCAAATAATAGTATAGTTTGATTATTTCAATCAGGCAATGCGATTTATTCTTATGCTATCAAGCTATCTTATTTCAGTTTCAAGTAAAAAATATGGAAACTCTTGTTTTAAGTAAGAAGCAGCAAAGGAAAGCTTTGACTGATAAGAAAAATCAACCTAAAAGCATACGAAACTTTCTTGCGCCAGCATTTGAGCCGAATTGGTAAGATTTTTCTACAGAAGTGTACCTTTTAATCATATGAACATAAATCATTCAACAACTATTTTATTCGATTTTGAAATAAATTCAATAACTATTTATTGATCAGGTCTCGTATAAATAACAAAGATGAGGAACTGTTGCTGGAAGCACTAGGATTGTGAGTAATATTTTATATATGATTTTAATGACAGTCAATCAAAAGACAGAACTGAATTAATTGCATTATGATGTTTTGTTTGCCTATATTTATTAAACAATAATGAAATCATTTGTAACAGACAATTGTTGAGCTTGCTAAAGTACATATTATTAATTTATATACAGTAGAACCTCGATTATCCGGACCTCAGTTATAAGGAATTGAGATTATCCGGACTATTAACCGCAACAGAGTTATATGTATGTACATACCTACAATTTGAATTTTTGCACGATTTATGCTGCAGTTTAGTATATGTATGTAATGCAATCTAAGAAAATATATATGTACATACATAAGGAATTGTTAATTTATTATTAAACATTGATTTTTGTTGATATCTATGTATGTATTTAATATTTTTGATAAATACACATCATAATTCTTCATGCATTTGATTATCCGGATGCCTATCGACAACAATTAGTCCGCTTAATTGAGGTTCTACTGTATATATATATATATATATATATATATATATATATATTATATATATATTTAAATTTACATTTGATATATTTCATATTTACAAATTACTGTGAAATCGATCTGTGTCAAAAATCAAATTTTATAAGGACAATTTGCAAAGGAAATATTCACGCTATTGTATTCTAAACAATGAAACTATTCCTAAATACCTCATCATGAAACATGTCAAAATGTTACCAAGGAAAAGAGAACGTAATATCGTGTAAGAATAAAAAACCATTACCAGTTTGCCAAATGGGGTATAGCACGTTTATAAGTAAAAAAGCCACATTGTTATCTATAATGAATTTTGTATGCTGATTTATTCATTCATTTATGTTTTATCAATATTATTGAACTCTTGATTGTCGATCAGATTAAATTTCAATCCGGATTATACTAAAAGTGGCAGCAAAGTGCGCCTGGGCATGATAGTATATATATATATATATATATATATATATATATATATATATATAATTTAACATTGACATATGTATGAACAGTCTAATAATCAGATTTTATTGAAAGAAAAAGCATGGATTTCTTTAAGAAATTAATCTTAACTAAAATTAAATGTAAAAACTATATGTAGAGTTTGAAAAAATACAAGTGAAAAAGTAAAAAGTACTTACAATTTGTTTATCCTAATATTAAAAACCTCATAACATTAGTCCATGTTGTGAGGAGATGGTGATATGCTTTTAATATAAATATTAAAATTGCTGTATTTATAATAATGTTACACGAGTTTACTTGTGTGAGCTAGAGATATAATAAAACTACGTTTTTTTTTTAATATAATTTTACCAAGATTCTGACTGGATGTTTTGGCATATTTTTTACTGCTTTGTAACAAATTTGGAAATCAAATCCAGAAATAGATGTTTGTATTTTTGTTTTGTTACTCTTTACTTTGTTTATTACTGTCTTGTTATAAATGTTTATGAAAGATCCTTTATGAATTCTTGTTTGAATAAATTTTCTTTGAAATAATGTAAGTATAATCAGTCTAAAATAGTCTATATGTATTAATATGTTGTTTAAGCATAGTTTCAAATTGTTTGAATTGTTTTTATGTTATTGAAGTCATTTTAATAAATTTTGATTTGTTCCAAGAATATAAATTGAATCGCTGTCTAAAGATTAGTTTAGATTTCTTGTTAAAGATTTCTAAGAATGAAAGCAGCTTTTGTTTATGTAACAATAGTGTTATTCGTGCTGAAGTTGTTGACTAATCATAGTCCTGATTTATAAAATACTATTTTCCATGAAAAATTAAGTTTTTTATAGGTACATTATGAAATTAATTAGGTTCAAATGTAAGAGTTGTATGTACTTTTTACTTTTTTACTCTGCTCTGTTCTATTTAGTTTTTAAATTTAATTTTGGTTTCTTATCATTTATTATATATATATATATATATATATATATATATATATATATATATATATATATATATATATAAACTGATTACAATATTTACAAACCGAGTATGATTTTACTTATATAGGTTTTTTTCAAAATAAATGAATCAAAATGTATATTTCCAAGGCTGAAAAAAAGCAAAGCAAAAGAAAATGGGAAAGTTAATCAAGAGTCAGAAAAAGCAGTTGTTCACGACAAACAGTAAGCTCAGAATTTCAGCAATCTTTCATTTAGTTTTGATAAAAATATTAATTTTGCAGGAAGAAAATTAAATTTGGGTTGAATGAAGTAATTCGTTGCATTCAGAAATCTGAACCGACATGTATTCTTGTGTCAGGAAGTGCAGGCGTTTCAAACATCACCAATCATATCTGCCTATTAGCGTCTTTAAAAACATACCTTTTCTTGTTGTAAATAATTTTGAAAACAGTATATGCAGTTACATTGGTTTTAAAGCCTTAGTAACTGCTTTCACATATAACGTTGATGATGAATGTTTCAAACACTTGTGGGATACTGTTGCAGATATTTTTAAACGGTATTGTACTCCAAATACCAAATGGGAAAAGCAATTTGATAAGCCAGATGATCAGAAAATTGCAAGCAATCAAGTACAAGGTCAAGAAAACTGTATGGAAGCAATTCATTTAACAAGGGTATCTAATACAACCAGAGTCTTTGTACCAGTACAACATGGTGATGCCAATATGATATCAAAATCAAATTTAGAAGACTTTATTATTATTAATAGTGACAATAAATCAAAAATAATAAATGTCAAACATAAAAGTGATTTATCTGCAAGTAGTGTTAAAAGTGTTGAAAAGATAAGATACGTACCATTAAAAATAAAAAGGATTACAGGAAAGAAAAAACATTGATGCATGATATAACATCAGTAATTTATGTGAAAATCTAAATAATAAATGCTATTTTATTTTTAATACTAGTTTACTTTTTAGTGAGTTTCATAATCATTTTCTATTTAGTATCATATGCAATATAGTCATTGTCTATTATTTATTATATTGTCTAGGGCCATTGTGTACAAATATTATAAACAGTTTACACAATAAAAGCTTTGCATTCTATGAATTTGATTCTGCTGTGTAGATTATCAGAAAAACATTCCATAAAATATTAATCGTCCAAAAATCGAAAATGTTTAGACGTTTCTGAGCATTTTGCATACCTTAGAAAAAAATGGATATATGCATGTGTGTGTAGTTTATGTGTATGTATGAATACGAATATGAATTTTCGGGAGTACCGCTCAACCGATTTGGATGATACTAAAACATTTGATTCCTACTTGTGAGGAGACGTGCTGATTAGTTTTTGGCAAAGACATGTTTAGCCGTTTTAGAGATACGGAGCAAATAATGCAGAAAATGGAAATTGAATTTTTGAGAGAACAGACTATCCGATTTGGATGGGAAGACGTGGTGATTTGGTAAAGGCAGGCCCAGCCGTTTTAGAGATACAGGGCTAAAAGTGTAAAAAATGACAGTTCTTGAAGAAAAAAACCATCTGCTTCGAATGATTAAAAAAACATTTTGTTTTGAAGAAATGATTTTGGGAAAAGCAAACAAATTTTTATTTTTTATACTCATTTTTTTTAAATATTGAAAATGATTCGGATTTTAATTTTAATTCTAGCTAAAATTCTGAAGCTGACTTATATACTTGATATAAATAATTTCAACTTGGCAATTCAGTTTATATAATTCTTCATGGCTTTATTACGTTTTGTGGTTTACTGGGATGATATGAGCTCCTTCATTCTAACTCCGCTTCATTAAGTTTTGTTTGCTTACTTTTCTACTAAACACATATGAAAGCGTTCAGTCCAAATTATAAGCTCTTACATTTTGTCTATAAATACGATTGATGAAGTTACAGTATTTATAATAATATTTATTTATAATAATATTTAAAACCATTTAATATTTTATTGCGGTACGAGAAGCTCCAGCGATTTACCTCAAGCCACGATGCCGTGCACCACTAGTTAGACCTTTCATTAGCTATTTATCTTGTACAAAATTGAATATGTACCACTTAAACTTAATATATCACAAAACAAATTTTAATAAGTCACATTCAAAATAGTTGTGTCCGTTCATACACTGCTTGTCCTGCATTTATACCAACATTTGAAAATTAAAATCTATCGCATTTGTTATCAAACTGTCAAAAAATTTCGCGGGTTTTGTATAGAATTGTTATTGCTTATTGTGTATTTTATATAATTAGATGTTTTATTATTTTTATTTATAAAGACTGATATTAATTGATTAATTAATAATCTATCTAAATAAAGAGATAGCGTATCGAAAGTTTGTTAACAGTAATGGTTCAGTTAATTGTCAAGTGTTTTAATTTAACAGATTACTTAATGTTATATTAGGAGAAATCTGTATATTTAAGATGCAGTCTAGATCATCGAAAGGAAATTTAAGCAAGCCTAATTACGGATTGCGTAAAAGGAAATATAAAGGAACGGCTAAGGATGAAGAAACTCTTGAATGTTCAGATAAAGCAACTCAAGTGGTTAGTGATCTTGAGAATATAGAAAATAATTTTCAGATAGCCGATGGAAATAATCCTATAATTCAGTTCAAATATGATTTAAAGAAAGTTTTAACTGACTCCAATCACAATTTAGAAAAATGGTTGGATTTGGACTCATTACCATATTGTCTAATGAATTTAAACAAATGCATGCAAAACCATGCATATAAAAATGTAAGTGCAAGATATTCTACACTGTATATTATATTCTACACTGTATGTTATATGTTATTTATGTTATAACATAGTGTAAAGTATGTTGGTTCTATGGCCAAACGTTTGAACAATTTGAATTATGTTTATACCTGATCATTCTTTGGTTGTGTCGAAGTAATTTTTCTAACTAGTTGCCAGTTGCTCTCAGTTCTTCTGTTTTTTTATAACATAACTAATAACTTTGAATCACAAAAATTATTCTTTGTCTTATAGAAATCTACAAAATATATATTTTTATTTTTGATAGAATAGGCCTGTAGACTAGTACAACATATTTATTTTTTATGCATTTTGATTTATTAATCCATTGCAAAATTTTACTAAATATATCATGAATAAGGTGTAATACTTCTAATGTATGTTTATATTTTTTGTTTTTTATCTTTTAATTTAAATTAATTTGTTGCAGAATTTTTCTAAATATGTTATTAGTCAAGAATTAAGTGTAATGCTTTTATTGTATATTAAAAACAAAGAGTATCTGGAGGCTTGCAAATACCTGCAATTTTGCATTACAGTAGTATGTAAAATTCCTAATGAATCTACATTAATTGAATTTCTGAAAATAATCATGGTAAGATATAATGTTATCAAATAATTGCATATTGATGCCTAAAAATCTTAATTAATCATAGTAATATGGGAATTTGTTCATAGTGAAAAGTGGAATCATCTTTTTCTCACTGACATATAGATTTTCTACTAAATTTATTTCAAGTAATCAAGACTATATTAAAATAGTTCTTTATTTTAATATATTTCATTTTTGTAGTATATAATTTTATAGTATTTAGAAGTATATAAGTAAAAGATATTTTTTAAAGTATATTTAAAGAGGAAAATTATTTAAATTATTACAAAAGTTAATGAAATGTATCTATACTAATTTAGTCTATAGAGCAAAATCCGTCTAATAACAATCAATTATTAATATTGGATTTGCATTCAGTTTATATTCACAGTGTAATGCGCTTTCAACTATTATAACTTGCTAAAACATCTCATTTGTAATATTCTTTTAATATAGTGTTAAAGCATATAAAAGTTAATAAACATGAATATCAAAATTATCATGAGTTCAATTCTAAATTATTATTCTTTGTATTGCATATAAGGTTTTAATTATTATTTCCAGGATATCCATAACTCTGAAGATGATAGAGACTTACATATTTTTATATTAAAAATGATTGAAGATTGCTTTATAACTTTATTTGCTTTATATCCTTCACATATAAAATATATGAGACAATATTATAAAAGACTACTTACCATGCCGCTTCAAAATTGTAAACACAAAGGTAAGGTTTTTGTGAGTATTTTGAAGTTTTATTTGAATAAATTAATAGTAAAAAACTCTAGGTTTATTTACTCTAATTTCAATTTTTGTATGATAAGTTCTTTTAATAATAATTTCAGATCATGAAAACTATGAAAGTTTCAATGGAATTTTTTTTTACTGCATAAATCGTCTGGAAAGTGAATTACTTGCCATTAATATTTCTCAAAGATCAGAAGTGAATAATGTAAAAACACTTAACAATAATGAAAGTGATAGTATTGCTCTAAGTTTTGCTTTTAATGAAAGTGAGCTTTTCGACCATTATGATGATTTATCAAGGGAAGAAAAACTGTCCAGACTTTATTTACTATTACAAATAATAGTTAAAATATTCGAAGATGATTTAGCATTCAGGATACTTGTGTAAGTATAATAATATATCAAATAACTTATAAATAATATTACATGATAATAAATTTGTTGAAAGGTATAATAAAGAGAAGAACATTGCACATAAATTAATTATTTCAAATGTTATATGGGGTAAAGAAAGTATATTGAATTATGGATTCATGAAACCGTGTATCAGAAAAATAATTAAGATACTCATCTTGTCTGTTCGTAATTGTAGAAAGAAATCAGAGTGCGCCACAGTTTCGGTGAGTATACATCATACTTGTGAACAATGCATGTAGTGTATAATTGTTTTAAAATATTTGATTTCATAATATGTTAACAATTGGGTTAATAAATTGAATTGAATAAATAAATATGTAGAGGTAACATCAGATCTGTTTTGTGCTTCTAATAATATTTTTGCTTTATTTTCTTGTATGAATAATAGCTACTGTTTGTATGTAAATGTTCATAACTGTTGATAGCTGTTGTTGCAATATTTTTTTAAGATATTTTGTATAGATACAGTTTACAATTTTACGTATTATTCAAGGGTATATTTCTATTCAAGGGTAATCTGTTGATTAGTTTTTGACTAACATCCACCCGCTTAAGAGATACAGAGCTAAAAATTACAGTTTGTGAGAAAACGTTTAAATAAACATTTTACTTGTGTTGACGGAATGAAGAATTGATTATATTTTTGCAAAGGCAGGTCCGGCAGTTTTGGAGTTGCAGGAAAAACGTAAAAAAAAAATCTGAAATGATAATTTTAGATCATTATTTATGATTTATATATACATAAAAATATTGATACTCAGATGACAGGTATACAAGGGGACTGATAGACAGATAAACAAGTAGGGAAATTATAAGGTAGAAAGGCAGGCAGAGAGAAAGCTACACAGGTAGAAAGGTAGAAGAGTAGGCAAGTCAACTAGAAGGCAGGTAGATAGGTTAACAAGTACAAAAGTAGATAAGTTGAAACTTAGACTGGTAGACTAGACCCTTGGACAGATAAACAGATTTAATATTTATTGATTAAATCGATTATTTACACATTCTGGTAAGATCATGCAACTTGCCTTAAGGCAAAATGCCACTTACATGTAGTTTACCTTTGAATCAAGGTTTCCGATTTGTTCATCTGTTGCCTTCTCACAAAGTAAGTGTTTGGCTTATTAATGACTTGAAACTACAATTTTACTAGGCTTTTGTCTTATGTAAGTTCCTCCTCACACTTTTCAATAATATATACTTTATCTTTGGTTGTTAATTTATATTTTTGTTGGCAATTGTTTGCTTATATTTAAGTTGTTATAAAGAAATTTGTATTATGTTAGATATATTATATTTACATATGCCTACACTTGGTGAGGTCTTCACTGCAATGCAATTAATTAACTAATTACAGTTTAGTAGGAACTTAATTATCCGGCCCTCAGTTATACGGATTCGTGATTATCTAGACTACCAACAGCGACCAATTTATGTATGCAAATTAAACTTATTACCTACTTATTTGATGATTACCAAATAAATATTTTAAACACATTATTCGTGCATATGTACCTTCAATTTTTATTTCAATTAATGCTAAAATATGTATGTACATACATAAGTAAGTGTTAATTTTTTAATAAAGATTGTTTTTTATTGATTTCTAATTATATATTTCTTATTTTTCATAACATATAACAATATTCTTCATACATTCGAATGCCTATCAACAACAATTAGTTTAGGTAATCAGGTTTCTACTGTATGTGCTTGTATAAACTTATGCAGAAATATATAATAATTACTATGCTTTATATAATTACATAAGCTTCTATTTTTCCAGAGGCTGCTGGGCATTATAGCACATGTGCTGCATTTAATGTCTAATAATAGAAAAAACCTATTCTTAAGTATTGGAATGCAGTTGAATATCTTAGCTATTGAAATATTCACCTCCATACAAGGTAAGTTCTGTAATATTTTTTAATTTTCATAATATATTATTCAATGACAGTAATATATAATTTAATATATCAACCAACAATTTTAGTCCAAACAAAAACACACCTCACACATCTCTCTTTATATTGAATTATATTATATTATATTATATTTGATGTTGAGATATATGAGTAAGTTCTTATAGGGAGATACATCAAAGAAAAAAACAAAGATTTATAAATTACAGTAGAATCTCGATTAACCGGACTAATTGGTGTCGATAGGCATTCGGATAATCGAAAATCCGAATAATCGAAGATATGAAAAATAATTATTAAAATTAACAAATACATACATAGATATATAAGAAAATCAATGTTTATTAAGAAGTTAACACTTCCTTATTTATGTACACACATAGTTTCTTAGATTACATTATACAAATACTAAACTGCAGCATTATTCATGCAAAAATTTGGATTGTAGGTATGTACATACATATAGTTAGTCGCGTTTGACAGTCCGGATAATCGCAAATCCGTACAACCGAGGGCCGGGTAAACGGGGTTCTACAGTAATCTTTAATTTGAATGTCAAAACGTTTGGAATTAAAGATTAAATAATAGATCTTTGATTTTTTCTTTGATGTATCGCCCTATAAGAACTTACTCATATATTACTTACTCATATACATATAAGGCTTGATTTGAATGAATCACTTGATTCGACATGGCACATCATTAATATGTGTATTTGAATAGTCTTGAATTTGATGTTAATATATTTTATTTGAGTTTAAAAGTTGGGCGTTACATCAATAAAAATAGTATGAGAGTTTTTAGAAATTTATTTAAAATCCATACGTTTTGGCGAGCATCCTGGCCTTCAATCAGTGGCAATCAATATAACTCTAAAAATTAAAACTAAATAAATAATATGTAAGAAATTTCATAGTAAAATATTAATAAAAAAAACACAATTTTGTATCCTAATATAACAGATAAAAACACTATTGCTTCATGGTATGAGTATGTGCATAGTGGAAAAATATATATTTTTCAACATCACAAATGGCAAAACACACAAATAAACTTTTAATAAGTTGTCGAAACTATGTATTGATTATTCGGAGTCTAAGATAGAAATGTAGAAATGTCACGTTTTTTCTTAAAGCAGTTCTTAACATATGTTCAAATTTTATGAGAAATTTAAAAACCGATGGGGTCTTGTCATTTTTTAAGAAATTTTGACGCACTATTTTAAAACCACATGTTTGTTTCGATATATATATATATATATATATATATATATATATATATATATATTAGGGTGGTCCTTAATATGGATGTTTTTGAATTTCCTTGCTCCCAGAGGCTCAATGCTTCCAATTTGATAAAAAATAATTCTTTGAAAGTTTTAGTTTTTAATATTAACTTTAAGATAGTCTGCACAGAATTTTTTTTTTTAAATTTCTGTTTTTAGACATTTCAAAGCAATATCATTATAGCAGTATACATCCATAATATATATTTTGTATTATATATACATATAATACCAAATATAAATAAAACATATTTGTAAAGCCTATAAACCATTATTTTGATTATTATTTGTAAATCAATTATTTGTCAGTGAATTACATTAATTTTTGGTTTAATAATAAGTTTATGTAAGCTAAAAGATTTTTATAAACCCCATTTATTTTTTTAGCTGAAGAACCTTCATATATCATTCACATTTTATCTATGCTACGACCATGCTTTCTTAAAAATTTGGTTGCAAACAAAATATTGAGCATGATACATAGCATATTAAATAACGGATTATACAGCTGTAATATGACTTATGCTGATATATTTGAGAAAAAATTGTGGACATTGTTTTCAGCCACACATGCTACTCACAACAAATATGTTTTGGATATAAGTGCTGATACAGATACACTTCATGTGAATTGCTCTAGCTATTTAGCTATACTTTTTCAAGCATTTTCTTCATTTGTCGATATGTATGAGATTAAATGTATTAACTTACAAGTTGTTAAAATCATACAAAATATATTGGAGAACAATAAATCCAACATGACATGTGAAATGTATCAGAGTTTTGAAAAAGATTTATTCAAAAAATATTATCAATGCCATATAGATTCATCTCGATACAGTGAAAGTAATAACTATTTATTGAAGCGAATGCACGATTTTGACTATGTGATGAAAATTAAAAAGAATATGCATATAGAAAGTTTGGTACACAACCATTCCTATTTACCTGCAATTAGCTGGATTACTGGACGTTCTTATTACAAAAAATGTATATTATACATGAATGTTATTGATCTAATAGAAAAACTTAAAGTGGAAGTTAATGGAAATGTTCCAGATATTACAATGGATTACATATTTAATTTTAAATTATAATAGTTATATAGGTTGATACACATACATTGTGATATGCATTATTAAAATTTTGTACCTGAAGTGTGTGTGAATAATAGGTTTAAAGAAGTTTAATAATTATCCAAAGAAAAATGTGAAGAATACTTAAAGAGCAAGTAAAATGACAAAAGAATGAGATACAACAGTTCTTGTTCTATAAATTTAAATATTGAGATTAAACATGAAGTTGAAATTTTATTATAATCTACAGCTCAAATAAAAATTAATAGGATATTATCAACATGATTTGTATATGTAACATACATTATATATAAAGACTGTGAGATATCAAAAAGTATTTATCTGTATTGATGCCTTTCATATAAATTGTATCAAATAATATAATAGAATCATCCGTATGATTTGAGTCACTCTTAAGGTTCATAGAATAGTCATTGTAGAATTATTATAGAAATTCATATTTTGGGGTATAGGTGGCCAATATATTGCAAATATAATGCTGTTGATTTAATCTTTCTCCCACTTAGTATGAACGTTATAGTAAATATAATTCTTCTATTACTTCTATAAATAAATTACTAGCCAAGTAGCATTTTAGATATAAAAATATTAAAGGTCCAATTCTTGTTTTTGCATTTAAATATTAGTAAAAACAAATTATTCCTCTAGATAATTTATTCATTTTTAATATATTTCTCATTTTTCTCATTTCATTATTCATTTGAGTTATTGTGGGTGATACATTTAGTTTTATTATTTCTCATATCAATATTACTTTTATGGCAGTATGTGTTTATATCACTCAATAGCAAATTCTTATAACTATTTCTGAGCTGTCGCTGATTTCTTATAACCACTTTTTTGTGTGTTACTTTTAACGGTTTATTAAATACCCTTAAAGGAACTAAACGATGTCTAGTTGGCCTGATCTTGTATTGTTCACTTGATTTTGTAATTAGGTACTTGTGGCTTAACTTTAAAATTGGCCATTTTGTTAAAGATTTTGGCAAATAAAGTTTTCTTGGTAGATTTGTTGCATATTCATTTATCATATATGCCTTCTCAAAAGTCAAAGAATTTTTCTGTGTATCTTGAACTAATTTATCATAATTTATTTCTGGCATATCAGATATTAACTTGGGCACCGTTTGTGCATTATATACTAGAGTAGCAGCTGCGGTCTTGTTAGCATACCAGAAAAAGTCGCTTTTAGACCAACCTATTCTGGTCTGGTACTCCGGAACCTTTGATTTAACATATACCCACCGTGTGTTTATTCTTTGTTCCTTCAGTAATTGTAATTCATTAGATAAAGGAAATAATCTACTAAATGGTTCTAACTTGTAGTAAGAGTTCATAATTTCTTGGATGTGTTTTGCCCTATTATTGTTACGGACTTCGTCATTGTTTCTTAGGGCCTTACATAAAGACAATCCCAATATAAGTAATGCAGCAATTATCACTGTATATACAGAAATGATTAGAAGTCCAATAATTTGCCATAAGAAATGAATCAATACTGGTACTCCTGCTATTATACCTAAAAAGAAAAATAGTTTATTAGGTAAATAATTTAATAAATGTATATAGTTTAATAGTCGGTTTTTATAATCAAGGTTATAATTAATGTTCATGAAACGTTCTTAAAAATAATTAATGTATTCGAGTCGTATTTATTAATTTTTGGAATGTGGATTACGTTAATGAAAAAACAAATACATTATTGAAATTCCGATTTTACTATTATAAAAAATCGAAGATATCAAAAAACTAGAGGAGCATGCAGTGGCGTCGGAAGCAAATTTTTGATGGATGGGCTCAAGCCCAAAGACCACCCAGCCCACACGGTTCCGACGCCGTTTCCGGTTCCGAAAGTTAAACAGTTGTAAAACAATTTATACGTATTTTTGAGGCAGTCATTATATTGTAAAAATCATCATTATTCTTAAAACATTAATTAACTACTTGTAAAAAAAATATTGTAAACATATTGTTTGCTTTTTATTCACGGTTATGCTTCAAAGTTACAATTATTAGGCGTTGAGGATAAATAATATATTTTGGTATAAAGATTAAGGGGATTTATATAAGGTACACACCATATACATGTATATGCATTATATGATAAAATGCAAAACTATATAATTTTTAAGCGAAAAATAATAGAATATAAAATATATAATATTGCGTTATACCTAAATCATCCCCAGCTGCGGTAAGGACGCACAGCAGGCTGCCCACAACGCCACTGCATAAGTGCACCGCTACAAGATTACAATAGTCCTCTAAGTTTGATCTATAAATGATTCTTTCAAATAGATAACAAATTAACGAACCGAATGCACCCACAAAAAGTGACATTACAGCGTTATGAATTTCCGGAGCGGTCGATATTGTTACGATTCCTGATATTCCTCCCTTAAAATGTAAAATAAATCAAAATGGTCAAAATTTTAAGGAAACTTATATATATATATATATATATATATATATATAAGTTTACTAGTAAGTTCCGCTGTAAAAATATTATAACCTGGAATCTTTATTATACCTACAGATATATTAATTCTATTTAAACAAAATCAGTTTTGGGTTTGGTTAGAATTTCCAATGACTATCAATATAAGTTTTATGTCTTACAATTAGATTAGGAGCATCATGTTGTTTACATGAACAATACATAGCATGCCTCATATCACATCCTTTTTACACACTCATACTCAGATTGTGAGCGTATTTTCACGCTAAAAAATTATTAACATTGTACTAGAAATTTCCTAAAAATTTTATGGGAAAACGATGTATGCCGTGTCAGCTAATATACATATGTATGTATGTATGTATGTATATGTATATATACAGTGGCGTCGAAACCGTGTGGGCTGGGTGGGCTGGGTGGTCTCGAGCCCACCCATGAATTTCTCTATCTCAAAATATGATTTGACCTAATATGTAATACTACTACCTAATACTAGCCCACCCATCAAAAATTTGCCTCTGACGCCACTATATCTATATATATATATATATATATATATATATATATATATATATATATATATATATATATATATATACTTATACATACATACAGTGGCGTCGGAACCGCGTGGGCTGTGTGGACTTGAGCCCACCCATCAATTTCAAAAAATTATATGGGCTAATATCTCAAAAATCTTAAAAAAAAACGAGCCCACCCATCAAAAATTTGGTTCCGACGCCACTGCATACATACATACATATATTTAATCGTATGTATATGTCTACTGTGTATATATTTTTTAATGAAATAAACATACACAAATATTTGATCGATCATTCGCATGTGGTCGATGTAGCTATTTGAAATAATAAATTTCAAATTCAAATAAATATTTACGCCATCCAATTTACACATTTCATATGGAATTCTGACCTTATCATAACGTATAACGTATAACATAACGCTTCGAATATTGAATCCAATAAGTAAGAAAAAACAAAAAAGTTTTTTCAAAAACGATTTTTTTTTTATTATTTACTGTCGACGTTTCGGAACTAGGTACGCTCCATCTTCAGGACATTTGTCAAGAAACATGATCTTGATAAGATTTAAACAAACAATATATTTAAGAAAAATAGGTAATCAATTCTGTTTTTTATACCTCTTTTTTTTTTAAAAAAAAGAACTTTCTAATTTTCTAGTATTTCTAGTATTTCGTTGTATAATCTACTCATTTATTTTTATTATTTTTCATTTTGATTATTTTGTTATATTTTATATAATGTCATCTCTTCCACAATTTTATTCATTTTATAAAATACCATTTTCTAATTTGCTTAAATATATTGTTTGTTTAAATCTTATCAAAATCATGTTTCTTGACAGATGACCTGAAGGTGGAGCGTACCTAGTTCTGAAACGTCGACAGTAACAGTAAATAAATAAAAAATAAAACTTAACAATAATGGAAAACATTTAAAAATTTTTAATTTCCCCAAGGAGTTAATCATGCTTTCATCCGTTAATCTGATTAGCTAGTTTTTTTTATCGAAGTTTCAAATTATAGCGTATGCACGCAAATGTGACGGCTGCACTAATTTAGGAAGTTTAATGCTGATTAATTTTTGCCGGGCTTAATTTATTATTAATATTCATTATTAATATATTATTAATTTTTACGATTTTGTATATTAGCTGACCCGAAATTATAATTTGGCCGGGTCACACTTCGGAATCAATAGAAAACGATAAAAAGTCCAAAAACATTTCATAGGTTTGAGTTATTATTAACAATATACGGTATTATTTCTTTTTTTTCTTTCTTTCTTTTTTTAATGAAATTTTGATGATGTATTATTGCAATTACAAACCTGCAAACAAGCTAAAAATGTCCAATATGTGTATAATCCTCCACGGAATGCAGTCTGTAAGCAAATCATTGTTAGAAAACCACCAGTAAAAGCCATTATGAAGCATATTGCGGCAAAACCAGTATAATTCCCTGAAATTATCAATAAGTTTCGTAACTATCAATAATTATAATGCACAGTGCTCAATGAGTAAAAAAATTTAGGGTTATCTATATTTTTTGGATTTTATTATATAAAAACTGAAATAAAACAGGTATAAAATATAAAAGAAAATGTTATTGGTGATTAACTCTTACCATTCAATGGTATGAATTAGCTGATTCTCAGACCTACTGAGTGTGAAAAGTTTTTAATGGCAATTTAAATTTTTTTCGAAATTTTTGTAATACAATTCTAACACTTACGAAACTATGTATTATACATACACAAAAAATATAATAATATTTGCAGTGAAACCTTTATCAAATACAACATTAAATATGGGAAATGGAAAATTATTTTTCGCTAACTCTTTGAGATAATCATAAAATGTCCGGTCGTGATTTTAGAGTTTATTTTAGTCTTTTTTTGAAGTTATTTTCATTTAAGTAATCTCAACTCACATTGAATTCATACTGTAAAAATTGTTATTATAGAAAGTAAAATATTCATTATTCATGTTTTTTTTAAAACGAACCTGGTACACGATCCTGTTCATAGGTAGGCGATGGCATGCACATGGCGAAAAGTCCAACCACGATTAAAACATATCCCAACATTGATATAGTGGGCGCATCTGTTGGATCAATTATAATAAATACTTTTATCTCTAGTTTAGATATTTTATCTGTTCTGCAAGAATGTAAAAACTTTATTACTACTATGAGGCCATTTTTATACATGATCGTAACCAAAAATATTATTTGAATCATCATATAATTGAATCATATGGATGTTTATTCACTATTCCACATAAAAATACTTCCTTTACTCTAATAATTACGGAAACTAACTTTATAACTAAAATGAAATACTAAAATATCGCTTTTTAGGTGTGCATTTTCAATATATTGTACATGTATTTTATAAAAACTAACCGTCTGTCAATCCATATACGTCAATTGACTTTAATCTCATCACTCTGGGTCCAAGAATGAGACAAGAAACCAGAGCAAACAAACCTCCAGTTACGTGAATAATTGTGCCGCCTCCATAGTCTTTGAAAGACACATTTTCGCTGAACATTGAACTACTTCGCAAAAATCCAATTTCTGCATTTAAATAAAATCGTATATGGTATATTATTGCATTATAATATGATGTTGCGTCGTGATATAATTTGAAGATTAAAAAGTGACTTATCATAGGTATTTTTTTAAATATATATTTAACAGTAATCAGAACTTAACGAGCCCTGTGAGGTTTTGTGCTGACTTCTTTAACACGTGGCTGTATAGATGGCAACGCAAGCGGGTTAGAGCTATTTTCACTTGAAAACATATTGCTATATATATTTCCAAGTGAAAACTGATGTCACTACTGCTTGACATCAATCTTCTGAATTATATATATATATATATATATATATATATAAATAAATAAATAAATATAAATATATTTTATATGAATTTAAAAATCGGGCGTATTTTTGAACTGAAATAAAATAAATTTATAATATATTTTATAATATGATATATATATAATATAAATTTATAATATATATATATATATTATTAAAGTTTTTCAGCCGAAAGTCGAAAAAAGAAAGAAAGAAAGTATTAGGTGCGCAACTAAGTTCTCGCTGTTTGTCAGTATATGGCTCTAGCAGTAAGGGTTGGTCGATTTTGACAAATCCAAAACGTCATGAACCAAGCTTAGACATATGGCAAACAAACTGATGCTACACATAAGAGAATTAGTTTTTGCAATATATACTTCTGATCAAGTGAAAATGTCTAATGTTATGCCAAACAATCGTCATTTGCGGGAAGTGTTGATTTTCTTCTTTCATTCGAAAAGAAACGGCTGCTCAAGTGCATCAAGAGCTACGAAAATGTTACTCTGAGTGAAACAACATGCCGTGATGCGTTTTGGCGCTTCAAAAACGGTGATTTTGATGTTGACGCGACCGCCCTCGTGAAGGTCCAAAATCTACAAAGACGCTAAATTGAAGGCCTTTCTCGAAGAAAATTCGTGCCAAATTCAAGAAGAGCTTGCTTCAGAATTAGGTGATACCCATCAAGCCATTTCCAAGCGATTGCATGCGTTGGGGATTATTCAGAAGCAAGAAACTTGGGTTCCTTGTGAGTTGAAGCCATGAGACGTCGAGCGTCGTTTTTTCGCCTGTGAACAAACAACTGCTCCGAGAAAGGAAGGGTTTCTTCATCGCATCGTGACAGGTGATAAAAATGAATACATTACAGCAATCCAAAGAGAAAAAAATCTCGACTCGGCCGAATATTCACTGCGAAGGTTTACTTTGAATATTGTGGGACCAGGTCAGTATTATTCATTATGATCTGTTGAAACCGAGCGAAATTATCACTGGAGAACTAAATCGAACTCAATTGATGCAATTTAGCCGAACACTGCTGCGCGAAAAACGGCCAGAATACGAGCAGAGTGATTTTACTGCATGCCAACGCTCAGCATCACGTTTTCAAGCCTGTTAAAACCTACTTGGGAACGGTCAAATGGCAATCCTACCCCACCCGCTATATTCCCCAGATATTGCATTATCCGATTTTTACTTGTTTCGTTCGATGGCACATGGCCTGGCTGAGCAGCAGTTCAACTTATACGAAGACATCAGAAAATGACTTGATTCGTGGATAGCCTCAAAAGACTACCACTTCTGACGTCCAGGAATTCGAGCTCTGCCAGAAAGATGGGCAAAAGATGTGTCTAGCGATGGGAAATAGTTTGAATGAATCAGATGTAATAGTTTTTTTTATAATAAAGTTGCATTTTCATCGAAAAACAGCGAGAACTTAGTTGCGCACCTAATTCTTCTGAAGAAAATAAAAATCTTCTTCAATTGTACGTTTCGAGCTGTTATGTTAGCTCATTATTCAGCAAGCCAGTCCAAAAATATTTTTATAAAATTTGACAATTTCTCGAAACGTACAATTGAAGATTTTTACTTTCTTCCTTTTTTCGACTTGTGGCTGAAAAACTTTAATAATATCTTTCAAAGTCAAGATAAACAATCTCATTATATATATATATATATATATATATATATATATATATATATATATATATACAGCAATGACCTCGAAAAACCGTTTCCACTTGAGATCATATTTGAAATCTATAACCTCAAGTGGAAATTACTGAACTTATCATAGTAAACATGTAAAATATTTTATATTTATAGATTTATTTTATATTTATAACAGAATTAAACTCAGGAATTTTTTGAAATGTCAAAATTTTGCTATTGTTAAACGAATAGTCTATCCTATCAAATACAGGAACATGGTAAGCGGATGCATCAGGTCGCTTCCACGATTAATTGGTTAAAGAAAAATGAATGCATCGTGAAATATGTTTGCAATGATGTACACTGTGTTACTTAAATCGTTTTTATCATTGCTTTTTTTTATTATAGATTGGATTTTTAAAATAGAAATAATATATAACATTACCAACTAATTTTTGTACCTCCGCATGTAATATGAATTATAACCGGATAAAACAATACTGACGTAACAATTGATATGGCAATTATAGAAATTGTTTTAATTCGTCCAGCAATCATAGTCGATATTATAGCACTTGATATTATTTGTATGCACCAGCCTGAAATTAGATCGAAATTATGCTTTATATTATATAATATACAAGTTGCTTAAAATAATTGAAAGCCGCGGTATATTGGTTTATCATGCACCTAGTTTTTAATTTAGATACTTTTAAGAAATTCGCTATAAGTTTTCCATATCGTATTTATTATGATTTAAATACAAATGAGATTTGAAAATCATTCTAATGGGCTTGCCAAATCGCTATACCAATGAACTACAACAAAAGATTAAAGTGATAAACTCCCTCAGATTTATCTAATATATAGATAATATATACCCTTGCCTTTTACTCTAATTAAGGGAAGAATGCAACTGTGAATTTTTCCTAGCATACAATAGTTCTCCTTTATTTTTGTAATAATAACCAACAAATTTAATTAATGTCGAATTTGCAGTTGTAAATATATGAGATAAAATAAAAAAAAGTATAAGGCCGAGCTTAAACAATGAGTTTTAATGTAAATTTAAATTGGGCAAAATTTGAAATACAAACCATAGCTAGCCTCGTTCATATCAAGTTCTGCCGATGAAAAAAGCGACACGTTGGATCCGAAAATCCGTCCTTCACCCGTGCCATATGCTAATGTATAACCAATTAAGCAATAGCATAGTGATATTACTGATATTTCTATCAGATTTTGAAGAGATATTCGGTAAATATTTTCTGTAAATTTAAATAATATAAGTCAGTTATTTTTATTCAGTCTAATAATTTTAGGATATTTTATTTAAAATTGCTATAATTTAATTTACAAACTAAGATGTTTCAAACTAAAACTGTTGAACCATTTGTCAAAGCTTATATCTCTCCAAATTAGAACGTCAGTCTCTGTACCCTTCACATACTATCAATTTAAATATATATATATATATATATATATATATATATATATATATATATATATATATATATATATATAGCAATCAGAATTTAACGAGTCCTATGAGTTGTTACTACTTTTAAAACGACGTGGCTTTTACAGATGGCAACTCAATGGGTTATCGTATCTCTATGTTATGAATTCATGACAAGAATCCTTGTAAAATTGATGATTTTTTTATTGATGTAGTAATGTCTGGGAGGGCTATTTTTGCTTGAAAACATATTTACGTATATATTTTTAAATGAAAACCAATGTTGCTACTGGTTGACATCAAAATCTTCAAGGCTATCAAATCTGGTATTCCTGCTTCACCATTATGGCCACGGGGAGCTATTCTACAAAAATTTAGTAACATTTTTTAACGATATATTTTTATTTCATTTTTAAAGATAACCTGATCGCATAATACGAAAAGAAGAAGTGCCAACAAGACCTTATCTTTATATTTATATTTACAGAATTTATTTTGATTATTAGTTTAGTACATTTATGGACTAAGAGTTTGAAATTTTTCTACTCTGCTTAACTTTTACCTCTTCTAGTAAAAATTAAATGGGAGTGTCTGTTTTTAATCTAGTAATACCAGTAATGAGCATCGCTCGATCAGAATATTCATCATGATAAAGTTACAATTGATTACTTGCTAGTGACTTTTGCCATTTATTTTAGTTTATGTAAGGTAAGAGCATAATATCTTAACAGATACCGAACGGTGGCCAAGCCCGATATCAGGCAGCATGATGTCAAATTTCCACTTCAGTTATATAGATCTTAACCTTTAACGAACAAGCGCATTACCTAAAACTATGCCCAGTGGGTCGACAGATTTTTAAGAAATTAAGTGCATTAATATCGCTTTATTGGATTTGAATGGAATGGAATTCGACTAATATTGCTTGTTGACCAATATTCAAATTTATTTTCTAACTGCATTGTACTTATATTAAAAATTACAGACAGAAAAGTTCAAAAATTTTCTGGTACGTCATGCCGCGTGTGTGGCGGCATTCGATTATTTTAAGGGGGTTGTTCTTTTTTCGTTACAAAAAATGCAAGGTATTTGTTTTTGTTTTTTCTCGAAATGTATTTATCATAGAGACATGCGGTTTTTTTTAAACAAAAATTACAAAATCATAGAATATTACGTGATTTTCTTCTTTTCTTTTTGCGCCGTCATTTTTTAACTAGGGGGCGCCAAAGTCGGTCTTGCAAAATCGATCTCTTTTGCGGTGCCACAGATAAATCCGTTGCGCATCGCCCGAAACAAAAAAAAAAAAGAAATTACGTTGAAGAAGAAGTTTGTTTCCAGTCCCCCTACCAAAATAAAAGAAAAAAAGCAAGAAGGAAAAAAATGGCAGCTATTTAAAAAAAAAGTGTCAAAAAAGGCCTTTTTTTGGGGCGAGAAGCTTCGCAAATTTTTTTTGCGTAATGTTATCAAGTTGTTTGAGGTAGGAGGACTCGGTATTGCAGTGGTGAACAAATTAAAAAAAAATGCAAGTCGATCCGACTTGTAGTTTTTGTTTAATTTGTGGCACCGCATTGAAAAAAGTAAATTTAAGAAAAACGTATTTAAAGTTCTTAATATAATGTACTGAATACACCATTTAATTTAATGTACTAAATACACCATGGTGTTCAAAGATGCTGACACATTAAAAAGGTCATGTGCATGAGGTATTATAATGAAAAAGAGGAATCTGGCATACAATAGCTCGCGGAGCGATAAAAAAAACGCTTTCAGAGGATCATACTATATCTATAACTTCGTCAAAAAAATAGATATTGAGATGATTTTTTTTTGAAATGATTCTAAGGGTTTTATTTTTCATAATATCAAAAAATCTCAAAACCGAAACAAAGAAAAATAAAAAAAGAACAACCCCCTTAAAATATTTACAATGTCGCGAGTATGGCGGCACTTGTTCGTTAAGGGTTAAATATGACCTGAAGTAAAAATCATCTTTCGTGGGCATAGTTGCATATAGAAATATATACCACAAAACTATTACACATATATATATATATATATATATTTATTTATATATATATATATATATATATATATATATATATATATATATTAGAGATGGGCTTATCATATCCGAAGCCGGATTGACTCGGATTTGACTCCGCTTCAGGGAGGAGTTATATCCGCTTAACAACTCCACGACTCCGACATCTTTGAGACCGAAATACTTGACACAAGTGTGTTCTATAGTGCGTTATTGACGTCACTGATATATTTTGCACTCTAAAGTATTGTTATTTCAGGCTATGGAAGGGAAAACCCAGATTAAATGTATTCTGTTTAGTGTATTTTTCGGTATGTATATTCCTGATTGCCGTCATTCACGGTCAAAGATTGTCGTAGTTAGAAATATGACCCTTTACTATTCAATAAATTATACATTGAAGCTCATTGTTCTATATCTTTGAAGTAATGTTTTTGCATTTTCTGGAAAAAAACCGTATACCTAAAAGGTCATAAAACTGTCTGTGAGACGAGAAAGCGACAGCTTCCTTTCCAAAGCAAAAACGCAGTAACAGATTTAGTACCAGTTTAGGGAAGCCGGATATGACAAATCCGGTGTGACAACTCTACTCGGATTCACTCCGAGGGAGGAGTTGTATCGGAGTAATAACTCCGGAGTGAGTATATATATATATATATATATATATATATATATATATATATATGAGTAAGTTCTTCAAGGGCATACATCAAATAAAAGGCAAAGATTTAGAAGTTAATCTTTAATTTTAGAAGTTAAGATTAACTTCTAAATCTTTGCCTTTTATTTGATGTATGCCCTTGAAGAACTTACTCATATTTCTCAACATCAAAATTAACTACTTTAACATATATATATATATATATATATATATATATATATATATATATATATATGAGTATATATATTATATTTATATGTATGTACATATATATATATATATATATATATATATATATATATATATACAAAAGTAAGAGTGGTTGACCACTTTTTGCCTTCTTGAGAACAATATATCTAGATTAAGATGTACGTTAGCTTATAGAGCTCGTGATTGCTGTTAAAAAAGATATTTATTACTTCATTTAAGAACCAAGCAGATTTAAATATGTGCGGACTGCCATTCAAATTTAGTCATGTTTTCTGATCAAAAACCTTTACTATTCATACAGAAAATATAGTGTGACGCATTTTGTGCAATATTTAATTTGTTCTGTAATCTCTTGCAAAATTTTAAATTTATTTTACATTTCCTAAAAAAGCATGAAATATAAAAATTGTAAAATAACTTGTACTAAAAAGTATAAAATGTTTTCAACTTAACTGAACATATGATTCCTAATAATTTTCATTTGTTTATAATACATTATTTGTTGTCAGAATTAGATCTAGGTTTCGAATATTTTAAATGCCTTCCGCATAAGAGAGATAGATTTAATTCATTGAAATTTGATTAAAAATATTTTTTTTACCAGTAGGCACACATTGGACTTGAATTATTATAAAACCAGCGCGTAGTAGCAGTACAAGAACTACTCTGCAAAAAGTCGGCACGTAACCATAATCCACAGGTCGATTAACATAGTCATCGTGTATGTCTTCTAAATCTAGTGAACTGTCTATTAAATAAACTCTTTCTGCCATTTGTATATTGAATATGTACGTGATTGATTGAAAAAAATGTAAATAAATAAATGTATCGAAACAATTAAATTTGGCGCTAGCTTTGATAATGTTGCGTTTGCGGTGTATTCCGATTCCGCTCCGTGTCGTGTCGAAGCGCGCAGACTCGTCCTCGTCCTAACATGTAAACCCGACAACCCGACAAGCCGACGAGCGGACGCGTGCGACGGCCGTCTCATCGCGCGAAAGCGACAGTGTCAAAACAGGCCTGCGTTACTGAAACAGTGAATGACATAAGATGGCGACTAGTATATGTGTTTCTAGGTGCCAGATATTGTTTAAAAATGAAATAAATAGGATAGGACTGCGGGCACTGTTTTATACACTTCAGGGCTTTAAAGTAAGTACTTGACTATGCAATTACGATTGTCATTGCGCCAATTTCGATATCTCTCATTTATAAAATGATACTTGAAGTCGAACTGACATTAGTGATTAATACACTCGAAAACGATTATATCAACATGCGCCTTTTCAGTGGCATTTTTAGACGCTGATGTCACCGTCAATGATAAGTTCTTTGATCAATACATACTTATCTAATATCTTTTTTTTCATTTATGACTTATGCCACTTTTCAATTGCCAATCGAAATATCGTTTATCAAAAATTGTACATAACCTATAAAGTGATACTGATTCATTATTTAAATGTTTAACAATACATGTGCATATATATGTATTTACATATATGTTTATATTTTTATGTATATGTGTATGTATTTTCCTATATATGTATATTATAAATGTATATGTATATATATATATATATATATATATATATATATACAGGGCCGGTCCTACCTTGAATGCGATGCATGCAAAAAATGCGGGCGCACGCCTTAGGGGGCGCCAAAACGAGATTCGGAAATGAAATTTCCAATATAGTTTTTTTTTCAATATAATTCAAGAAACATAATTTTTTTGCATTTTTCACTAATTTTTGAGCAATATTTAAGCTGCGATTTTGGATATTTTAAATAATGAAAAATCAAAATAAAATAATCCAACATTATAGCACCATGATTTGTTTAATACAATAAATCGCACAAAATCTCTAAAATAAATAAGTAAAATTTTTCAAAAGTATTATCTCAAGCAATAATAAACATACTGAAATTTTTGAATGTCCTAAAAAGTTTGGATTAAAAATAAGAATTTAGAAGTTGTTTGGTAGTGATTATGAACAACCCGCGAATCACCACGATATTTTAAATAAATTTAAAATCAATGTGCTTTTATATTATATATCTAATTTTTTATGTACTAAATCCAGAGTTATGAAAAAGTATTTAAAAAAAATAGCGTAAATATTCTTATATTTTTAATGATATAAACTGTTAAAACAGTTCAAATAATAAGGGGGAGGGGGCGCTAAAAAAAATGCATGCGGGCGCTGAGGACCCCAGGACCGGCCCTGTATATATATATATATATATATATATATATATATTATATATATATTTATATATATATATATTTATATATATATATATATATATATATATATATATATGCATATTAGAGATGGCTTATCATATCTGAAGCCTAATCGGTTAGAATTTGACTCCGCTTCAGAGAGGAGTTATATCCGCTTAACAACTCCACGACTCCGCTAACTTTGAAACCGAAATACTCGACACAAATGTACGTTGTTTATGTATCTAAGGATGTGTCAAAGCCCATTAATTGTTTGAAATTCTTTTAAAATGAACAGTTCAAACATATTTGTTGATGTTATTATAAAAAGTCACGATTTTAAGCATTTCTATATCTCAAGTGGCATGCTGAAAGTGGGAATAAATATTGTGAATGATCAAGGAAATAAATCTTGAAATTAAAATAAAAATTTTCTTTTGATGAGAAAATAGATTTTTTGGATTAATTTTATATAAAAATAATGTAGTAAACTTTGTAATAAAAGCAAAACATTTATCATGAAATATTTTCACCAAATTATAATATTTCTGCTTTCTAAATTTTTCTTCTGCTATTTCCATTCGAGAATTAATATTATATCGGGTAGATCGACTAGCATATTATTACTTTTACACAATTATATAATGCTTAAATACTATTGATCACTGATAAATTTTGCTCTAAACTCTAAAGTATTGTTATTTCAAGACTATGGAAAAGCCAGATAAAATGTATTTCGTTTCGTGTATTTTTCGGTCTGTATATTCCTGATTGTCGTCATTCACGGCCAAAGATTGTCGTAGTTAGAAGTATGACCCCTTACTATTCAATAAATTATACATTTGAGCTATTCGCATTCCAACACAATTTCATTGTTCTGTATCTTTGAAGTAATATTTTTGTATATTCTGGAAAATACACAATGGCATTATTTTGATTCGTATACCTAAAAGATCATAAAACTGCCTGTGAGACTAGAAAGCGACCGCTTCCTTCCCAAAGCAAAAACGCAGATTTAATACCAGTTTAGGAAAGCCAGATATGACAAAATATCCGACACAACTCCGCTCGGATTCACTTCGAGGGAGGAGTTGTATCGGAATGATAATTCCGGAGTGAGTTACCCATCTCTAATATGTTTATGTCATGTTATGTACTTAAAGTAGGGCTTATCATATTCGAAGTCAGATCGGTTAGGATTTGACTCCGCTTCAGAAAGGAGTTCTATTCGCTTAACAACTCCGACGACTCCCACAACTTTGAAATATAATGCTCGATACAAATGTGTATATGCATACAAATCTTAAAATGTATGCCGAAATTGTGACAATAAAAATATTGAAATGTCAGGGTAGATCTATTACTTCTATTCCTATTAAAGGTCCACTAGGCAATCAGGCGACCGGACAATTTGTGAATAATTAAATGTCAATAAAATAATAATTTGAAAAATAAAATACAAATATTTCGGATTATGAAAATTTTGGTTGACCTGGCGATCGAATCAATGGCTGATGTTTTGCAGTGTTGACTGAAATAAAAACGAAGAAACTTGAGAATCAAATTTAATTTTCTAATTAATTTCAAGAGAAGACATAGATGAAATATGACCCAATACTATTGCATAAATTATGCATTTGAACTGTTCACACTTAAACACATTCGCGTTGTTTTTTTTTTTTGCAGTTAGATTATTTTACTTTATTGCAAATTCAAAATGGCATTATTTTGGATCACTTTATATTGATAAAGTATATATAATATATAGATGTATATATATATATACGTGTGTGTGTAATTAAAAATATAGATCAAAATATGTTTCCAATTGAAAATAAGCCCATCTCGGGCACTGCGGCGGGAAATGGAAATGGAAAAAATTCTCACAATCGAGTTGGAGTTTATCTCAGGCTACAAACCTGTCTTAGGGCAGTACTACCCATTATATTACATGCATGTATATATATATATATATATATATATATATATATATATATATATATTTCATTCTCAATGTCTTCCCATGTACACACAATGCTAAAAACTTTTATATCTCGAAATATTACTTATTACAATTTTTAATGAATGATTTTTAGTGAGATTTTTAATAAGAAAAATTATTTTTTATAATTCGAAGTACTGGAGACGGGGACATTACATATCAAAGAACATATTTATAAATAAAAAATTAAACTAGTTATTAGTAACGTTGATGATAGGTCTAAAATCGGCTCACATACGCACACACATACTTTTTCCAAATTTGGTCTTATTCGATTCACAATGACTTGAAACTTCGGGAAAACATAAAATTAGCAATCGGACTTTTTTGCGGAATCAAACTTCTTCTTTGGAAAGTTAATAATTAAGAAGAATAAAATCATAAATAATAATAGATATCCAAAGAATTTCACTCGAAAGTTTAATACTTATGTTATAATAATATGGTCTTAGATTTTTTGTAGTTTTTGCCACATGAACCTAGGTTGTTTGTCTTCTCATTCCTGACAGAGTCACATTACCTCCGATGAATATCGGTGGACACCTTTTTATAATTAATCAAATCCAGTTTTGGTTTTATTTTGTTTCAGTTCTATGTTTAATAAATCTGCAGCAGTTTTTCATTTGTGGATTGGGTGGTTCTTATCTTTCTTTGCATAAACGCTATATAATTTTAGTTGGCCAATTTTAGTTCGGCCCATCTTGATCTTGGTACAGGTTTCCGTATACTGAAGATATTTCTTGCACATGCAACGATTTTTCTAGAAGATTTTCTAATAAATTTGATTAACGCATACCTTGTGTACAATCTCTGGACCAATTTTATGAACCTTAATGATTTACTATGTATTTTTCTATTTTATATGCTTTTTCAGTATTCTCAGTGGAATTGAGAATATACTTGTTTTGCAAGCATGTCATTGTCACCAGTCGTTTTTATAGCTTTTTCAGTTGTATATTTCAGTGTATTTTAGACCTGCCTTATACAATCGACTAACCTTAAACAATATCTCGTATAACAAAAATGCTCCTCTTCATTTTTTGTGAAGTCTTCACATGGTCTCAGCCATATATGAATAGGTACATGAACAAAGGGATAAGAGGCATTTTTCCTATGAAGAAATAAGGCTTACTGAACATATATTGTTTTTTTTATAAAAAGTATTAATTACGCAAAATTTTGTAGAACAACTAGCTGTAAGTGGAATTCTGTCTTAAGGCAATTAAGGCATCGTGCCTTAAAGCAAATTGCTGGAACTTCCCGTACCAAAAATTATTTTTTTAAAAACGATTAACATTTTTGAAAAAAATTTACTTCAAAAAAATTAGATTTTTGAGAAACTATAAATTTGACAAAAAATTATTTTTTTTGAAAAAAAATTTTTTTTTTTGAAAAATAATTTTTTTTTTTTTGAAAACAAATTTTTTTTGAAAAGAAAAATGTTTTCTTCATTTTGACATATTTTGGAAATTCTGAACTTTTTTTCAAAGCAATCGTACTGCTTGAACTGCATAGAGACATAGAGAAATGTCAAAGCGCGCAAGTGCCGCGCCGCCGTCTAACGCATAAGCATTGGTACGGAACCCATAAAAATGTAAAAAAAAATTATACTTATTGTTAAAATCTCTATAAAATATCTGATAATTTGATGTGCATATGTTTAATGATCATTTTTAACCGCCAAATGGCTCATTTTTTTACTTTTTCCTCCATATCTCCGAAACCGCTAGACCTGTCTTCATGAAAATGTCATTAATTCTTCATCTTGTCAATACAAATGAAATGTTTTTTGAATTATTCACATCGGACGCTCCGTTCTCTTAAAAACTGAGTTACCGTTTTCGGCACTTTTTGCCCCGTATCTTCGGAACGGCTAGACCTGCCTTCGCCAAAAACTAATCAGCACGTCTCCTTATCAATACGAATCGAATGTTTTTTGAATTATTCAAATCGGTTGATCCGTGTTACCGAAATCGTCGACGAAAATTTGTATCCGCACATACATACACACACATACATACACACACACACACACATACATCCATTTTTTCTAAGGTATGCCAAAATATTCAGAAACCTCTGAAACGTTAAGATATATAAAAATTTTCATTTTCGATTTTTTTGCGATTACTATAACTTGCCCTACGGGAAGTTAAAAATGAACCAATATCTTCATCTACCTATTAAAAAAAATAAACCACTAATTAAATGGTTAAACTTATGTTTACATAAATTTTATCTGATAATCATATAGAAACAATCTATTGCCATGCTGAAGTAATCAACACAAATCGTAATTAAGTTTCAAAAAATAAAAGTTTTCACATATTGTGATATTGGTGTGTTTTTCTATAAAACTTGGGCTATATGCCAAATTCGTATTCACACATATATTTTTTTCTGGTTTTTGCGTCAATATGTTCAGAGTGACTTAAAATATTGAAAAAATATAAAATTGGATAATATGAGTTTCAAGCAAAAAAGTATATTTATTTTTCGGAGCGTTGGAAATCAAACTCAACTTGAATACGATGTACTAAAAATACTTTTGGTACTCTCTCACTTTATTATAAATTAGAAAATTTCAAATTTGTTTTTTGATACCAATACGAATGAATCATTTGTTGAAAGAAATTTACTGATTTAATTTTCACAGAAAAATGTGAATTCTTTAGAACAATGATTCAATTCTTATAACATAGCATGATATTGCTCATTGCATACATCATTAAATAATACATTAGGTGTATGCATGAATGTATTCAATTTACAGTTTGATCATATCGTTTAAAGCTACAATTACGAATGTACTAAGTTCTTTTTTTTAAATTGCTAATGTTTGTTTCGCGAGTCTATAGTAAAAATTAAGTTATAATTGTTATGCGCGCTCATCATATGAGATATAAAGATTAATAATTGAGAAATCATAATATAATTATGAATTCATAATGTGAAGTTCACTTTTATATGCTAGATATATTTAGTATTCAATTTGCAATAAATTTTTATTGATAAAAATATTGGCATATTCTATATTTTAGATCCATGTGGAACCTTTAGCATGTTTGCATAGTAAAAATGGTCAAATACAATTACGTGAAAAAAACGTCTTGTTCACAAGGCATATTTTTGAAAATGTGATTCGATTAGTAGAAAATTTTGTCAAATTGCCAATCACAGAAGTATTTAATATAAATAGACACAGCTTGCTCTGTTTCTACAACTCTCAAGAATATAACTTTGTATTCAGCGCTCGTTTGTGAGCGTACCTTTGATTCTCTAGTTTGAAATTATATTTTACCACCAAATATATATAATAACATTAATAATACTGGCCAATGTACTAGTTTACAAAGCCAATAAAAAATAGATAAGTAAAATAATAATAATAATAATATTAAGAAGTAGATATAATTGGCGTTTTGCCAATTGCAATTTTATTGTAGTGATTTTAATTTACACATATTTTTTAATAAAAATTTAATGCATTCTTCGAATTTAATAATTTTTCAAGCATCGGTTTTGCGAAATTATTGAAATAGATGGGTACTCTTTTTTTTTAACAGATTCAGTACTTCTTTCATATTCAGTTATTTGCCCCTGAGATAAATTTTCCATAGATTCTCAGTTTGTAAATTATGAGCCTTTAATTGCAACCTAGAGCTTTGATGAACTTATAACCATTTTTTGGTTATTGTGGTCAATTTTTATTAATTTTGTTAAAAGTGGTAACCTTAATCGTAAATAACATTTATGGGACCTCAGAAAAAATACAATCGGTCGATTTTGAAAGGCCCTTCTTTAAAAAATGTACTAAAATATGCTGGCAAGTTTCATCAAGTTGGCGTATTTAATCAGAATTGGAAAATGGTAAAATACTTGATAATTTTATTATTGGAAAATTTCTAATAAAAAAATAAAAACTCAAAAATGACATGTTTTTTGCTAGTACATCACACTCCTAATTAGTTCAAATGCTTGGCTACGATACCTTCAACATACGAGAGAAATTTTAAATTCATTGTTCAACAAAAACTCTTAACTCTTGAATACTCGGTGGAATTACAGTTTTCCACTGTAGTTCTAAAAATGTTAGATCTGAGACACCCTGATCATTATATGGTTTATTTCAAATTTCAACTTCTTTTTTAAAACAATAGGACATTAATACGCCAAGTTTCAGATAATTTGTTTAGTATGTATTTTAATTTAAATTTTAGCTGTAAATAATTAACACTGACAGTTGATCATGAAAACGAAAACTGAGTTTATAAATTCGAACATTTTTTTCTGCCATTAACTACAAATGCATTTTCATTATATTCTGTTAACTAAATACTAAAACTAGTGGGATGCATGGCATCGTGCTTTAAGGCAAATTGCTGGAACTTCCCGTACCAAAAATTATTATTTTTTTAAAAACGATTAACATTTTTGAAAAAAATTTACTTCGAAAAAATTAGATTGAAATTGAAAAAAGAAATATTGAAAAAAAATGTTTTCTTTATTTTGACATATTTTGGAAATTCTGAAACTTTTTTTCAAAGCAATCGTACTGCTTTATAGAGATGAAATGTCAAAGCGCGTAAGCGCCGCGTCGCCGTCTAACGGATAAACATTGGTACGGAACTCATAGGAATGCAAACAAAATTTATACTTATTGTTAAGATCTCTATAAAATATCTGATAATTTGATGTGCATATGTCTAATGATCATTTTTGACCGCCAAATGGCATGTTTTTTTTACTTTTTTCATTAGATCTCCGAAACCGCTAGACCTGCGTTTATGAAATTTTGATCAGTTCTTCATCTTGTCAATACAAGTAAAATGTTTTAATGAATTATTAAAATCGGACGCTCCGTTCTCTTAAAAAATGAGTTACCATTTTTGGCACTTTTTGCCCCGTATCTTCGGAACGGCTAGACCTGCTTTCGCCAAAAACTAATCAGCACGTCTCCTTATCAATACGAATCGAATGTTTTTTGAATTATTCAAATCGGTCGATCGGTGTTCCTGAAATCGTCGACGAAAATTTGTATCCGCACACACACGCACACACACACACATACATCCATTTTTTCTAAGGTATGCCAAAATATTCAGAAACCTTTGAAACGTAAAGATATATACAAATTTTCATTTTCGATTTTTTTGCGATCACTATAACTTACCCTACGGGAAGTTAATTAACCTGCAAACAATAAGAAGGAAAATTTATAATAATATATTGATAAAATGTAAATGTTGCTTCTATTTGTTTTAACATATATTGGTTTTAATTATTTATTTGAATTCCGCAGGAATCTCGACATAATGAATTATTAAAATCGGACGCTCCGTTCTCTTAAAAAATGAGTTACCATTTTTGGCACTTTTTGCCCCGTATCTTCGGAACGGCTAGACCTGCTTTCGCCAAAAACTAATCAGCACGTCTCCTTATCAATACGAATCGAATGTTTTTTGAATTATTCAAATCGGTCGATCGGTGTTCCTGAAATCGTCGACGAAAATTTGTATCCGCACACACACGCACACACACACACATACATCCATTTTTTCTAAGGTATGCCAAAATATTCAGAAACCTTTGAAACGTAAAGATATATACAAATTTTCATTTTCGATTTTTTTGCGATCACTATAACTTACCCTACGGGAAGTTAATTAACCTGCAAACAATAAGAAGGAAAATTTATAATAATATATTGATAAAATGTAAATGTTGCTTCTATTTGTTTTAACATATATTGGTTTTAATTATTTATTTGAATTCCGCAGGAATCTCGACATAATTCCATCCACACGTGCGCCTCTTCACACCCAACGCTAGTGCCTAATGATCGCAACAATTTGACGCCTGTCATCAGCGCAGCTAAAAAATCATCGGAAAATGAGGGTAATAATATTTTCTTGTTCAGCGATACAAAATATATCTATTTTATTAGTCAAGTTGTATATTCACTTCGAAGTTCCTCAATCCTTAATAGCTCACAATGAATTTAGATAGCGTTAGTCTCTTTGTAGTTTGGCTGCATAATTACATTTTTTATTTAATAGAACTTAGAATATTAATTAATAGAATCAGTGAGTTGAGGGATTAGGGCTGTTAAGTATAGTTAGAATCATTTTAAGTGCACGCTATTCGTCTACTGTGCATTTGCATCGTGTTTGATTAAAACTGTATGTTTTAATCAAACTGTATTTTTTAATTATGATTTTAATTAACACTTGGTTTACAAAAATTTGTATATACCTATATACACGGGAACCCATCAAATTGATGCAAGCGTATTTTTTCATGATAAATCTTTTAATTTACATTCTGGTTAGTTGAACAGAATATGCCTTGGCATAAACATATAATCTGAAAATTGCTAAGGTATACGCAAAAATTAACAATGTACGAAAACTATACGGTATCCATAACATATTTTTCTCACATTTTTTCTGTCTTATATGCATTTTTTGTATGCTATTTATTTACAATACATGAAAAAATATTTTTATTTTTGGCAACTTTTTCGAAATTTTGATTTTGACGCTCATTGATCTAAAACATTATATATTTCATGAATATTTAAGATACAGAATAAGCGTAAACAATTTATCTTAATTGAATTAATCATAGTAAAATACAAACAAACAAATACAATACATTATATCATGTTTAACGCTTATAAATAAATATGCTATACTTCAGTTCAGTACTCAAAATAGGTAGAGGCCTTAAGATTTTTCTGACGCTAAAATAATCCTTGAAATTCGAGTTTCGAGTGACGAGACTTTTTTGTTAGACATTTGAATATATAAATATAACATGACATAAATTTATTATATCTCAGTCTTCTCGTTATTACATAATTACTATTTAAATAAAGAAAATATATCATCAATTACTGGGCAATTAACTAACCCATTAGGGCGTAGAGATAGGATACCATATCTGAATTTCAAAATTTAGAAATTCATCAAAATTTTATTTCTACATATAAAATCTATAAAATAAATAAATAAAGTTAACACAAATTAGTTAAGATTTGTGCTATGGAATTTTCAGCGATCCATTTCAAAGTTCAAGTTCCGTCAAATTGATGGGCTACGTAAACCTAGTGTTAATTTTGCAAAGTAGAAATATATGCTTTTATGATTAGTTTGCCTAGACATTGAAAATGGGTTAAGTATTTTGTTGACTTATCATTAATACTTCAAATGGCCGAAATCGATCATATATATTCACAAGTATAAATCAAATAAAATTTAAAACTATTAAGTTTCAATATTTATTGAGATTTATTTTATCGATGTTTCTTGAATTTTATAATTATATGAAATTGTTCAATGATAACGAAGTGAAGATTTGTATAAATCTAAAAAAAATAGACATTGATAATGTATATATATAAAATATATAAATTATTACCTTTAATGATATAATGCGATAAGACATGTGGCAATGCACTATCTCAATGAAAATGAATATATATATATATATATATATATATATATATATACAATATATATTGAATGAATTACGTCAATCCAAGCATTGTTTAGTTCTGATAAATTAATTCAAAACACTTAAGAATTATTCAATTTATATTATTTTTAATTTCAATTATTGTTAATTGCTTTAATTCATTACTGTGCATTATATCATAATTCACAAAATCTATACTGCAATTGACACGATGCTTGATATGCACACATTTTATCGATACTAAATGCCATATGCTATCCTGATGTACCATCCTGATAAAAAGCTGAATTGACCACGACGATAGTACCTTGTGCAAAGCGATAAAAGTCCACTTTTCACCACTTTGGTGTCGTGCGCAAAACTATTGCCTCCAATTTCCGCGAAGTGTGCCGTGTGCAAATCCAACCTCATGGGGGATTCACCTCCGGTGTCGCTTGCTAACGATAGGCATAGTACGGTGGCGAATAGCCCTTCAGTAATTTTAGCCGCTATGTCAACCCTGTGAATGTTGTGAATTTACATGTATATATCTTAAATAACGCATTAAAATATTTATATTTATTTTATATAATAATTAGAGATTCTATAAAGGTAATCATTGCAATAATAATCTTCAACTATGTGGACAAATGTTTGTTAGTCTGTTGATTCTGCGAAAGTTACGTCAGTATTAATAAGGTGACCATATTTTTTTAAGTCAAAACCGGGACGAGTGGGGGAGTGGCTTTAAACTATCAAATGCTATTTTTTATATGAATCAATTTGTTTAAATCAGAATTGCGGACTATTTGTAATATCTTTATTATTCGATTATATGTAATACTTTTTTATCTATTATATCATATTAAATCTTTTTTCTAAATTTTATTTTAATGGTCTCGCTTACTCGAGCTTTTAGCCACCTACAGTATTATTTCTATACAATTAAGGTGACCATATTTTTTTAAGTCAAAACCGGGACGGAAATTTTTGGTTTTGCTAACCCGGGACAGGGGAAACGTGATGAGAGAGGTTAAATAGTTCAAATATGATGTTAAAAATTCAAATACTTCATTAAAAATAAAAATCATTTTTTTTAAATGAATCTTTTTCTTAAGTTTTAGTGACTATTAAAAATACCTTATATATTAAAACTTACATTTTTGGATCTATATTTTTTTCACTTTTGAGTCTTGTATAAAATGTATTAAATTTTCTTCATAATTACCTTGAAAAAAAAATTACTACGTGTGACAGGTAGTCAAAAAGTTCGTTTATAATTTCTGCTAATTTTCATGAAACTGAAATTGCAATTATTAATGTGAGAAACTATTTTAACCCGTTTTTGGAATTTTGTAATCGCCAATTTTCTCAACGTGTTAATAATCATACTTGTAGTCTTATGACAATCTGAAAATGATATGCATTATGTTACAATTGTAACATTATAGGTATCATTTTCGGATATTTGATGGGTAGTTGAAATTTTATCATCAAATAATTGCGAAGATTCAGTTCAAAACCTATATTTTTTGGAAACTCGGGACAATCCGGGACAAAAGAACTAAATCCGGGACAAATATTATATTTAGAAAAATCCGGGACTGTCTCGGCCGGGACGTATAGTCACCTTAATACAATCTTCAATTCAATTTTACTATCTTCTTCATATAAAACCTATCCTTCTTTATCCTTCTTTATACATTCTGATTATTTTTACATGCATATTTTTTATTACAATTCATAATTCTATTATAATTCCAAATTCGATTCCAACTCGCGTGTGAGTGTGAGTTTTTTGCTTTTGAGACTTATATAAAATTCTATTAAAATTTCATAATCAATTTGAAAAATTTAGCACTTGTTTGTTTGCTCTCATAACTTTTGTTAATTTATCTAATAATTTTCGAAAAAAATGAGACATTCCGGGACAAAAGTTCTAAATCCGGAACTGCCTCGAGCAAACCGGGACATATGGTCACCTTATTATTAAATAATAATAATAATTAAATTATTCAAAGCTTTGTCATTTTTTAATTTTCGTTCGCATGGTTATAGCGCAGTTTGAAGCTATAGCATAGTAACTAAAACATTTTGTTCATGATCTATTTATTAGCGTTTGTATTGCTTTGTTTTAGTTATTTTAATGTAATTAGCAAATAAATCGAAATATTTAGTAAGTCTGATAGTTTGAATAGTGTTTTATTTTAAATCTAACTAAAAAATTAGTGTGTTCTAGAGCTTTACTTTGATTCTTGTATTTTACTAATTGTGCACTAAATGTTTGTGTTTTGTAAGTGTTTTCACTTACTTAGCACCACATCATAAACCAAAGTAGTTATTAGCTGCACGTGAATATAACGATTAATTGTTACTGTAACTCTCTCGTTCTTCTTTTTACGCATACATTAAAAGCTAACAAAATTGAAAAGGATAATGCCTCTAACACACAGGATAATAAGGATAAAAACAATGCAAATACCATAACGTCATGCCCAATTCCTGAAACCCTGCTGGTAAAAGGACAAAAATTGACTTTTCTTAATAACATAAATAAGGATAAACTTCTTTCGAGCGATGATAAAAATTCTAAGCAGGATGATTCATCATCATCATCATCATCGTCGTCGTCGTCATCGGATTCTGATTCGGACTCTGACAGTGAAGAAAGCTGTAAGTTTTTTGTAGTTTCGTAGTAGGCTTTATTGCAAGCATGACGAGTATGCGAATCGAACTCCCATTACGCAATTATATATATATATATATATATATATATATATATATATATAAATATTATGGTGGACCTCAATATGGATGTTTCCAAATTTACTTGCTCACAAGGGCGCGAATGCTTCCAAATTGATAAAAAAAATCTCTGGAAGTTTTAGCTTTAAATATTAACTTTAAGATAGTCCGCACTCCAACCAAAGTTTCATGGGTAAATAACATGGGTAAAATTCCATTGTTTTATAACTTAGCGACAAATGAATCAAAATTTTGAGAATAACATTTTATTTGCTTATTTTGATCATAAATAAAAAAATTGATATTTCATGAAATATGTATTTACTTAGGAAGAAGAACCAAGAAACTTTGGTTGGAGTGCGGACTATCTTAAAGTTAACATGAAGAGCTAAAAATTTCAGAGAATTTTTGTTTATCAATTTGGAAGCATTTGAGCCTCTGGGAGCAATGAAATTTGAAAACATCCATATTAAGGACCGCCCTAATATATATATATATATATATATATATATATATATATATATCTATTATGTGTTCAAAAATATATTGTACTTTACAAATTAGGACACAAACTTAATTCGATTAATGCTTTTTTAATTTGTGTAGATATATATGTCTCAAAAGTATGTTTTGACGTATTTTGTTGTGTTAAGAAAATTAAATATATGATTAAATATATTAATTATATGCGATTA